CCCCCCCCAAACCACCACCACCGGTTTGCTCGCGCGAACCAAGTATCCGCTCATCGTCGCTGCTCTCTTTTCCCGGCGCCAAAAAGCGGTACACAACCGCCACCACATGCGGATACTCCGTGCATCATTGAGCGTTCTTGCAGCGTGTTGGTCGCGAGCCGTCATAGCGCGGATGCTAAGACAAGCAATGCAACCTGGGCCCCTCGCGACGCTTGACGAGCGCAGCTGTTGGAGGGTTGGCCGAGAAGGGGAAATATCGTCCCCGCCATTAACGCGGCAAGGGCGGCGATGGCGGTCCGCGACCGGCTACGAGATAGAATCTCGCTGGGATTGTCCCGAATGTGATGGATTCGACGGTGTCATCCGCACTGCCCCCCTTTCTCTTGCTTCGGGCCAGCCCACAATCATCGTCGTCTCAACCCCCTCTCCAGACAGGGATAGAACCTAACGGACTGCAGCACCGGCCGTTGGTGCGCTGCCAAACTAGGCAAGATTTGACAGCACAAGGGAGAGACATTGATTAGCTTTCAACGCCGAGAAGGTCCGGCTGCATAAGATCAACCCTGTCGCTATATGGCCCTCCCGGAAGGCCCCCTCCGCATTGTTGGACCAGGCAGATATCGAGTCTAGGTCGGCATGGACCGGCGATGAAGAAGAGATGCGGCCAGCGAGCGCACATGACGAGGTTCTAGCTGCAAAGGCCACTAACATGCCTATACTTCTTCCTGCTGCAAGTTGTTCATGGAGAGTAACATGTGACTTCCTATTGACTCTGAGTGTCGGCTCATATCAGGTTCCCACACTCCCTGAACGGAGTGCGACAGTAGTTTAGCACGGTATCGCACGACAAAGATGGCGGAGCTGAGGCTCAGCAAGGCGTCGGCCATCAGGAAGGACGCGGGGCTGCAAGACAGTCTGCCTGGAGGCTCGGTAGCTGGGTCGGCAAGGAACAAGGCGGCGCATTGCGGCCGCATGTTGGCCGCATGAAGTGGTTCGAGACGTCGGTAGCTGAGATGGTTGGTATTCTTCTTGCCCTTGCTTTGGAAGCCCCTTAGCCACTCTGAGGACTTTCCCTGGGACATCTTTCCAGGAAAATCTCCTCTGGAAACGTGTGTCTAGACATCAGGGATTCCACAGCACCCGAATCTGCAGACAAGTCGATATCTCCATCGACCTGCAACTCCATCTTGGCCCTCCCCAACCAAGGATGCAGAGAGCTGGCTTGGTTGCCCAAGTCAAAGGTGGGCAGTTCGAAAACAGTAACCATACCCCCAATTCGACATCGGCAGCACGGCTGGCGTTATGTGTGTTTTAAGAGTATTCCAGGGAAATAAAGGGAAAAGGTGATGGTCGCCCAGAGGGGGTGCAGTTGGAAGAATTTGTCATCGTCGGCTTGGTGAATACCTCGTACCTTACATAAACACCTTAAAGTAGGTAGGTACCTTAGTCAACTGGGCCTGCTCGAACCGTGCTCGAACCTGGGCAGACAGAGTAGGAGAAGCTCATGCTCAAGACGTGGGTGGCGGGCCAGGTATCCGGAATCGTATGATGACGTCTGGCTTGTCAGTGTTGGGGAAAGTGTATAACGAAGGGGGGTGGCACTTTCCTCTCTTTGTGCGGTAATGATGGGATACGAAAGGGGAAGAGGACAGGCCGGGAATAACAGGGAGCAAGTAAGGTAAGGTACCTTATTAGTTCTCGTTCCTATTTTCCTGGTATCTACCCTGGCACGGGTAGGTCTCTGTCCATCCTTTGATACCTCTATTTGGACACTTCAAGTTCAGGGTATGCCTGTCCATCTACCCCGGTACCACAAGATAGAGTACCTTATGCAGGGTACAGTATACGTACCTCAGGAGTGTATCGTTCGTTACACACGGAATAGTATCCGCACTTCAACGACTTGTAACCCGATCTGGTATTCCCCAAGTTCTCGGAAGCTGTCGCATACAGGCAACGTAGCGAGCGTATCTTGTAAGAGCAGCCATAGGAGCCGCGACTGCCTTTACTTTTGCTTGCCGATCTTAGGTAGGCATACCTCGGGCGATTGATCGTACGCTACCTTAGGTAACTTGCTTGCTTGATTGTGAGCCTGTCTAACCTCCGAAGTTAGGTACTTTAGCTTTCGAGCTGCCTAGGTACCTTAGGTATTAGATAAAGGTAGAAATAACGGAAGGCTCAGTGGGAAGGGACGGGAAGAGGTGCGGGAAACAGCAGGAGGTATACAATCCGGAAGGAGAGGCGGAGGGGGCTACGAACAAAACACTACGAGGAATCTCCGCCTTACTATCACCTGGTATATTAGCAATACTAATAATACTGTATACGCACTCATTCGATTCCCATTCGTAATTACTTCGTACAACGGATACAGCAGTGAGTGAGTGGTATCGGTCACCAGAATAAGCCCACAATCCCCGCCCAAGCATACAAAAGTAGACATCGCTGTCAGATCTCAGGGGTGGACTTTCCAAGGGGGAAGAGCTCTGTTAAGTTGGCCAAACGGAAGCTCCGTAGAACCTTCCTTCCCCACTTAAGAGGCCACATTCACTAGCCACGTTGGGTAAGGTAGATACAGTAGTAAAGTGACTCTATATTTGTGTGGCACAGTGAGAGATACTGCTTAAAGGTTTCCAATATTACACTGTGTTCCTCCTATGCTCCTGCCGCCTGCAGCACAGTTGACGTGTCGTCTCTAAGGTCATATCGTCGTCGCTGCGCGGATCTACCTCATCTGCATGTTCGACCCACTTTCGAACGCACACGAATCGCAAAGCGACAATGCCCCATCTCATCTTTCCTCTTCCCTCCCACCAATTTGTCCACCCCTGGCTCGGTTTAAGCACAGCATAACACACAAAAATTCAAGAAACAGCTTCCATTGAACGACTTGGCACATCACTCCGTACGATTCGTTCCGATTAATTGCCTCAGATATTCAGCCGGTCCCCCCCCTCCCTCTCGTTCCCGGGCTTGAACGCCCTTGGCCGAATCGGCGGTCTTTGGGGCAACTTGCCTCGTTTCGATTGAGGAGAGAGTCAACAAAGAACCGCCAAGTAATTACATACGCATCGCCGTGCCACGAGGAGACCCCGAGCCTGTTAACCCCGATAACCGTGCCGCCTTTCGCTTAGATCAACCGGCAATGGGCCGGGTGGGAAGTACGTACGAAGTACATTCGTCGAGTATGATTACAGAAATGAAGAAAATAGCATGGGTGCCATGATTGATTGGCATGGGATTTGGGCGCCGTTTTGGGGCATTTGGGGCAAGGTGAAGGTGACGTGACGGCATCTCTCTCCTTGCTCGGGTGTCACAAAGAACGGAATGGCGTCGCGACCATCCACCTCCCCTGGCCATTCAGGCTGTAAATCTACAGTAATTAGTCCGATTCCGCAACCGACAGACACACCATTTCTCCAGGCCAGAAGAAGCTGTTCACCCAAACTCGTGGAGAATAGAGAATGGGTTAACCACCCATCGGTAACCACTCGTGGAAGCATCGATGCAGTTACACCGAGTTCCTCATCTTGTCTCCTCGGGATGTGCTTCCACACGCAGCAGGACGATGGAGGAACGCTGGCTAGACACCTACCGCCACGCACGTTCCTTCGAACTTCATCAGTGGACCACGACTGGACTGGGATACCCCGGCACCCTGCTGAAGGCACTTCACCTTCGACAAGGAGACCGTTAATGCTTCGTCTGTGCTTCGGGGAAATAAGGTAGCGCGGACTCCTCCGTGACATTGCGTTGCGTTGCGTTGCGTCCCCTTTCCCCATTCCCATTTCCCGTTGGTGATGATCGCTCACATGGGTCTCGATTTCGAGTAAGCCGCGGAAGAAACCATACCGCTGTACCAACGTCAACAAGCGAGTTGAACGAAGAAACGCGCGTTAGGCGGCCAAGGGCGGTGACGGTTGCTGCGGATCGCTTGGACAAGATCAGTTTATAGTCCTTGACGACGAGTGCTCACACGAACAAAGGCGTTTCTTTATCCGTCCATGCACTACTGTTGGTCATCCTTACCTGAAGAGGCTAGACCACTAACCACAACGGCTTTTTGCGCAACTTCGTTGTGCCACATTCTTCAATTTCCGCCATGTGCCATACCATCACTTATCTTCGGCGACCCCCGTTTGAGACACGAGGCGTTGACTTGAGCTGCGACCTTGAAAAAGTTCCTCATACTCCATACAACGTACTTCGTGCACAGATTGAACCCCATCTATCCCTGGAAAGAGGCAGGACTTGGGCCAAGCCAGGCCCCTCGCAGGACAGGGTCTTTCTTCCGCCTTGCAGTTGACATGCCTGGTCGCCACAAATCGGAAGCCGGCCTTCGCATCTAGCTGGCCCCCACTTACCACTCTCATCCTAGACTAACCCCCGGGGCAGTAGCGGCGGCGGCGGCGGCGGCGGCGGCGTCGTCGGCGCGCAGTGCTGTCCAGGTACGTTGTACGTTGTACTTCTCCCGCTTCCCTTCCTTCCCAGGATCTCAATTGGGACACCACATTGGCTCTGAACGGGGCAATTACACAAATTACCACATCGCACAGGATTTCTAGCTGTTGCTGTTCTACGAAGAGTTCCTGCTCCTGCATCTACACGTCGACATCGGGCATTTACCACTATACTCCGTACGAACGACGTTTTTCATCCGGCGTCGCGGGGGGTTCCTTCAACCCCATCTTGTTCCACAAAGTACGAAGTAATACAGCGCGCTCTTGGCCCGGCAGAATTACTTGATAGAGGCTCTTCAGACTCCCGAATCGTACCCCACAAAATAGTGTCTCTAGTATCGGAAACGCAGGTGGTTCCCTGCACCAGGTACGGAGTAGGTCGAGTGCCGTTTACGGGCAAGAGGAGATCCGAATCGGTGACAGACGGGTTGCTACCATGGAAGTCTCGCGTCAAGTTAAGTTGCCCAACGCACCCAAGCTTTCTTGTGTGGGTGTCAGGTCAACGAATTCGAGGGAGGGAAATCGCACCGGAGAGGACGAGAGACGCTCCCCCATACGGAGTAGTACACTCCTCCTCCTCCCACCCCTGACCGTTTCTTGTACCCATTTCCCGCAACCTGCCGCTCACGCATATACATCCCATCCCACCGTGGTCTCTTCACGGCGAACTGTTCTCCCCTTATTTGTAAGAAGAAAACAAGAAAAGAAAGAAAGAAAAGAAGACGTCCATTTGTGAGAAGGCATCGCCTGCGGGACTGGAGAGAAAAAGAAAGGAAAGGAAAGAAAGGAAGAAAAAAAACCCCCCTCTCCCCTTCCTCCTTGCCCCTTGTCTTGTCAGTCGGTCACCTGCGCCTGCCAGCTCGGGATCCAACTTGGCGTGCGGGCTCATCTGGCACTAGTCCGACCATCGTCCTGAAGGGAGTGTGGGAGAAGCGGCCGAGAAACATCATCAATTCGCTGGTGGTGTAGACGACAGGTTTGTTTTAGACCCAACGACTGACCAGGTTCTCCACGGCCGCCGCCTGTTCCCCACCACGAGGCATATCCCGCATAAGAGCGGATAAGTCCACTCACCTCGCCGTTCTGCAACACAACCCCAATCAATGATCTCTGCATGTACCTCGAATTAAGGGGGTACAAGTTGGTCTACCTCGTGGTCACGTCGGTCTCCTCGATATATCACTCCACCGACTCACAGGCACCTACAGTACCTATCTCCCTGCGGCTGTGATACTGGATCCTCGACAGAACCAACCCAACATCCCACCAAGAATTTCTAACCTCACCAGGACGGGAAGGCAAACAACCAACAGTCGGCTCCAGCTTGCCATTTGGCCCCGTCGGTGAAATCATTTTTCGCCTTTCTGCTCTTTCGTCGTTGGGGGTCGAAGAAGATGACGATGGCAAACAAACCAACCCACCCTACTGAACATTTACTTGCAATCCAATAGCCCAAGAGGGCGTCGAGCTGGTGGCACAAAGACATATAAGACCGACATCAGTTCCCCTTTATTCTGGCAGAGTGCAACAAGACACTGCTCTCTCATCTCGCCCGTCAAACTCAACTTTCCCCTCCCCAAAAAGCTAAGCTCTCTTTATCTCCCTTCCTCAACTTCCAGCTCTACTTCCGAGATTGATTGTCCCTACCTTGAACACAAGGGTCTCTCTCTTCTTGGCTTCCGAAACACCTACCACCTCTGCCCAAGGGGATATCGACTCGGCCACGCACTATATCACCTCGATCGCAAACCTGGTACCCCGTCACAGTTTTGGCATCGCCCCAACGACTACAGGAACACATCCTCACACCCTCTCTTTCTCTCTCTCTCTCCCTCTCCCAAAACACACACACACACACACACACACACACACACACACATACACACATACACACATACACATACACATACACCTTACTTCCGTCTTTAGCCTCGAAGCCGCAAGTCCTCTCGTCGAAGCCGAGTGGAGCCATTCAAGTCGAGAACGAATCGTGAGACGTACACGGCCTTGCACGTCACTAAGCCAAGATGTGCTCCAAGATCTTCACCACGTTCAAGTGCTCGCACCAGTCCAGCATGTATCCTCCCTACGAAATTCCCTGCGCATATTTTAGGAGCGCAAGCGCGAGGGCGAAGCAATCGAACGAGACGGTACAGGCATGCCCGAATTACACTGAGAGCGTGAACTACCAGGACGGCTTCTGCCCCGAATGCCAACGGGCCGGCCGTTGATCCTAGCTTGGCTGCCGTCCGTCTGGTGCCGCCCTTTCATATCTCGAGGTCACTCGCCGGCATTCCAAAGGTCACTCCCGTGGCCAGTTCAAGCAGTCTGCAGTCGGCATCGGGAAACTGTCGGGGGCCAATCCTACGCTTGGGAGTTCGTGGGTCGGGGTCAAAATCCCATGATACGAAGAAACCCGTCGACGTCGTCTGTTTATCCGTAGGAGCACGCTTTAATGGATCAAACAGGTGGGGGTAGACGGTCATGGAAGGTGGGAGGGAATGGGGTATGGTCTATTTAGGGTGGTTGGATGTTTTCTTTTTTTGGTATTTTTCCTTTTCCTTTTCCTTTTTGCCCTTTTCTTTTTCTTTTTTTCTTCTGTGCTCAAACATCGCGGTACAAAGCACGTTGGGGCTCGTTCGGAACCGCCAATAGGCTAGGAAGCGGTGGGTGGCACTCTTTTTTGCTTTTCCTCTTTTTTTATGGTTGGTCTCGCGTTGGTTGTCGATAGACATGCGTTTGGTGGAAGAATCAAGACATTTTAACTCATCTCAACACTTTGACTCGTCCAGGCCGAGATGGACGACCGAAACCAGTTCGAATGTTTCGGGGTTTCCAGACAACGGGAGACATGTAAGGCAGTTTGACAGGCGGGAGGCAACATGATGGGTACGGCATGAATACGGAGAGAGACATGCAAAAAAAAAAAAAAAAAAAAAAGCGGCGATAGGAGCGCTGACGCGCCGAGGGATGGGATCCGGCACTGTGGTGAGGACAGGAGGGAGGGCAAACACGACATTCCTAGTCGACAGGATCGGCACCAGCGGGAAGAGACAACCTGTTTGACAATCTTGTCAAGTTGTCGGACGTCTCGGAGCATTTAGAAACATGGGAGGGCCATCGAGGTAACGCAGCATAAAAGACACGGGAACGGTCCGTCGACGCAGTGGTCTGCCGGAAGAAAAAAAAAAGCTCATAACCAACAAAGAGTCTACACCCAACATGGGAGAACAGGGATGTCAGGGGTGTCTTGGCCTGATAGGTTGGAGGGAGAAAATGACACAGATAGCAGATGGATTTTCGGTGGCTCCCCCTTTTCCCTTTTCTCTCTCGGGGTTTCCCATTTCTAGACCTTTTTTCAAAAAAAAAATTCTGTCTTGTATTCTCCTGTGGGGGGGGGGGGGTTTTCGTTTCTTTTTTTCTTCCCTCTCCTCTCTTCTCATTTCACCCAGCTCGTTAACGTCACTAGGCTTCGGCACCTCAGATCTCCCTGTTATCGCCACAGAACAACATTTTCGCTGGAGGCAAGGGGAACAAAAAACCCCTGGGGAGGCTGTGGATACTACACGCGCATTGCAGTCTCGTCATGTGATAAGACGCTGCGGCGAGGATTTTCTGCAGCAAGCAAGCAGAGAAGCCTGGTAAGACGCCTGGCCAGTTGGGTGCCCTGGGCCGGCCTTTTTCTTCTTCTCCTCTTTTGTCTTTTTTTTTTTTTTTTTGTTGCTCTACCCTTGCCGGGAAAGAAAAAAAGAAAAAGGGGAGATTATGGAAGCAATCTCGGGCCCAAGAGCCTGGGACACCAGAACGGCACATTCCGTCTTCTCTTTCTTCACCTTCTGCGGCCTAAACCGATGGACATGAAGAGACCAAACACTCAGCAGCCGAAGGATCCAAAGGCGGGAGACTGAGATGTATCGCCCGTCCGTCTCTCTGCAGGTTTTGCGCCGATTTCAACCCAGAAAAATGTCACGTCGGCTAGGAGGTCTCCACCACCCACGCATGGCACGCATGTCACGCATGCTTTTTGCAAGTTTGTGAATGTGTCAATGCACGTATCCGAGTTTGGGGGCCGGTAGAAGGACGGGAGGTTGTGATGACAGCCACTACGGTTGGTTGTTGTTACACCCCCGCGGCACGATGTTGTCCTGCTACCGTTGTGTGGGACTTTCGATTGCATCTGGCGAGCAGCGAGGGCTGGTGTCCGGGGCAGTATTCCCCCAAGGGCACCCACCTCACTGAAACAACAGCTCTGGATGTACGATGGCATCTCCCAACGGTGCCCTGCAGACGGGAGAGCGCATGAACAAGTGCTACGGCGATGGCACAGGAGGTATGTAACCTTGTGTCTGGCGAGCTGTGTCCGCGTGCGGCACTGTTGTAGCTTCCTTTTGGAATGCGGTGTCCAAGGCACAGTGACCTGGAGTCGTCCTTGGACTGCCTTATGCGGTCCTCAGCCACGCACACATATGGGTATAGCAAGACATCAACCCGCCAGGGTCACGCCCATACATGTACTCACTTTCTCTCAGCCGAGATGGGGGAGCCAGCCAACGGCGTCTAAGAGAAACAGAGAAGGGGGGAAGATCCCGCCCCTCGACTGGAAGTGATATCTGATCGATTCCTTGCTTCGTTTTCTCCTCTTGGCCTTTCCTCCCTGGGGGGGCATTTGGTATTGATTAGCAGGCGACCAGGAAAGCAGTTTCTCAAATCAGGTTTGGCGTTCACCACTATCAACGCTATCACCATCACCATCACCATCACCACCGCCGCCACCACCATCATCATAATCATCATCACGCGGCACGGCCATCGATCACGCACGAGTCGGTGACGCAGACAGGCACTACCTTTTGGGGTTGTGGCCCCTCGGTACGGATATTCGTACTTCATTTCCGGGGGCTATGGGCCATCCCGCCTGGCAGAGCGTCTCTTCTGAGGACACGGACACATCATCGCACATTTCTTGTCCCGTGCCTGATCTACTGCTGCATATGCAGGACATACATAGCCACCTCAGCACCTCACCTCACCTCACCATTCCACCGTCTCCGTCTCCTCTGATCCTCGCACCCGCTTTTTTTTTTTGTTTCTTTTTTTTTTATTTAATTCCCGCCCCCGGCGGCTAACAGAATCCAGCGCACCAATCAGCTTGAGGCGACCCCGGTCAGTGCTGGCCTAGAGTCCCACACAGACGTCGCATTTGGTACATTTCCTGCAGAAAAGGACGCGCGATGCCGCGCCCCAGTCCTCCCCATTTTGGCCGGACTTCTTGGAAGGGAGGGCAACCATAGTCGGCTACGGCGGATGTGCACCATCCTCTTTTCTCCTCGTCAAGATCACGAGCTATGTTAGAGATGTTTGACGCCTCGTTGGCGGGGGGGGAGAAGTGGGCTAGCGCGCGTCCCATCACCATTGGGGGCCGGCCAGTTTACTGAACTTTGTTCGCTTGTTCGTACGACCGAAACAACGACACCGACGTTAGGCGACAACGCCCGCGAGAGACTGCCGCTGCCACTCCCCGTTCCCGCCCGTCCCACCCCGGCATTGCAACCCTCCCTCCTCCTTGCCCCCCTTGCCCCCCTTTCCCCCCCTTTCCACCCTTGCGACCCATCCACTTACTCCCACACATTTGCTCCCCGCTTTCTGCCCTTCTTTCAACGTCAACCCATCATATCATATGAGGACACATCTAAGATAAGATGTCCACTTTGGCGGAGACGAAACAACCTTGGTGATGAGACGTTCAGCCGACTTTTGGGACGGCCTGGAACCCTTCAGCCTCTTTGCCAAGGCAACTCCAAGTTGGCCGCCGTTAAGGGCCGCCCCCAACATAACATTCTACCAAAAGAATCTGCCTCGAGTTGTCATACTTGGGCTTTACTCTTACTCCTTACTCTTTACGTATGTACTTGGACGACTCCTTGCTCGTGGGAGAATAGATCGATCCCACCACCTCGTTCCCACCTCGTTCCCACCATGGCACCGTCACTGGTCAGCCGTCCCTTACCCGAGCCCACACCCTGCATGCACACTGCCCTACCCGACTGGATGCAGATCCGCAGCAGGCCGGCAGATACTTTTTTTGTCGGCAACGACCTAGAGCTCTTCCAGCTTATTTTCAGCTTACCTTGCTGGCAGTCTGCCCTTCCACGGGATGCCCGAAATATGCCAGGAATAGGGAGAAGGAGGAAGGCGGGGGTGAAACAAGGAGGAAGAGAGAAATAAGTATGTATCATCATATATGGGTGGGAAGATCCTCCCGACGACGAAATAGGAGAGACAGCCCAGATGCCGAACTCGACAGCGAGCATTTCGATCGCCCGCTTGGAGGCGGGAACGACCGGCGGATTGCAGAATGGCATACTGCACTGCACGTCTTTGCTCGGCCGCATGTAGACATGTATGTAGGCACTGTTAAGTTCCAATCCCGGGCGCACAGCTCACCCTCTTCCCCTCCCCCCCCCGGCGGCAGCAAGGGTCCCATCATCCATGTAACACGCAAACTCCTAATGGATGGTCTTGGTCTCAGCGTCATGGAGGAGTGTTTCACTGCTCTTACCTATTCTCCCGAAAAAATAGCCACTGCGGACCTTAGCTTTCCATTTGTAGAACGATGACTCTTGGTCCCATATTTGGAATCATGGAAGGGCGTTTGCTTTCCTTTGCTTTGCTTTGCTCCCCCTCTGTTAGCAGGTCAAGTACCTATCCGTCTCACGGTACTTCATGCGAAGCTTCGCAATGTAGGCCAAGGCAAAGGCAACGGTAGGGAATGTAGAGACGGATCGTATCAGTAAGGGGAACAGAATGGTTATATTGGGGGTTTGAAATAGAGTAGAAGACAAGAGACGCGACGAGAGGGCGTTTCATAGAAGCGGAGATATACTACTATTAGACACACCATCAGGGGAGGAAAACAGGACAGACACAGAACACAAAACACATGTGTGTGAGATTCTCTACCAGTCCTCCCGCTGCTGCCCACAGGTAACAGAACCCAAAGATATCTTCCTCCCCTGTAGGGCAATCCGAGAGCGGGGGCATCATCTCCCTAAAAAAGCTTTCCCGTCCTGTTCTTGTGTTTGTTTTCCTGCACTACCGAAACGGCCAAGGGATATATGCGAGGAGTCGGCTTGAGCAAAGGTCCCCAAAGTGTTATTTCTGTCCACCGATCGGTCCATGCTACTACGTTCATTCCTCTTCCTCCCTCCGTCCCCTCTTCAGATCATGCTCAAGTTATTCCACATCAAGAGGCAGCGGCAGCAACAAATAGCAAACTTGAACCCCCCGCCCCCCGCCCCCCAACCGGCTGTGTGGTTTCGCATGTCCGTCTTTGCTCGCCTGGTATGCGCCTCCACCCCGTCCCTATCCTCGACGGCGCCTGGTGGAGGACTTGGAAAAAGATATAGTACAGTCCAGCTTTATACAGAACAAATCATGTGTCTTTCCCCCCTGGGTTGTTCATTCAATTTTTTCTTTTTTTCTTTTTTTCTTTTTTCGGTCTTTTGGTGTTCTGGTTCTTCGGGGGAATGGCGGCGGTGGTATGTATAACGTGAAGCAGGTTTCGTCGGGGGGGCCCGAAAACAGACAAGTAGCTCTATGATGCAAAGGTCTGAAAGGGGGGGGGGAATAAAAGCGAAAAGCAGAACAATGCCCTCCTTTTACCCCTTCTGCTGTTGCGCAAAAACTCAAAAGCGCAGTCAAAGAGAATGAAAATGACAACCTGTGTCCAATGCAAGGGGTATGATTAAGAGTCATGGCGGGGCATAAAAGCTCCATCATTCATCTCAGTCGTTGGTAGGAGAATTAGGAGAACTGAAAGGGTAAAAAGAATCGGCAGTTAGCATCGACAACCAGGAGCCGAGATGAGTAGCATAGCGGACGACAAAGGCTTCGGATAGGACTCACTATTGATTAGCGGAGCCCGAGGGACCCGGGGTCCTGGGAGAGAAGGACGGAGACTGTTTTGACTGTTAGAAGAAGAAAAAAAGAGAAACCTAGGCTTTCAAGGACGACGTACTGTTGGGGAGTAGCTGGGACTCGTCGGCGACTGCTGCATGGCCGGCCTCTGGAAACTGGGACTCGTCGGGGAGTACGAGTGCTCGGGAGACGTGGGAGACCACGACGGCGATGCGGGCGAGTACGACGGCGAGGTAGGCCCAGCACCATGGAGATTGGGAGACGTCGGGCTGTAGCTCGGACTGGCCGGAGAGTAGCTCGGCGACGTCGGCGAGTTGAACTGCGCCGGCGACGTGGGCGAGTAGTGCCTGGGCGACGTCGGAGACGTCGGGGAGTAGCTCGGCGAAGTCGGGCTGTAGTTGGGGCTCGCAGGGCTCGTAGGCCGGTGGATCGGCGACGTCGGGGAGAACGACGGTGACGACGGGCTGAACTGAGGAGACGTGGCGTAGCGGCCGCCCGCCCCATCGATGAGAGGGGACGTGGGAGAGTACCCCATGTTGGGCGACGACGGCGAGTAGCCTCCCGCGAAGCTGCTGAACGGCGACGTGGGCGACGTCGTGAACGGGCTGGTCGGACGGTGACCCGGGCTAGCAGCGCCGAAGCCGCCAAAGCCCGCACCGCCGTATTCGGTCCCGAAGCCAACGTTCTCGTCCGAACCCGCGCCCACAATGGGGGAGAAGTTGCCTCCGCTGGACGACGGCGAGCCGAGGGAGAGGTAGCCCGAATCCGCCATGGGAGAGCCCGTGTCGTAGGGAGTCGCTGCACCACCGGCATCGCCGCCCTTAACCGGCATGCCCGGCATCAGACCCATGCGCGAGTTGTCGCTGATGACAGTCTCGAGCATCTTGGGATCAAGCAGGACGTCAAAGTGACCCGTGCCCATGGGCGCCATCTGGCCCAGCATGATGTTCTCCGAGATGCCGCGGCAGTCGTCGAGCTCGCCAACAGCCGCAGCTTCCAGCAAGATTTCGACCGTCTCCTCGAACGAGCAGCGCATCAGCGCACCAGTGTCGGCGCGATTGATGCCGTGACGCGTGACGGCGGAAATGGTGCCCCGGTTCGTCATGACATCGACGAGAAGCGCCAAATGCCGATGGTTGACATAGCTACCGTCGAAGGCCAGGACCTGCGTCAGCTCTCTGACCAGCGCAGCCCGGGCAGCCTCGATGCCGAACACCTCAACAATCTGCCACAGATGATTGGTATACGTCCGCTTGGCGTCCACGCCCTCCACCGTCAGGACCGACGCAAGGGCAGTGCCGGAGGTATCGAGGTACCACTCCTGGCAGCGCTCGTCGGCCTTGGCCGCCAGCAGAGCCCCGTCCGGCGTCTCGATGAGCTTGGTATCCTTGTTCAGGAAGGCCCTCTCGATGCCCGGAACACCGCGAAGCGTCAGGGTGTCCAGGAGGTGGTTCTCGAACGTCTTGAGGAGAACATCATCTTCTATCTTGCCATCCTCCTCGGCGTCCTTGTCATGCTTAAGCGTGCGGATGCGAATGACTTGCTCGTCTGCGTTGTTGTCGCTGAAAATGAGGTGGCAGTCATTCGGGTAGTCTGCCTTGATACGCGCAGCCACGTCTTCGACCGTCAACTCCTTGTCCAGCAGCTTCTGCCGGTCGAGCGTGATGCGCAGCAGCCAGCGGTTCTGGATGTCGACGGTATCGTGCGAGTCGTCGGGAATGGCCCAGTACGACTCCACCATGTCGAGATCGGCGGGGATGACGGTGCTGCGCAAGTCGGGATCGTAGTAAATCTCCGTCATCGCCGTCACCGAGCGCAGCGTGGTGTGCTCGACGGTGCTGCGGAGCTTCTTGGCAGCCTCCTGCGTCGCGTTGCCCTCCTCTAGGTAGACGACCATGGACGGGGTCTTGATGTTCTGCGCCAAGTTGAGAATCTCCTTGAGACGCGGGACACCCAGAGTGACGTTCTTGGAAGAGACACCGGCAAAGTGGAAAGTATTAAGGGTCATCTGCGTGGCAGGTTCGCCAATGGACTGGGCAGCCAACACGCCCACCATCTCTCCGGGGCTGACAAACGACTTGGCCCAGCGTCCCTCGAGCTCGCCGAGGACGTGGTTGAAGGCCAGCTTGTTCAGGCGCTGGCCGCACGCAATGCGCTTGAAAGCGAGCCGAGACCGGAAATGCGCCTTGGCCAGAATGGTCGCGTCGTAATCGGCTGCGCGGGAGAAGGGATCGTTGCCTCGGACGATGGTCATCCTGTCGAGCATCGCCTGAACGGCTGGGACGACGTCCTGAGGCGTCAAGTCGCTGCGCTGGAAGTCCTCGACATTGAACAACCGCTTCGCCGTCTCGATGAGCCGGATGATATTGAGCGGCAACTGCGTCATCTCCTCGTCTTTCCTACGAGCATTGATCTCACGGATGAGCTTGCGGTCGGCCTGCAGCGCCTCGTATTCCTGATCAAGGAGGTGCTGCACTTCAATGTCTCCAACAAGCTCGTTCCCGTACTCGAGCCAGTCAAGCTCCCCGGGGCGGTTATGATCCATCACGTCGAGGCGGTAGCGCTGGTCGAACTTCTTCGTTGACACGGTGATGAAGTCCATGCGCTGCTTCTCGATGCACATAGCATCGAGACCGTCCTCGCCGTAGAGGAACTGAATGACATCGCCCAGAGAGTTCCGCACGGTGCCGTCGTACTTCACGCTCACATCTTCCAGGGCCTTGACAAGACGGCGCTGGATGTAACCCGTCTCGGCCGTCTTGACAGCCGTGTCAATGAGACCTTCTCTACCCGCCATGGCGTGGAAGAAGAACTCGGACGGTGTGAGGCCACGGAGATACGAGTTCTCAACGAAGCCACGCGCTTCCGGAGAGTAGTCGTCCTTGGTGAAGTGAGGTAGGGTGCGGTACTTGAAGCCGAAGGGGATACGCTTGCCCTCGACAATCTGCTGGCCGACCAGGGCGCTCATCTGGGAAATGTTGATGGAAGAACCCTTGGACCCAGAAGACGCCATGGTGACGGCGTTGTTCAGATCCTTCAGGCCCTTCTGCGTCGTCGTACCCGCCTTGTCACGGGCGGTATTCAGAGCTCTCGAAACCTTGCTCTCGAAGGTCTCTCGAATGTTCATTCCGGGCGAGGGCTCCAGCTCGTTGTTGGTGGCCATGTGGGTGAGTCGGGCGACCTCCGCCTTTTGCTCGTCAATGTGAGCCTGTACCTTCTCGATGGTATCAGTATCGGGGATGGTGTCTCCGATGCCGATGCTGAAGCCATTGTGAAGTAGCCAGTAGTTGACGACTTGCTGCACGCCGTTGAGAAACTTCATCGCAGCCTCCGGGCCATGCTCGTTGTAGATGATGTGAACCAGGCCACCGCTGGTGGCGCCGATGTTCTTCTTGGAAAGAAGGCCATACAGGACCTGGCCGGACTGGATGAGGAGACCTTCGTCCTTAAGCGGGTTGTCCTCCTTCGAGTCGGGCATGTTGTGCAGACTGACAATGGTGGGGATGACCATGCTTATGATTTGCTTGCCCGTCCATCGTGGGACAGGCCGCAGGATGGCCGGCGTAGGGACGATGCCGTTCCAGTTCGGAACCCAGAGCATGATGTTCATGACTTCCTCTTTCGCGAGGAACACGTCACGGCGGCACAGCTTGTAGGCACCGGCGAGGGTGTCTTGCACAATACCCATGAGCGGGCCGTTTCTCTGGGGCGAGACGATGTTGATGGGAACCATGCAGAGTTCCTTGATCTCGGCACGCGTCTCCTCGCTCTGCGGGACGTGCAGGTTCATCTCGTCACCGTCAAAGTCGGCGTTGTATGGAGACGTGACGGACAGGTTGAGACGGAAGGTCGAGTAGGGCATGACGCGGACACGGTGACCCATCATGGATTCCTTGTGAAGCGACGGCTGGCGGTTGAAAATAATGTAATCGCCGGTCATCAGGTGCCGCTCCACCTTCCAGCCATACTCGAGCGAGATCTGGCCAGCACGACGGTGGTGACGGAGATCAATACGGGTGCCGTCGGTGCGAATGACGTACTTGGCACCAGGGTGCTCGTTCGGCCCGTTCATGACGAGCTCGTGGAGCTTGCCGATGTTGTACGGAGTAACCGTCTCCGGGTACGTCAGTGTCCTAGCGATCGACTTGGGAACGCCCACTTCGTCCAGAGACAGGTTCGCATCACCCGTGATGACGGTACGGGCCGAAAAGTCGACACGTTTCCCCATCAAGTTGCCTCGCAGGCGGCCCTCCTTGCCCTTCAAGCGTGCCCTGATTGCCTTCACTGGACGGCCACTCTTCTGCAGCGCACGAGGCTGGCCAGCGATATCGTTGTCCATGTAGGTGGCGACGTGGTACTGCAGCAGTTGCTCGAAATCCCTTGCGATGTGGGCGGGGGACCCTTCGCGAATGGCCTGCTTGACATTGCCATTGGCGCGAATGATATCGCCGAGCTTGTAGGTCAAATCATCTTCATTTCTCATGCCTTGGCCGGTGCCGTCCATGGAGATACTCGGACGGACAGGGGGTGGCGGGACGGGGAGAACGGTGACGATCATCCACTCGGGGCGGGCATAGTCGAGGTTAAGACCCATGTCTCTGAGATCGTCGTCCGAAATGCGGCGCAGGATGTTGTGGGCCATCTCCGGCGTGATGGGAGTCTCCTTCTTCTCCAGTTCGCCATCCTCTTTTCTCGACTCGATTTTGGCGGTCAAGGAAAGGGCTTTGTGCCGCACAGCGGGAACGAGATTGCCACAGCCACCGTGGTTGATGGGCGCGGGCCGCTTGAGTTCGGGAATATCGTTGAAGGCGTCATCCTTCTCTTCCTTGACTTCATTCTCGCACCTCGACTTCTTCTTACAAATGTTCCAGACCCGGTTGAAGCGGAGCTTGGGGTCTCTGGTGTTCACGGCCTGAAGGAATTCAGGATCGCTCTGCGTGGACAGGGTTAGCAAGGACAAGTCAAGATAGGCAGGCGTCGCGTAAATAGAGCAGACTAACTCTATCAGCCAACACTTTGCTGCAGTTATGGCAGACGATCTCCAGAACCTTCTTGACCTTCTTGATGAATCCTGGATGGTACACGGGCTTTGCGAGCTCGATGTGGCCAAAGTGGCCGGGGCACTCGCCCATCGCCTGGGTGCAGGTCTTGCACTTGAATTGACGATCGATGGAGCCTAGAAGAGGATCGTTGAGACCACCGTCCCGAGGCTTGGTACGCGTCTCGTCCATGGTCTCGGGGTAGATGATGTGGGCGACGCTCATGCTCTTGATCTGCTCAGGAGACATCAGACCGAACTGAATCTCCTCGATCGTCTTGAGCGGCGCGCTCGAGTGGGTGAAGTAAAGGTTCGCCATGACGGGCAGAACTTTTTCTGGGTTGTAGTCGACTGGATGTGCGCCGGTGCTGATGAGGAAATTATCGAGTCGGAGTTTTTGTGTCGGCACAGTCGCGAGGGAAATAAGAAAAGAACCAGATAGTTCTGATACAGCGAGCCAAAATAAAACACACAAGTTGATTATCGGAAGATGAGGAAAGAAGAAAGAGAGAAATAAAGGAAGAAAAGAAAAACAGAAAAAGGCAAAGTGTCGTTAGGGAATTGATGGAAGGAAGTCGTTGATCCCTCGTGAAGCGTAGGAAAGAAGGCGCTAAAATCGTAGAACGAGGAAGGCAGCCGCGGACAGGCACTTTTCCTCGCCTGCGTAACTTCCTCTAATGGCGATGACGGATAAATGTTTTCGTAAGACCGTTTGACAGGAAGTGCGTCAATCGAAAATTTGACGCTCTCGCCCGATGCGTTCCCTTCTGGCCTACGGCCCAAGAGAAGGCAAGGCGCCGCTGCTGCTCACGCAACCCCTATCGCCGCCGCCGCCTTCCGAAAAAAAAATACCAACGTCGAAAGGAATCGTGAAATTACGCTCGGATATCGTATCGTAGTATCGTATTAGCTTTGGCGACTCGGCGACGCGGTTTTTGACGCGCTTGGTGATGGCGCAACGAGGGTGAACGGAGGTTGTCGATGGCAAAATTGGAGGAGGCAACAACCGAAGGACGGCACGTAAGAAATCTTGCCTGAGGCTTGGGGGCCCGTGGCTGCGTTTGAGTCTTTGCACTAAACCGTATTAGGAAATTTGTGGCTAGTCTGCCTTTGGTAAGCCAATTACAAAGTAATGGCATATGAGCCTGAGGCATACACTATTAGTAAGCTGTTCTTTCCGTGAATCCCAAACTGAGCCACCTTACACCACAGTCATATCACGATACAACCCAGACTACCGGCGATGGTGGTATTATTCTGTTACATCTAGGGACTATCCTTTTATGATTTCTTCTTGCCCCTGGCTGTCTTTCGTTTTGACGCTGCTTTCTTTTCAGCAGCCCCTGTGGCATCCGGTATATCTCCGTCCCCCCCCGGACTCCTCCTCCGCATCGTCCCCGTCGACACGGCCACGAATTCATCCTCGCTGTCACTGTCAGCAAGATCGAACAGGATCGGCATCCGAAACCGTCCCTCTGCCGCAACCACGTCACGGTCAATCGCATTATCCATCGTGAGTACGTCGACGTCCTCGTCCTCGGCGTCCAGGCGTCGCTTGGTCAGCTCCTCCTGCCCGTAGATATCGAACTCGTCCTCCCGCTCCACGTATTCCTGGTTCTCCTCGACCTGCGCAAAGTCTGGCGCGAGCCTCGCCCATTTCTGCTCCGGTACGATGGACCATATATAGATCCTACCCGTCTCGAGCCCGCAGGTGGCCAGGAAATGGCGCTGAGGGTGCCACTCTATCACACCCTGCTCCTCCTTCGGGCCGTCCAATATCCTCGTCAGACTCCCCGTGCGCCGCTCCCAAACGTAGATCTCGTGGTTGTTGTAGGTGGATGCCGCGACATATTCTCCCGTCGCCGTGAACGTGACGTGGTTCCAGGACAGCCGATTCACCTGATCTTCGAAATCGTGCTCCTTGATCAGGTAGAGGGTGTCCACGTCGAGATCCTGGGCCGTTAGGTTCGGGACGTAAAAAGTCCTCACCTTGCGGTCCTGGGAGTTGACAAGGAGATCGCGCCCGGAACTGGTCAAGCGTAGCGTGGTGATCACCCCGTTGCACGGCTTTCCCGAATGTATGACGGCCCTGCTCTTCACGTCGATGATGTTGATCCAGCCTTTATTCGTGCCCGATATGATGTGGTCTCCGGATGCCGTGAAGATGGTCACAGTGGTCATCTGCTTGGCATCTTCCTTGGCATGCTTTTCCGCCAGAGCATCGTCCGCCTCGGCGCTGGACCGCTTCGGTATTGTGGGAAGAGGTTGTTTGACGCCAATCTCCCCTGACACGTCTACGAGCATAGGTTGATCTTCAAAAAGCGACGCAACGAAAAGGTACCTGTTCGGCGGGTAGGCGCGAGGGCGTCAGCAACTGAGCGTCCATGTAATGAAAGCCGCCCGGTAGTCGGAAAAGAGGAGAAAGGGAGGCTCACGGATTAAAGGGATGCAGCTCGGCAATATACGCTGGCGCCCTGAAACGGACTTCGCGGTGCCGCTTCCCGGTCTGAAGATCCCATAACATGACTTTCCATCCCTGGCAAGCGGATAAGAGGTATCGACCACACCCCGACCAGCTCAAGGAAGTGATGCTGCGATTGTGACCCCGCATCTTTCTCGCAACCCCCATGGTCTCGATGTCCCACACAACGACCGTGCCATCAACGCGACCAGAGGCGAGGAACTCGCCAGTCCTGTTAAACCGGAGACATGTTGCGTGGCCAGACCGGATGGTGTTGGTGTTTGTAATCTGCTCGATGTACTCGACGGCTTCTTCGGGGTCGGCAAGAAGGAAATTCATGCTTGATACGACGTCGGGCGACAGTGCCAATATTTCATCAAGTCATGATTTCTTGGTGCGCCGAGGGGGGGGAGGGAGGTGGAAGCTCGCTGGGACCAAGAAGCCGCCCGTAGCTGACCCTGCGCGTGGTGTAGACGAGGTTTCCTGCAAGGCTGAGGAATGTTTGGTGGGTGACCGTGGGGAGAACAGGGACGTGCTCGAAATGTTTGATTACCTAATCCTAAAACGTTGTGGCAAATGCATGGTGTAATTACGTTGTATGATTGCTCACCGGACTTACCGAGGTGAGAGACGAGTCGGCAACTAAGGTAAGGTACCTACCTTAAATAATATGCCCCTCCCCCGCCATTCAGCCTCGCAAGTTTGGTGGTATACACTGCAACAGGCATCACAAAAAGCTCCGGACTATTGTATTCTCATAGTTCTCGTCTCGTCAACCCATTCTAAGCTTCAAAATGGCAAATTCGAAGTGAGGCCAAGCTTCTTATGTTTAAACAAAATGAACATGTACTAAAGATAGCTTTCACAGGTTCGAATATGTTAAGAGCTTCGAACTGCCCGACACCCTCCTACCCAACACCTGGGTGGTAGTGAGGATAGATGGTCGGGGCTTCACAAAGTAAGACCCATTTCAAGTATCCTGCATTGCATAGATCCCAATATGAGACGATGACCCTGACCACGCCGCAGGCTTTGTGCGAAATATAACTTTGAGAAGCCCAACGACAAGCGAGCGCTGGATCTTATGAATGCGGCTGCGAAGGCGGTGATGGCAGATCTCCCTGAAATCACCATTGCATACGGAATCAGTGACGAGTATAGGTGAGAGAGCTCTAGCATACCTCAGTGGCCTCTCGTGGGCCTGTTTCCATTCTAACCATGGCTTGAAGCTTCGTCTTCCACAAATCATGCACCCTCTTCGAGAGGCGAGCTAGTAAGCTCGTCAGCACCATAGTATCAACCTTTACCGCCCACTACATCTACTCCTGGTCAACTTATTTTCCGGACGCGCCTCTGTCGCCTCCTCTGCCCAGCTTCGATGGTCGCGCCGTCTGCTACCCGTCAGTACAGAACTTGCGCGACTACATGAGCTGGCGGCAAGTTGACTGTGAGAAACACCATTGGTTTCCAACTCTATCCTGTTATCTTACGGGTCAAGTACTGACAAGATCAACTCAAGGCCACATCAACAACCTTTACAACACCACATTCTGGGCTCTGATACAGCTGGGAGGCGTGGACAACCGTGAAGCAGAACAGCTCTTGGCGGTATGCAAGGACACACAGCGAAACGCACTTGACGTGCCATGCTAACTCATCTCACATCGCTAGGGGACGGTATCGGGCGACAAGAACGAGATTCTTTTCTCAAGATTCCACATCAACTACAACAACGAACCCGAGATGTACAAAAAAGGGAGCGTCGTCTTCCGAGACGTAAGTTAACAATAACTACCGCCCAGTTTGCTATCCGTTGCAAGACTCCCGTCCCCGTTAACCTCGATCTAGTACGAGCTCGTTGAACCCGGAACCCACAACGCTGAGAGGGATGCCGACGCTCTGGCAGAACCGCTGCAGCATACCAAGTCGCAGGCTGAGAAGGACAGGAAACGTCGCGGAAAGGCACCCATCGTCGTCCAGCATCTCGACATCATCAAGGATGACTTCTGGGACAGGAGGCCGTGGTTGCTGTCGAACAAGCCGGGAAAGGTGCCGAAAGAGCCATGAAGGAGAAGTATGGTGTACAGAGCTGAGTGGTCGAGGGCGAAAATGGGGCATGAAAGCTGCTCCCCAGGCTTTATTGGACCAGGTGTCATTGGCATTTTGTCTATACCCCCCCCGGATATTCTCCTCAAACAACAATCTTTCATCGCTTGCCACAAATTTTCCATGGCCATGACTTGTATGTATCCAACGCCCCAAGAAACAGAAAACCTCAACCGGGTGCCACCAAGTTGAGATTCGTCAAACGATGTGATGTATTGCCCGGCGATTCTCCACGACGGCAACACGATGGATGGAGAATATCGGTCTCCACAGAGGTCTTTCAGACTGGATTCGGGTGTCGGATTTCGAATTGAGGTGCGGCATGGTTGGAGGCTGTTATGTCGACCAAGAGACGTTGTCGAATATTCTTTGGCTCGCTCGTGGGACTGTGGTTCTCTGGAACCCATACGCCTCTGTCCAAATATCCCTCCAATGCCAACAGCCAGACTGTAGATTGCCGTGCCAGCTGTTCGGTAGCCTCGAGCTTGACGAGAACAGAAGCAACCTCTGCTTCCTCAGAAAGATAGATGATACCACCGGAAGACAAGGGAACATCAACCAGCTTTCTGGGCTGACCGTCGTAACCGTTTCGCCTCCCTTCTCGCCCTCCTCTCTTCCTTGGTCTCGTCCCTCTCCCTTTCTGATTTTCCAGACGCCTTCCACGCGGCCTTCGTATCCCTCCTCCTCTTCCGCCTCTCCTCTTTTCTCTTCCTTCTGTGCTCTTTCCTTATTCTCCTCGCCTCCTTGTCCGCCCTCCGAGCAGCTCTCATCGCCCTCCTCTCTTCCTTGGTCTCCGTCTTCTCGCCAGTCTCTTGTTCTGTTTCCTCTACCGTCAAAGGCGTGGAATCCCCAGAGCTCGCACTGCCGCTCTTGCTCCCGCTCCCACTGCTCCCACTGCCCCCACTGCTCTCAGCGCTCTGGTCCGAAGAAGAAACCGTGCCCTGCAAGAGCCCACCCCGCACAAAACACCCTCCCAAACTCCACCTCCCGCCCTTCCCCATCTCGACCGCGTTGATCCTCCCTTGCGTAACGGCCTGCACGACACCAACCTTGCCCTCCGACGTAGTCGTGGTGCTCAGCCCCTGTAGCTGCTCGTCAAACGCGCTCATCCACCACATGTCGCTCGTGAAGTGCGCCTTCTGCCCCAGGCCCTTGTTCCCGTCGCGCCGGTTCAGGAGGAGCGGCTTCGATAGCCCGATCGCGTCCGAGGTCGCGTGCAGGGAGTGGCCTGCTCCCCGCCAGCCCTGCGACGTCAGAAGGGCATGTGCGTCCATGTTTTCGGGGGATGTTATGTGTTTTTCTTTTCAATACCCGAAGTGTTTTTTGCCTAGTGTCCGTCTTGGTGTGAGAGACAGAGAGTCGGAGGCACTGGGAGACGTCCGTATGCGGATGCAATCGTTTGGAGCGTAAGGGTGAGGAAGAGAGAGATTACCGCGCGACGAGGGTGAAGAGGTCGGATGGCGACAAGCGGAATTCTCTAAACTCTTTGAGATATTATCATGGTTATTCCGTATGGCCGATTTGAGCGTAAACGGGGTTGTCAAGACAGACAGATCCCTGGATTGGGGTGGTTGAACGATCGTAGCCAAGTACATAATTATCTGTACGAAATATTTTTTTTTGGGACAGTCCACCAACGCCTCTTATCTTATCGCCTCACACCGAAAGAAAGTCACCGCCAGGTTGAACCTTGTGAAGGTACCTAAGGTAGGCATTACATCAAGTCCAAATACTGCCGTTGAAATAAAAGAATACAGTTTATTTTCCTATGGTATCGTTAATGCATTCAAGAAACCGAACTTGCTCCGCGAGTACCTAACCATATGTAACCTACTCCGTTCTCATGGGTCATCGGCCTCCCCCTCTATCCTGATTTCCGATCAGCACCAACCTGGCATTCCTTTCTTACCCACTGTCCATCTTAATACTACAGAGCACAGAGCAATATATCCAGCCGACTGAACGTTGCTCCCAAAAAGACAGCTTTCCCCCATTCAAGATGCGCAAGCCTTGGGCAGTCGCATCTGTCGCCTACCAAGGTTTCTGTTGGCTAACTTGTTGAAACTAGTTCTCTCGCTGGCCTGGAATGTGTTTACACTGCCGATGTTAATCTCTGCGACGGGCCCAGCCGGGCATGGTGTCCATATTTGATCGAAATAATCCGTGACGAGACGATGTGCCACCTGATCTTCACGAGCGAAGGCCTCGCAAAGAAAAGCAACCCTACGGTGCCAATGGCTCACCTCACTGTCGATCGTGTCAAGAGCATCTGCAAGGAAGCTACGGCCTGCAGACGGGAGACCAGGTCAGGCCCGAGTGCGACCAGGTGATGACCCGACAGTGAAAACGTCACTGGTATAAAGTTCCCGGGTAAAATAATCCATGCTCCCGGGAGTTTTAGATTCCGGTATTGTCGGGCATTCCTCTGGACAGAGTTTCCAGGGGCGCATCGATCACAATGTCCGCGCCGGAAGAGTGGATTCGGGCTGTTCAGGGGCTGCTGATGCAGCTGCTCCTAGTCAGCTCCCATCAGCCCAGGGCGTTACTTGTCGAGGTTTCCGATGACAACACCGCTCCTGCTACTAGTATCCTCCGTGCCTGCAAAAGAAGTACTGATGCTGGCACGAGGAAATACGAGCTCAAGCACCGCAGGGTCCGCCTAGTTTCTGACGACGTTGGCAAGTACAGAAAACTGCTCGACCTCGTAATCTGCGCCGTTGAGGGCTCGCTGGCCCTTAGGAAGCCCTGCGACGATTTCCACCTCGATGAGGTTGACCGATGCGGCTTGCAGTTGTGCGTCGAAGACGAGCGTGTTAGGGGGGAAGGCCTGCCCTGGCATGGGTGCCTGCGGAGCAAGCAATTGTTTGTTGATGGCCACCCACAGCTTGTAATGTCGCTGTTGTTGTCGCAGGGAGGCAAGCACGTTGACGATGATTTGAATACGCACATGGTTCGGCGGCATGTGCATCGCTACGCATTGACGAACCGTTAGCTCGTGAGGACGAAGGTCGAAAACGTGCCTGCGTTCGAAGTTGAGCATGGGATGGGTCTGAATGCGCAACAATTGAAGGAGAGCATCATCCGGGCCTAAAGTAAACATCCACGTTAGCCGCCACATCGAAATGCCGACAGTATATATGAAAAAAAAGGGTATGGGCGGCTCCATCTCGTACCTTTTCCAGGGAGGCGGTATATCTGGTCCATAATGGTAGGTTCTCTCCTTGTCTCCGTTGGATGAACAGGGTGAAATTTGGCGGTACTCGTCGCCACTGTGCCAAGAACAGGTTGTGCGGATGGGGCCGGCTGACCTGGCTCAGCTACCTGGGCAGGGGTTGCCGCCGCGCCGGTGTCCTCCTTGGTGGCACCGTTGGGCGCAGGTGGCCTTGGAGAAGCGGCCGAGGTGCTCTTCGCTCCTTCTGCAACCAGAGGCCCATTGGCGTCGAGACGTTGCTGTGGTGTTCCGGACCTGGCAGCTGCAGCTATGGCAGCGGTGGTATCGGTCCCATTGGGGACTGAAGGCTGTTCGCTCCCGCGAGATTCCTCGGACTGAGCCGTGGCAGAAGGCGCAGGAGTATCGGTGGAAACACCTCTCGTATTAACCTGAATGGTGATCTTTTTGGAGGAAGGTGTCGGCGTGGACTGGTCGTTCGAAAGCTTGAGCTTGATCTTCGGCTGGGGCGGTTCGTCAACCACCTTCTTAGCTTGTGCAAGTTGATCGCGGAAGAAAGCCTGGCAAAATGGGGTAAGCATGAGGTTAGTCTTAGGAGAGACGTGGCGGTAGGTCGAGCGAGGGTTAGTAGTATACCTCTAATTCCTTTGCCAGCGCATAAATTGCGCTTTCGTCCGTGTTGAAGTAGTAGGCGTTCCGCCACAGCAAACTCGCCGTCTCCTCAAATGCGGCCCAGCTCTTAAAATCGGAGATCCCTGTGTTTTCCTTTCGACCGTGGATACCCTTGACCAGCTTCTGAAGCTTTTTGATGGAGAGAGGTTGCCTGATGACCTGATAATATTCCTTGAAAGAGCGTGGGGGAAGGTTGAGGAATTCATCGAAATACGGCAGGCCACTGCCAGGCATGTCATTAGTACGGGCAGCAAAGATGCGGCAGGGGTCGTGGACATGGAACTAACGCTTCTTCATCCTTCTTCCGCATCATCTCTTCAACGATCTTCTCCTGGGCTTCCTGAAAGTTCAGTTCTTTGTAGGGGACGTCAAGAAAGACATTATCATCCTTGCGGCCGATCGACCGGGAGACAGGCGCGTTGCTTTGTGGGGTGCTGCTGGAGCGACCGGCAGACCTACGGCCTGGGCCACGACGAAGGATGATAGAAGTGCGCTTCGAGGCCGGGCGTTCTTCCTCTTCATCGGCTTCCCCATTCTCTTCGCGCTCGACGCTCTCCTCAACTTTCTTCGCGCTCTCTTCGATGTCCTTCGCGGTTTCCTCGACGTCTTTCGCCACTTCCTCTGTCGAATCCGTCTCGCGGTCTTCACGGGGCGCCGGTGTGCCCGATGCCGAAGCCATGCTCCGGGTCGTGGAAGCACTGGATGCGGGGCGACGATGAGAGGTAGGCGTGGTAGGACGTTCTTCGACCCTCTCGTCGGCTTCGGGAGGTAGAGGTGTGGGAAAGGCAACGTAATTTCCTTTTTGATATGCAGGATTCTTCTTGGTCATGTAATTGCTCAGAGCCTTGCGAACCCTTTCGGCGTCTTCGAAGGTGGACGAATTGCGCGGGTAGAAGTCCTTAGCGTTACAAACCATGCGCTTAAAATAGCTCTCGAGTTCAGTGAGGTTCGCGAATTCCTGGTCGATAAGTTTCTGTTCGATCATTTCAAGGGAGATGGGCATCCGCGTTTGCTTGTAGTATTCTTCATTGCCTTCTCGGGGGAGGAGTTTCTCGAAATAGCCCGCTATCTTGCGCCCACTGAATACACCCGTTAGCTATAAGAGACATACAAGTGATATCAAGTTGCGCGAACGCGGAGATATCGATGGCGTTGATGAAGGGATGCACGCGAAAGAAGCGTCGGCACATGGGCAAAAGTCCTGACACGAAACAAAGGTCAAACAGAGAGAATAGAGACAAACTCACTTCTTGTCTGCCGTGCGACGAATTTGTTCGAGGAGGAACAGCCCATGGGCTGTTGTGGACTCCGGAGTTTCGCCCTTGCTGAGATCGTATTGCTGAATGGAAACGCGGTCGTTAGCAAACAGGGCGGTGCGTGGCTGGGTTAGAGCGTGCGATGGTGATGAAAACGGCTCAATTGGTGGTGTAGTGGGGATCAACGTGGAGAAGAGGGAAGACTGAATCAGGTTGCTGCTGATCGCAAAGCGGCCCGGTGGAAAAAAGTCGCAGTTTCCCTGGAGCTTGGGGCTGTTGGGACGACGGTTGACGCATGCGGAATGACTCGAGGCAGCTGTTGTCGTTGGAATGGGGGGGATGGGTAAGGGACGATTAAACAAATTACATAGAGAGGAGGAAAGTCAACTGGTAACCACTCACCTCAGAAAGCCTCTGACGCTTTGCAGCGCGTTCTTCGCGCTCCTCGGTATCTGAAGAGGCGGCACCATTAGAGGCGCTCGCTTTTCGTTTGTGGTCCATCGGAGCAAGCGGTGGTATCCCTAGTCAGGATCACAGTGCATGCGTGCAAGTCTACAGCCAGGGTTATGAGGGATGCGACGGTCTTAAGCAAGATGTAATGTCTTGCTGAGTTATTCGTAGAAGCTGGGGCGTATCTGGCGCCCTACTTTGCGGCGATGCAGTGCGATGCGATCGATTGCGATTGTGGTGAACACGGTGCGCTCAGATTCCGTCGAGGGAACAAGATGTGGAGAAGGTGCAAAAAGCTTGGTCACTCGGAAGGCGTGGTTGGAGACCATGCATTGTGCGAAACACGATGGCCTTGAGAGGTACCCAGAGAGTACATTACGTAGAGAGGCTTGTGTATGGGTCTGGGTGTAATTGCAAAGTATGGGAACGGGCTGGGTCTGTACCGGACCCGTTGTGCTGAGCTTGGTACCTACCCAGTACTTCGTCGATAGGTATTGAAGAAAATGCACAATGCGTTGGTTGGTTTGCTTGGAAATCGTGCCGACATTCAAAACAAGTATTTGATATTTTCATATCGCCACCTCAAGGCCTGTTCTGGTCAATGGAAAGTAATCGTCTTATATAACTGTTTATAAGATTGTTTCTGCTCAAGTGGCGGTTCGTGTGTCTCACAGGCTTCTTCATATATCCCAGGGATACCAAGGCTCGGGACATGCCGCAAAAACAATGCCCCCCATCATAAGGCCTCAAAAAGCCCTACCTACTTCGTATGATGTATCTCGCAAGTACCATGGTACTGAAGGCGGCGGTTGGACTGAGGTGGCCCATCACGTCCCAGCCCACAGATGGGTTGGCTGGTTGTAACGACCCCGGTCTACCGGATTCGACGATCTTTATGAGGGCACATCCCGATTGGTTGTGTTTTGTTTACTTGACCGGTCCCCTCCAATGCCGGCAATGATGATATCTTTTTTTTTTCTGTTGTTAGGTCCAATTGAATATTTCCGTCTCTTTCTCCCCCTACCTTACCTTACCTTTCAAATACCTTTTGCGTTACAAGATAACCATCATTGAGTACGACCTCTCGGATACCCCCACTTCATCGCAGCTTCCCTCGTCGTTGTTGACCGACTCAACGCTGGGCCGACTGTGTGTGGATTTCAGCACCAGCGCTCCACTTGGTTGGCTTAATTGTCGCGCTTGCCTGCCCAGTACCCCGCTCACATTTTCCCGCCACTTCAGTACCTTCAGTACATAGCTCGACGACTTCCCCAGAGAACACACCAGACCCAGCTGTCGCGATCAGGAAGCATCTCTGCAATCGCCGCCGTTTTCCAACCCGAACCAATCCCTAAACTTCGACACACCACCGAACTGATTAAAATCCGACACCCTCTCTTTCGTCCTCGGCAACTCCGCATCTGGACTTCCTTTCCCTAACCAACATCGGACAGTCTCTTGACCGCCCCGATCATTCTCCGCTATCTTCACCTCAAGCCACGAATTCAACACCGCCCGGTAGACGATAACAAGAACAACAACGATGCCTATGAACATGAACATTGACATGAGCCGTCGGAATCCCGTTCCGAGGCCTCTCTCAGATGACGAGCGAGCCGCCGTGGACGAATACGTCGACTCGATTCACTATTCGGCACGGTACGTTCGTCCAACCAACTGTCTCTTCTCCTCGGAATCGATCGTGTCCTTCGCCGAGACGAACGCGTGACTCGACCCAATGGGGATAAAGTGCGGCGGTAAACTGACCGAGCCCTACGTACAGCTACTCGGACAGCGAGTTTGAGTACCGACACGTCCAACTGCCCAAGGCCATGCTCAAAGCTATCCCTAAAGCCTACAAGGACACCACTCACGGAACCCTGAAGCTTCTCTGGGAAGAGGAATGGCGTGCGCTAGGAATCACTCAGGTTTGTCATGTCTTGTATTTCGTCCACATACGAAAAGCAATGTCCATCCGTGGCTAACCATCTTTCTTTTTTTTTTTTTTCCCACCAGAGTCTCGGTTGGGAACACTATGAGGTACACGAGCCGGAGCCACACATCTTGCTCTTCAAGTATGAGACGCCTTGTCCCACGAACAACTACAGAGCCATATACTGACGTTGCTTTAAGGCGCCCTCTGAACTACCAACCACCTAACATGTAGACGCCATCGCAAAGCTCGACCTGCCCTCCGCGAAATCGAACCGCATCTGCGACGACGATTCAGAACATGTCTCGACCATAATTCTCTGTCCCATATCCCTCGCTAAGATTCCGATATGGGTTATACCATGACGATGATAAGGGAACGACCGCTGCTATCTGTTTTGTTTTTTCCAGTCATCCCCTCTTACCGATCACAAGAGGAGGACATGACGGCATGCACTGCATTGCGTGTGGCGTTGCATCGTTTTCCACGCCTCATTTTATCGCCCAACCAGCGGGACGCCAGCAGTGCCCTTGCTGGTGCTGAAGGATCCTCGCTGCCTTCCTCTCTCCCTCTCTCTCCCCCCTTCTCCCCCTCTCCCCTCTCTCTTCCTCTCATTTTCTCGGGTTTGTGTCTTTTGGCTTTTCATGTGATTCGGTGTTTGTAGGCGGAATGTAGGTACATACTGCAGGAACTTGGTAAGAAAGCCGATGTCAAGTTTACACACCTGGGCTGTCATGTTTTCACAGGCGTTCCATGACAAGGCAGGCTCAAGAGGACTTTTTATCACGGCCGCATCTGATGGGACCCCAGGGCGTGTGACGGACGGCAAGGCAAGGGGGGAATGTAAATATATCACCAACCGGGTATGTGCCTGAATAGCCAAAAGCTGGCATAGTGACTGAGCTGAGTACCTCGTAGGCTGGTAGAACGGTGGCCTCCTTTGGGAAGGCGTCAAGTATGTTGGCAAATACAGGGAATCCGTTCATCCAGACCATATATGGTAGTGGCCAAGCTTATGGTCAACTTCTAGAAAAGTCAGTTGTGCATTCTGTTCCCGGGCTGCTCAGGGGCTCTGGGTTCGTCGCTCGAGTCTCGTCTCGACGGTACGTATGGAGTGGTCGGTTGGCGCTTAAAATCACACATGGGATGATGAGTGATCGGCGGAACTGGTGTGGTTGCTTGCTTAGTAAGGCATTCAGTTCACCTTCGGTTTCCAGTTTGCACCTCAAGATGATGTTCATCGACAGTCAACATGGTGCCTCAACCGGTCACTGCGGCGACTCCATCGCCCGGGATTACTGGCCTTTTCCTCTCTCTCTCTCTCTCTCTCTCTCTCTCTCTACATTCATTTTGTCTTTGTCATGTGCATTCAACTGTTCTGTCACGGCGCTTGCTTATGTTCACGACGCGGCAGCGGTCAGATCGGCGAGCGTTCCCTACCCAAGGGTTCGATCTACCTGACCCAGGACATATCATTGAAGAGGAGGGGATGCCAGAATATAACCCCGATCATTTTTATCCTGTTTTCTCGGGCGAAATTCTCCGTGACAGGTTCCAGACTCGGCTTCTCACCGTCTCAACGGGTCACGGGATGCTGTCCTTGCGAAGATTTCTTCAAGCAGCAGAATGTGTCAAAAGATGATACCATCTGTAGGCAGCTAATTCGAAGAATTAGAACTAACGTTCAACAAAGGGCTTAACAGCGAGACTGTGTCTCTTCCACCCCGTACCCCGTACTCCGAATTTCAACTTCGAGCTTATACTGAGTACGAAGGTCGGAGACAATCAGAGTGGACTATCACGTGGATTGCTGCGGATAGACGCATTAATAATACAGTGAGGGTGCGTTTGGTTTGTCAGACATTGTGAGAATCGGTCGACCCACCTTGTGCCGTCTCTAGCGCCATTTGCCGAGCACTGAAGCTTTCGGTGGACTACGAATCACACGGCACCACTTATCCAGATATGACAGGTACCTTACAGTTACAGCGCAGAGGCCGGTGTACCTTAGCTACCAATCTGCTCTCTCCTCCCTACCTAGGTACCTACCTGTGTACAACGTACTGCGTACGGATACGTATTCCATCGTATATGCTTGCCCCGGGAAATCTAAAAGGCCACATCACCATCTTCCGTCCTGAACAAAATCGTGTCCGACCACTTCCTCCTTCCCCATTGGGGTTTCCTGGTTTATTTAGGAAATCCTTTACGGAACTCTTCATCTACGGTATTCCGCATACCAAACAAATCCCCAACTCCTCCTCACGAGCGTACGGGGTAACGGGCAAAACAGGTGAATGTGGCACGATATTGACTTCGGCCTCGTCTCGTTTAATCTTTCTCGTTAATCTTCCATACCGATCACGAGAGTTACGCCAAGCTACGCCGCCTTTGACGTCCACGAACCCCCGCTCTGCATTTACAACCACCGTCCCAACCTGTCAACAGGAGCCTGTCCCTCCGTCTGCACCCCACACTTCCGACGTCGCCGCCTCCGTCTCCGTCGAGCTTATTGCGACCACTTGGCCACTTTACCTGCCCTATGTGCGCCGCTTACGCATGCCCATAGAACCAATCGAGCTCATGCCCGGCCCCCCGAGGCTCGGTTACCGTTGGTTTATTCGTGCTACGTACTTGAACTAGATCTCCGACTTCTTCCACCATGAAGTCCGAGTCTGCCAGCAGACTCTTTTACCTTTCCTTGTTCGCACTTTGGGCTTCTCCTGGCCAATGCGATCGTGCCCAAGATGATTGTGCGGTATGCCGCTCTCCTGTCTCCAGCCTTTGTTTCTCTCTGCATATCTAGTACCCTTGCCCAGAGGGCTCTGCTGGCCGCCTCCCTCGATATAACCCCGCCGGTGGACGTCGACGTTATCTCTTCTAACGACGTACCCGTCCAGATATCCCCCAAGGCGATCGTCTCTGACGCCTGCGCGTCCTATGCCACCCTCGACAAGCTCAATGGCGTCGTCAAACCCGCCCTCGATGACCTGACCACAACGACCGACTTCTTCTCCCACTACCGCCTCAACCTCTTCAACAAAAAATGCCCCTTCTGGGACGACGAGAACGGCATGTGCGGCAATATTGCCTGCGCCGTCGAGACGCTCGATAACGAGGAGGACATACCCGAGGTATGGCGGTCTAGCGAGCTTGGCAAGCTCGAAGGTCCTGTGGCCAAGCATCCCGGCCGCCGGGTGCAAAAGACCGACCGCCCTCTCCAGGACGGTCTGGGCGCCGATGTGGGGGAGAGCTGCGTCTTCGAGTACGACGACGAATGCGACGAGCGCGACTACTGCGTTCCCGAGGACGAGAGCGCCGCCTCCAAGGGCGACTACGTGAGCCTGCTCCGCAACCCGGAGCGCTTCACCGGCTACTCAGGCTTCGGTGCTTCCCAAATCTGGGACGCCATCTACCGCGAGAACTGTTTCCAGAGGAGCTCCTTCCCTCATTCGGCCGCTCTCGGCCAGTCCTCCAACGGGGCCCCCTTTGGTGGCCCCGCCGTCGAGGACCTGAAGCAGGTCCTCGAGGCCGCGGGCCGTCAGCAAGTCCTCGAGCAGATGCGCGAGACCCATCCCAACGCCCCCTTCGTGGCACAGACCGGACTCGAGGCCCAAGACGAGTGTCTGGAGAAACGCGTGTTCTACCGCGTCATCTCGGGCATGCACGCCAGCATCAGCACCCACCTCTGCTGGGACTTCCTCAACCAGACCACCGGCCAGTGGCAGCCCAACCTGGCCTGCTACGTGTCGCGGCTGCACAGCCACCCGGACCGCATCAGCAACCTCTACTTCAACTACGCCCTGGTGGCCCGCGCCGTGGCCAAGCTGGGCCCTTACCTCCAGGGCGAGGGGGGTAGCGAGCGCTATACCTTCTGCACGGGCGACCCGTCGCAGGACGCCGACACGCGGGCCAAGGTGCTGGCGGTGACGGAGGGCGCGGCGTCGGAGCCGCGGCTCTTCGACGAGAGCCTCATGTTCAAAAACGGCGAGGGCCCGTCGCTGAAGGAGGATTTCCGGAACCGCTTCCGCAACGTGAGCCGCGTCATGGACTGCGTCGGCTGCGACAAGTGCCGCCTCTGGGGCAAGCTGCAGACGGCGGGCTACGGGACGGCGCTCAAGATCCTGTTCGAGTTTGGTGGCGACGCCGACGCCGACGGCGATGGCGGTGGCGGTGAGGTCGATGTGCCGCGTCTCAAGCGCACCGAGCTTGTCGCTCTTTTTAACACGTATGCGCGCATCAGTGGCTCGCTTGCCGCCATTGGGAAGTTCCGCGCCATGTATGAAGCCCAAGAGGCCTCTGCCGCTGCGGCTGCGGCTGCGCCGGTTCCGATTGAAGCGTCGACACGTGTGGCATCTTTAGAAGCGTCGTCGAGTCTGTTGTCATCAACTCCCCACTCGGCGGCGGGGAGGGCAAAGAAAACGAGCGACGGTCATGGTGGAGATGGAGATGGAGAGGACGAAAAGGAAAAAGAAGAAGGGGAAGAAGCCCCTGATGACACGAAAGAGGTAGAAGATCCACCTCGGATCACGCGCCGGAGGCGAAGGCTGAGGGGCGACGAGAGCTGGTCAGAGATATGGCGGGTGTCGTGGGAGAATGAATTCGGGCTGGCCACGCGGGCCACCAAGCTCGTCCTACGCCAATGGGTCCGGTTCCCTCTGACGCTGTAAGTTCTCATTTTTTTTTCTTCTTCTTTTTTCCTCCCCTCTTATCCCAGATTCCGTGAACGAGTAGGCTGACCGGGGGGAAAAACGCGGGAATCCAGCTGGGAAATCATTTCGACTGAAGCCACCCGTCTGGGCCAGTACTGGCTCGGTCTACCTATGATGCCACGGACATGGAAGATTGAGCGACCCAACTTGGACGAGCTGTAAATTTTGAGGCGTCAACACTACATTGAGACGTAGAGAGACCATGCGATAAAAAGGTCTCGAAGAGAGAAGAAGAAGAAAGGAGACGAAGTATATATATGTATGTATATAGGATACCATCCCATAGCACGGGAGGCATTCGCATCTAAGGAGTCACGGAACTACTCTAGGGGGAGAGATGAGTCCCTTTCACCGTGAGAAGCCACGATGGCCTTCTCTTTACAACCGCATTGTCGGTATTGCATGGCTAGGGTGGTCACTTCTGGACCCAAAAGAAAGAACAACAAAATGCATCAGGAGTTCGGATTGGAGGCCTGGAATACATTACGTATATCCTTTCTCAAGTCAGCACACAGGCAGGAGTTTTTGCATCTAGTGATACACAGAGACTGAAATGAGGACGAGAAGATGGATAATTGAAAACCAATATTTGGCTCTAGTTTACCTTGCAGTATGCATATACTCCTTGTGTGCACATGTCTCTCTCTAGTGCTGCCCTTGCCACTGCTATATGGGGCTCACATCACCTGGCTCTCCTCCGAACAGAAGATGTACGAGAAGCGAGCGGGATGTGGGTGATGACGTTCCCAATTTTAGTCTTGACGGCCGTGACGGGGATGCGCCAGGACGGAATGTCGCTGAAGGGCGGTCTCGTCAGCAGGCGGTGGGTGCGCAGACTGGTCTCGTCGTCCGGGGGTTCGGCGAAGGTCCAGGCTATGCTGATGTGGAATGCTTGGTCTGCTCGAAGGGCCTCTGCCTCTGCAGCGGGGGACGAAGAGGAGGATGGTAATGCGGAGTTGTTGGTGTTGATTTTGCAGGGAGATGCTGAGGACGATGGCGGGACGTAAAGGGTGGGGTGGCCGTAGGCGGATGCGAGGACGTTACACCTGCGGAGGAGATCGCAGAGGTGGGGGTTTGAGCCGATGATCCCAGTCCCAGTAAGTGTAGAGGTGATGCTAGTCGCGGCAGTCGTAAGAACGGAGTCGGTTTCGGTGGTAGTGACGTCGGGGTCGTGAGGACTGTCGGTGGTGATATTGCTCGCTACGCGGAGGACGAGAAAGGTGCGGTCCGAGTCGGGAGATCTGTGGAAGGCTAGGGTGGTAGGCGATACTGTGAAGGAGCAAGAATGAGAGCATATGGCGCTCGGATTTGCTGGTGGACAGGCTGAGGGGAAAGCCGAAGGTGAGAAGGAACGCAGGGAAGCGGTAAGGTCGTCGAGAAAGGAGTCTTTTGTCGAGGTGGTGAGTGCCAAGGGGCGTGAGAGGGAGATGTGTAATGGCAGCGGGGCATTCAGTTCGGATGTCAGAAAGCTGTGAAGCTTGTGGTCTTGAGAATGGCCATGTTCATGTTGGATGGCCGTCAGTAAGTCGGATAACGCGGCGTGTTCTTGCGCCGTGGGATGCCCTTCGATTTTAAGTCGGTGAGCTTTGGAAGGGAGTGGTGAATAATGGAATCACGGTCACGTCACTTACACTCAATGTAAATGTGAGACGGCCAGTTGCCCACGATATGAGGAATGGCCCTCTTTCGGCCATGGTGTAGGCTTGGGTCGTCGACGACACTGTGACGGACGGTTGAGGCGTATAGGTCGTGAAAAGCTTCTGGGAGGGGAGGGAGATCTGACTGGCGAGCAGGTTGCTTGGTCGCCGCCTTCGCCCTGTCCACAACCTTCACCTCTTGCACACTAGTGGCCTCGTATTCAACCTCATTTACGCGCTCGGCGCCATCTATTTGAGATCGCCGTCTCTTGGCTGGCGGTGGACCAGTCTCGGCTTCCGAGTCGTCGGAGGAGTAATCGACGAGAGCCATGAGGGAATGTGGACATGAGCATCTAGCCTAAGGTAGTGGCATGTGAGTCCGTCGATGTTGGTCTTGGTCAGTCTTTTCGCCTTTTATGTCGGATTTGACGGGGAAGTAAAAACAGAACAGGCATCTGAATCTGGGTAGCGAATATCGATGGCAGACTGTCGGGGTGTAAGTACCGTAGTCCAGACAGACCAGAAGCATCAGCCACATTCCACCGTAGACGAGTGGTTGTGTTGTGGCACAAGGTGCGGCTGTGGCTTTACGGAACCTAAGGTACCTTTACGGTACGGACATCTGGCCCATGTGGATACGTGAGACGTCGTGTTCCGTCCTGCGTCCTGCGTCGTCATGCTGAGCGTACCGATGTTACCGAATTTAAGGATATTTTGAAAGATATTCTTGAGGCTGAATTTTTTGACTAGGCTTTGTTTATAACGATTCTTCATCACTAAAGAGGCGCCGAAGGGTTGGGAGAGGCGGAAAAAAAAAAAAAAGAGAAAAAAAAAAAAAAAAAGAGTTCAAGGCCATCCCGGATGTTCGTCCCATTGGTCTCCGAAACTTGAGGGGACTCCACCAAAACAGCCACGGAGAGGAATGGACCCACTGAAGCACGGCACTGAAAATGGACCAAGATTCGGTCCTCGAGCCCGCCACCTACGGAGTAAATTATGCACATGTTGAACGGGGCTGAGCCGTTATCCGACCTCGGACTACGCCGGCCCTATATTTACTTCATACGGGGCTGGACGGGACGTACTGTAGTCAACGTCGGGACCGAATGCTCCTGTTGAGTAACAAGTAACACAGACGGGAGATCCGGGCCCAACACGGCGCTGGAGCTCTATAAGTCTATATAACAGAACCTGCTCCCTCCTGTTTCTCTTTTCATCCTCATTCTTGCAACTACTTTCTCGCTTTGCGACGTTCACTGCAGTTTCGCGTGCATCCTTGTCCTTGCTACGACACTCATACGCACACGCGACCTGTTTCCATCGACAGATTCGACTCGACTGCCGCTTGAAGCAGATTAATCACATTGCAAGAGACGAGACCGACGACGCTGGCACCTCTGATACTATAGCAGATATGTCGGGCGACGCATTGTGGGTGAGTGCATGCCATTACGGTTCTTTTCCTTTCTTCTATTCATTTCATTGATGGTCCCCCCCCCCCCCCCCTTTTTTTTTTTTTTCCTTCTCCCCTTGTTTTCCCCTTTCTTCCATGTCCCAGAGGTCTGGACTCGCGTCGGGGGCGAATCTGGAGATTGGTCGTACTACTCCGTATGGTACCACCTAGACTCAAGCCTCCTCGGACGCAGTCAAAGCCACAATCCGAGTTCTGGTCTCACTTCGAATCTTTTCCCAGTTCAAAGACACTCCGCACTTACACTGGAAATTTGACTCACGTACGGAGTACTACCGAGTACCTGTACTTTCCAAGGTACACCTATCTTCATTCCTTTTCCATCCCAACCCAAGTGGGAAGGGCGGATCGGAGTGACAGGGTCCTCTCCACAGTTGCACCTGCCAACGCAACTTGCAGTGGGGAACTTGGGGGGCCTCGACCCCGCCCACGGCACCCTTTTGTCTCCACCTTGCGTCACCCATCTGCCCACCACGGAACTTACAAGTGACCAAAGTGACCAAAGTGAGCAAGAAGTCACCGGCAGACCCCGGCAGACCCCGGCAGGAGGACCCTTAAAGTTTTGGGGGCCAACGTAACCTGGTGTCTTAAGCGGAGAAGTAGGGGACCTGGACTGGCTTGGGTTGAGAAACTTCCACGCAAGCTTCTTGTCGATCTCTTTATTATCTCTTTTCCCATCTGCCTCTACCACTACACGAGCTACGTCGATAAATCATCTTCAGATCACTGCCTCCTTTTTGTTCAACTGGTCAGCGACGAGGTGGATTTAAAAACGTCACATCAAATATCGATACATAGGCCCGGCGCATCGCTTTGGAAAAGTTGTTTTATTAACATTCTTCCGCTTCCCAGGCAAAAGCATACCTCATCGACCCTCTCATCGGCCCTGAACCCAGCCAGCTAGACGGTCCAGGCACCTCCTTTATCAATCCTGAGCGCCAGCAACGGCTCTTGTCCGCCAAGGCACTGAAGGCGAAAACCGTCACTCTGGATCTTCCTCAAACCCGACCGGTCCTCCCTACGCCTCCAGATTCAGCCAGTCCGACACGAGACTCGTTCGGTCCCCCCACCTCGTCCTTGCTCACGCCATCACGCTCTCCCAGTCCTTGTCAATCTGACCGCCGCCATCCTCCGAGCTCTAGCATCAGCAGAAGCCCCAACACACGGCAGCCTTCCGTCGGCTACTCAACCCAACCCATGCCGCGCGTAAGGAGCGTAAGCACGCCGGATCCTCCTCCCCCCAGCACCGGCCACCGCAGACATCACTCGCTTAACCAGCGATACCCCGGAGACATGTCCCACCGTCCCCTCGATGTCATCAAGCAGGAGTATCGCGCCGCTCACCGCGCCCCCCATCTGTCCGCCCGATATAACGGTCCGAGCACCGATGTGATCGACTCGCTTGATACCATCGGCGGCGCTTATCATCACGACGGCCCCTACGACGCTGCGTCGGCTGCCCGCAACCGCCACAAGAAGTACTCTCCCCTGGACGCCGTTCACGATTCCAACATGGAAGCCATCAGGGCCACGCCCCGCGAGTACATGCAGGACTGCCTGACAAAGCACGTGCCTTTCCAAGGCACCGCGACCATCCCTGCCGGCTTCCCCGACATGCGGGGACACCGTATGGACTACGTCGAGGGTGCCGATCTCATGCGGGAGCCTGATGCAGCAGGCGGTGCCTACAGACGATGGCCCGGAATTGTAAGTAGCCCGTGGAATGCCTTTGAACTGTTCTTCGATCAGAACGATGAAGACGAGCTAACCGCATCTTTATCCAGCAATACCACCCGGACGATCTCAAGGGCAAGGGTGAGCCCTCTTTCACCATTGAGAGGGTCTTGAAGGAGAAGATACGTCAGGCGCATCGCGCCGGCGGCATGGGTGGCGCCAATGACTTCGAAATGCAATCCGGCGTCAACCATTACTATGTGAAGGGCGGTGCCTCGACCCGTCAGCGCAGCGTGAGCAACACGGACGACGGCAGGCCCGGCCCTTCCGGACCCGACGTCTACAGCTTGTCCCCCCCCGATGGCGGCTTCTCCAACAGCACCAAGATTCGTCGACGCAACACCACGGGAAGACGCATCGGCGAGGGCATCAAGCGCCGCCTCGGTCATCTCCGTCCTAAGAAAGACGCCGATTACTAAGGCTTTTACTCTTCCCCCCCCCCTCGTTGCCTCTCCGGTTACGACATATACTGGGCAAATCGAAATTTGGGTGTGATGGAACCTCCAGCGATGGGAATATGAGGTGGACGTGTCATAAGAGACTTGGGCGATATTGTTCGGAAACTTACTTGTATGCATACATCGAATGGGTCAGCGCCACAGCGCTTTTGGGAATACTGTGTTTTGAAGCACAATGGGGTAACGCTGTTGGGTTATAGCATGGGAAATATAACAGGGTTGGGTGCAAAGAGTTCCTTTTCAAAACTTGTGACAGAGCTTTTTTTTACTACGTAGAAACATGTTATCCATGCTCCATAATTTCCAAGGCCTTGTAATTTGCTACCACGACATGGATAAAATCCGATGGACAAGGTTACTCGTCCCTCATCGGCCAAACAAGCGAATCGACCGCAGGCCAAGCCAAGAGAGACGAGACACCCCGAGACGCCAGAAGCCGCTGGCTCAGAAGTACGCGAAACCCGCCCAACCAAGCAGCCCTTCGAGCTCGGCGCGAACATCCGCGGGATCGGCGTAGCCGCCCTTGCCGGCGGCCTCGGCCCGCTGGCGGGCGCCGAGCTCGGTCCAGCGGGCAAGAAGGGTGCCGTCGACCACCGACCGGCCTGCCGAGATGTCGACCCCCGGGAGGCGGGCGGCGTTGTCCTGCGGCGGGAGCCGGTGGCCCTTGGGGTTCATGCCGGCGGCGTGCGGGAGGGCGTTGGTGAGCGAGGAGGCGAGCGAGGTGAGGCGGCGGTACGCGGGCTCGGAGATGGGGTGGAGCGCGTGGAGCGCGCCGGAGGGGGATGCGAGGAGGAGGACCTGGGAGGACGTGGCGGGGTCGGAGGCTGATGGTGTCGTCGGAGACGAGGGAGAGTTGGCTCGTGGTAGGTTGAGGGTTGCCCAGACGTGGTTGGGGTCTGCGGAGAAGGATGCGCGGTTGAGGAGGAGGTGGCCTTGGAGGGAGCGGGGATCTGGGTATGGATAAATCATGTGTTAGTTAGATACGTTAGAAAATACGAACGAGGGAAGATCGGAACGCACGCTCAGGGTCAAACTGCAGGATGTGTAGAACACCGTCCTCATCGCAAACGACGATGCTGAGCTCGTTCCCGCTAGCCAAAAAGTCGGCGGTCAAGCACCGTAGCGTGGTGCTGCTCTTCCCGAAGAGCGTCATACGGTACGGCTCCTCCGAGTACCCGACAAACCAGACGCCCTTGAAAGCGTCAGCCATGAGACAGTACCCGGTGCCACGGAGCTCGCGCACGGCCGTGACGTAGCAGTTCATATCCAAAAATGCGACCGGGAGGAGGCTGCCGTCTTCCTTGAGACCGCGGACCATGCATTTCTGGCCCTGCGCCACGAGCATGAGGCCCTGCGAGCCGACCTCGCTGAGCGCGGTGACGGCGCCCCGTGGTATCTCCTCCTTGGCGATGAGCTTCAGCTTGCGATCCGTCTCCGGCCGGTCGGGCTCCGGGATGACGGAGACCACGTCCAGGACGAGAATCCGGCCCCGTATCGGTAGGTCCTCTCCCTTATTGACGGCCGTACCGACGGTGATCAGCATCCGCCGCTCCTTGGTTTCCTCGGAGATTTCGAGGTGCAGCGTCTCCATACACATGGCTACCTCGTGTTGGTCGAGCTCGAACGTGTCAATCACGGTCCACGTCGCCGGGGAAATGAGCTTGACGAGGCCGCGCTCCATGGTGGGCAGCATGGGGCAGTTCTCCTTGGCCCATTCCTTGTGGTAATCGTCGTCCTTGGGGAGCTCGAACGGCTCCGTGACGCTGCATGCGGCGGCGTAGCACTCCATGGTCGGATGGTAGGCGACGTGGCTGACCGCATCGCCGAGGGGAATCTTCCGCACCGAGACGCCCAGTTCGGCCAAGCTGGTGTCTGTCGGGAGCTGAGTGACGCGTGCGCATCCCTTCGAGTCGGCATAGATGAAGCCGCGTTCGCAGCCTTCGGTATGGAAAGGGCTCATGCCGCGGACGCCGAGGCCCTGCAGGCCCATGACCCTTGGCACGCTCTTGCTGGACTTGATGATGAACGACGGAGACGGTCCCGATAGGAAGACGGCGCTGTAGCCGCCGATGTTGGCACAGGATCGGAGGGGAACGGGCCGGGCCGGCTCAACGGATTCATCGTCTGTCGTCTCCTCAGGGGTTTCAGGGCCTTTTGCTATGTGCGGGTTTGAGACCTTGTGGAAGTAGAGGGTTCTGGCTAGGTCTGAAGACGACTCTGTCGACGGGAGACGGAAAGGTTCATAGATTGTGATATCGTCGTTTGGATGACGCAGCTGGGGGGGGGGAGGGAGAGCCTTAGCAGATGAAGTTGCAGAAGGAATTATACACACACACACACATATATAAGAGGAACTTACAATAAGATAGGGGGACGAAGCAATTTGATCTCCGAGGTCAGCCACGAGAAGTTCGGAGATGGCCTCCTGGCTAGTGCCTCGTCTGACAGAGTACTCGGCAGACAGCATGGGCGGAATGTAGGATAGACCTGAAGCGACGTAGACAGGATTGGTGAGATCGGGGAGCCCGTAGATCTGCCACTGTTAGTTGGAAATAGCCCTGGCGCTTTCAGAAGCAGGCACTTACATAAAGGGCTCCTGTGGTGCTCAGAAGGAACATGAAGGGGCTCTCGCCGTCCGAGCTACCCTTGTCTGTCCGAAGAGGAGCGAAAAGTCCTCGGTTGTCCTTATAGAGACAGCCAGTCAGCCACTTGGTTGAGGTGAATGTGCTGTCTCCCTTGTCGATCTCCTCCAACTCGCTGTGCGTGTTGATCTGGGCGATAAGGACGCTCGAATCCTCTCGGACCAGCAAGAGATAGGGGTCTAGAATGCTGGCTTTGACGACCCGGGGCTCTGCTCCGGTCTCCTCGTCTAACATGGGTAGAATCTGACTGAGGCCAAGATCTGCGCAAACAAAAACGGTCAGTGTGACGATGGCGGGGTGGATGAGCCAGGCGCCGCCTAAGGTAGTCTTCGTCAAACCAACGTACCTCCATCGTATGAGCGGACTTCGGAGCGCAGGACCTGGATGATCCTCATATCGTTGCCCATCGTACCGGCCTCAACAGTGAAGCCAGCCGCCGGATCAAACTCGGTACCAGATAAGGCTTCAAAGCCGGCGCCGGTGAGGGCATAGACGTCGGAAGTCTCGTACCCATCCAGGTCGACTTTGGATACGATCATGAACTTGTCGTATTGCGTACCAGAATCATAGTTGTCCCCGACAGCCAGATTGGCACCCTTATCGCCCTGAAGAGACTTGGGAATCGGCTTCTGAACACGCATGGTCCAGAACCCACGCGCCTCGGGAAAGTCGAAGCGGCCGATGACCTTGGGTTGGATGTTCCGATTCAGTAGGGCAAGCGAGCCGGCCTTGTGCCTCCCCACGGCGCAGGCGAGCTGAAGATCCGCCCTGACCCCCCCCGAGTTCTTGGCCTCTTCACTGCCCGGGAGGTAACTCGGCTTCCCCGGCGTCAGGTCCATGAGAGGACACATGCTCACCAAGGAGTCGTGGATGCGGAAGTCGAGGTCCCCTCCCCTCGAAGCATCAATACCGGCGGCCGCGGACTGGGTTATTGTCGGCCCCTCGCCGTAGAGGTCGTCCTCGTCCTCATCGTCCAGGTCTCCGTCGGCGAGGTCATAGTCGAGCGCGTCGTCTAGCAACCGCGCTTTCTTCCGGGCAGCTTGGAGCTGTCTCCTAGTCCAGCCGAGGACGACGGAATCGGACCCAATGCTCCCCACGAACAAGCTGTTCTTGCCGAGTCTGGCCATGCAGGCCGCCTGGTAGGGCAGAAGGTTGCCGCCGTTTTCGGCGGGGACTAGTTTGACGGCGACCCCGGCCACCGTCCTTCCGTCCATCTTGAACGACACGATGGCCATCCGCCCGTCCGACAGCACCATGAGCATCTCCCCCGTCTCGGCAGACATGAGCTCGACGCTGCAGTGTTCCAGGCGCAGTTGGAGGTCAGCCTGGTCGGCGAGCGGGAACTGGGTCATCTCCTTGGCGAACGGGTTGACGGCCACGCCATTGGCCTTACCAGACTGGTCAATGTGAATCAGCTCGTTCGAGCCCACGAGGAGGGCGCCGCCGATGGGATGAGGCAACGGGATGATTTGGAAAAGGGTTTGGGGCAGGTTGTTGACGGAGAGGATGGCGGTGGAGGCCTTTTGATGCAGGTCAATGGTGAAGACCTTGTAGGAGAAGTGGTCGCCGAGGCGCCGAACGTTGGACCGGCGGCTGGTAGAGGAGATGATGCCAAATGTGGGCTCTCTATACTCATGCAAAAAGGAAAAATGCACGGGATGAAGAAGATCGGGATCCAGCCGGGGCAGCGATAGGACGAAGGAGGATGTGTATGGTACTGGAGGGACGGCGTTGCTGCTGCTGCTGCTGCTGCTGTTGTTGTTGTTGTTGTTGTTGCTGTTGTTGGCGTTGTTGCCAGATCCATTCGCGCCAACCGACGCGGACGACTCTTTCTCCGGCCGCGGGCCATCCACGTCTTCATCCCAGTCACCCATATCTATGTCCTCATCGGTCTGTCGGAAGGGGAGAAAGGCGATCTTCCTCAAGCCGAATTTGAGGGCGGCGCATCGAGACTGCGGGTCGGTCTGGAGCTGGCTGCCGTGGAACCGCAACGGCCCGTCGGTGGGAGCTCCCTGCCATTCGTCCTTCTCGTAGTAGTGAATCGATATATCTTCGATCCCATTCCTCTCGGGATCCCATTGAACCAAGCTGAGGCGTGCGACTCGGGTGTGGACGAGGAGCGCTTCTCCTCCGGACCTAGAGTGTTGGATCTTGATTCTGGCCAGGCCCCGGATAATCCCGTGAAGTGGGTATTCGGCAATGAGAACGAGTTTGGTGCTTGTCGTCCGATCGGCTCGCAGCAGCATGGCGTCGCCGCCGAGAAAAGAAGAGTCGAGGCCATCCCCATCGTTGAGCCGGCGATCGTACGTCTCGACTGGCTTGACCGACGGCGTCGCGGAGGCTTGGGAGTTGTCTATCTCGGTAGAAACGGTCTTGGTAGCAAACACCTGTAGCAGTGAGCCCTTTGCAACAACGAGGTTCTCGCTGTGAGCGGACGTGAAGGGCAGCGACACGGCGCAGCTCACGACCGTGGGAGGCACGAGCTCCGTGTAGCACTGCATCTTGGACGATTCAGCAGGCGACAATTGTAACGGTCACCTCTGCCAGGCATCGTCTGGGGCCGTGGCAGTCGTTGGCAGTCGTCGGCCTGTAGGGAAGAGGAAATACAGACAGTTGGGCAGGTCAATCGTTTGTTCGACTTGGATAATTTGGTGGTTTTGTCGACGCGACGAGCTTGAGAAAGAAGCTAGAAAAAAAGGTACCTAAGGTAAGGTACGATATGATATCTCTTACAGTAAGGTAGGTACCTTAAGGTACAGAGTACGTACGTACCTTGGCCAGGGTACGAAGGTACAGAGAAACAAGTACTCCGTACCCCCCCTGAAGGCATGGATGCCGGACGGGAATAAAGTTCATCCAGTTCTACTCCAACACATTCTATGATTGGCTACGAGAGTCCCGCATTTCTGCGGCTAGTATTGCGTCACAGACAACCAAAACAACTTGACCGCGAAGCTCCATATTATCAGGCAGGGAAGGAAACTACCCTAGGAAACTCCCTTCCATCATCCCTCCTTCCCTGGATATGGGTTGTCTATTCCGTCTCTTCACCATTATATAATTTCTTTTTTTCCCCTTCCTTTTCTTTATTCTCTTCTTCCTTCTCAATTCCCTTCTATTCTATTCTGCAATATCAAAGCACACAACACCTCTGCATGTCCACGTTCGCGTCAACCTTCACCACCATGGCCAGTGCCGGCCTCCTCCAGACCAGCCTCATCTGGGTCGCCTACGCCGTCGCTGTTGCTCTCTGTCTCGTCGCCGCCATCATCACGACCTTCACCTGGCAGGCTCCGAGGGAACGTTCCGTCGTCGTCAGCATCGTCACAATTATCAGCCTCACGGCCCTGCTCGCCACAGTGCTGCTTCTACCCGTCGACATTGCTTTGGTCTCGTCAACAAGTTCGTCTTCTCTAGGCATCAAGAAAGATTGGGCTACCGATAAGCGCGTTCACGACATTCTCCTGACGCTCCGCATTGTCTATTACTCCCTCTACAGCTTCGATGCCCTCCTGTGCCTGCTGATCATACCGTTAGCCTACTTCTGGTTCGAGGAATACGATGAGATCGAGATCGAGGAAGGGCGATCATTTGGTAGCCGTCTCGGCAGCGCCCTCAAGTACACGGCCGTCTTCATTGCCCTGGTTCTGATTCTCTTCCTTGTCGGCTTCTTCGTCCCCGCCGCCGGAAATGATGACCGCGCCCGCTGGGATCTCGACTATTTCAAGCACATCCTCGCCCAGAACAATGGCCAGAAGGCCCTGGCGTTCGCCCTCGGACTCCTCGTGACCATTGGTACCCTGCTCTATATCGTCTACACTGCCTCCGGGCTCGCTCTGCTGCCCATGTCCTTCGTCAAGTCGGCCCCCGCCATCTCGGCGCCCCAGCTCTCCGAGTCCACCGCGTCCGCCCTGGAACAGAACCAGGAGCGCCAGCGCCAGCTCGAGATGCGCAACGCCGGTCGCCCGGAGGGCATGTCACCCAAGGACCGCCGCGAGCTCGAGGCACTTATGCGCGAGGAGCGTACCCTCCGCCGCCGCGAGCGCATCGCCGCCGAGGCCGCCGGCGAAGGCCACAGCAAGATCTACCAGGCATGGCTGAAAGTGTGCGCTGTCTTCCGGCCCGTGAAGCTCTTCGGCGGGCTGCTGCTGCTCCTCCTGTCCGTTCTGATTTGGGTCTCCATGCTCATCACGGGCATCGACAAGGCGAAGAACTCGCTCTGCAAGGAAAAGTGCGGTTACATCATCGGTCGCCTCCACATCTTCCAACCGGTCAACTCCATCTTCCTCCTGTCGGCTCGCGCGTTCCCTGTCGACTACATTCTGATGGCGCTCCTCATCCTGTTCCTCTTCAGCAGCTCCATCTCCGGCATTGCCACCATCGGCATCCGCTTCCTCTGGGTCCGTATCTTCCAGATCCGCAAAGGCCGCACCGCCCCGCAGGCCCTCCTCATCGCCACCGTCATGCTGGCCCTCATCATCCTCGCCATCAACTTTTCCGTCGTTACCATGATCGCGCCCCAGTACGCCCTCTTCGGCACCCAGACCTGGTGCTCGGCCCCTCATTCGCCGGGCGAGACGCCCAACTGCCGCGACCGCCCGGACTACCTCCTCCCTTGTTCCGAGGCCCTCGAGAAGGAGGCCCGCGCCGTGTGCACCCCGTCTATCATGTCCGAGTTTCTCAATCGCATCACCATCACGTGGCCTTTCTTCGGCGCCGTCGACTTTTGGGCGCAGTTTGCCTTCCTCTCCGTCTTCCTCATCGTCTTCGTCACCGGTCTGTTCCGCACGCCCAGACTCAACGTGGACGAGATGGACGAGGACGCCGAGGCCGACGAGGAGGAAGGGTTGCTCGCTAGCACGGGGAGGCGACTCGGTGCTAGCTGGCAAGACATCACGGGGAGGACGGGGGGGTCCAAGAACCAAAGCTACGGAACGCAGGCCGGTGGGAACGGTGCTGGGTCGTCCCAGGCTTAAAATTTACTTTTGTATTTTGCGTTTTGCGTATGCTTGTGAGATTACCGAGTTTTCGAGTCAACATCTGTTTTGACGGAAAATGCCACTGTGTAGGATGATTAGGGACTTACGGATCATGGTCAGGGAAATTGTTCAGTGGGAATGAAATCAAGTGGGTAATGGGAATATGAATGCGCAAGCACCAAAAAAAAAAGGAGGCAAAAGATGGCATTTCTGTTCGTATAGGCAGAGCGTCGGAGTCGCGGTCTGTTTCGTATTGACCATGAGGAACACATGAACAGCATAATTCAATTGTCATACATCATGATATCACTCTCGTGCAATAAAGTAGTCCGTAGAAGTCATAAAAAAATAAAAATAAAAAGAAGAAGCAGAAGGGCGAAGGGGGCAAAGGGAATCCGGGACATCAGGCGCCCAGGGCCACCCTCTTCTTCGGCTCCTTTTTCTTCCGGTCCTTGTTGAACAAGACGGCCTTGTGAGTGCGGTCGTCAAAGGCAGCGAAGGGGCCGACGTGCATCTCACGCCAGCAGCGCGTGCAGTAGACGTCGTCGTCGCAGCCCAGGCAACGGAGGGTAGCATCCTCTAAACAGACGGTGCACCACGTGTCGGCGTCGTCGTCTGTGTAGCCCGTCTTGGTGGTCAGGCGTTCCACGGTCTTGTCGGTGGGTTTGGCAGTCGGGACAGAGGGGAGGCCAAGGCCGAGACCGCCGCTCTCATCGTCGTGGTCACCGTCGTTTTCGGTGTTGGTTTTCGGGCTGTTGCTTGGGAGGCGGAGGGCGGCCATGCGGGCGGCGAGGTCGGTTTCTAGGTTGGCGGAGGAAGACGATTTCGGGCCGGTAGTGGTCTTTGTGGTTGGTACAGATGGGAGAGAGAGAGATGCGGCGAGGTCGTCGGATTCTTCGTGCAAGGTCGCCGATTTTATGGCGGAGGGCACAAAGGGGAGGGAGAGGTCCACCCCGACTCGTTGCTCAGTGGGAGGAGGCTCGTCAGCTGAGCTGGGGTCTTTCTCCTTGGCAGCAGAATCCAAGCCATCCGGGTCTGGGTTCAGCCTGGCTTCGAGTTTCGCTTGATCAAGAGCTTGGGACATTAGCATGTCAACGTCGAGTGACATCTTCTGCCCTTCCGAATCATCCGAGCCATCTGAGCCGGCATCGTCGTCGTCTTCGTGTTTTCTCTCTGTAGTATCCGGACTCGCAGTGGTGGTTTCTTTTACTCCCTCCCCTGGTGAAGACCGAGGGATGTCTTGGGACAGTTCTTGCAGGAGAGCTTCCACGCGGCCAGGTTCAGGGGTGGGATCATTACCCCAGATTGGCGCATGACAGGTGACGTCCTCATCTCGAAGGAGGTCCTCTAGGGTCTGATCGTCCGTCTGCAGCAAAGGATCCTCGCCGACATCATCTTCTGGGTTCAGTGTGCAAGTGTGCGCTGATACCTGATCGAGTGAGGTGGGCTTCGGTGAGGGCGAGAAGCCAGTACGCTTGCTAGGCAGACTTGAAGGTGCTGGCTGTGATAGCATGGATGCTGACCGGAGATCAAAGTTGGCCGGCCGAGGAGACGATGAGCCTTCCCCGTCAGGGGTATTCCTGAGGGACTTCAGCCTTGCAGCTAGGGCATCTTCCCTAGACGGCGGCTTGGCACGCTCTATGCCAAGTGGGAGATTGAGGGCGCTTAGAATGACTTAGCCTGGTGACACAAGGCGAAGTTATAGCGAGAGAAATTGGAATTTACTTTGATGAGCGGTCGAGTGATATACCAGCATCACCACCCTTAAGGGCGTTCAGCCTATCAAGGAGACTTTTGTCTTCGTTTGCCATGGCAGGGGCGGCAGTGACAGAAGAAAGCAAGGTACAGGTTAGAAGACGGACCCAGAGGGCGTTGAAGGGTTCCCCCCCCCTGGTGCGAGTGCGACAGACGATAACCCTCGATCTGTCCTGCGAATGGGATGAGGAGAAGTCGAAGCGATGACTGGAGATGCCAAAATGGGATGGGTAGTGCTGAGAAAGTGACGGCGGTACAAGAGTCGAATCGGTTGCACACGGGGAAGTGTCTAGGTATGCGAGTAAGTAAGCCACGACTTGGATATATCGTATATCAGAGTACCTGGTACCTGGAAACGTATAATTGCACTGCCTCGAGTTGGCCCAGGTTCAGATGTGCTCCGTCCGACGTGATTAGGACGAAAGCACACCGGCAAGCTGCAGGCAGTGGGCACGAGCACGAGTGAAAGTGGAGCCATCAGGTGGCCTCGGGGTGATGTTCTCCGTACCTAGGTATTTTGTAGGTACGGGGTACTTGGCGCGAGGCAGAGTGTCCTTCCCCAGGCCATCGGAATCTACACGTGTGCAATGGCAAAATTCTCAGCTATGGGGCAATGTCAAACTGAGAGGTTAGGTGTCACAGGTAATCAAGACATCGGAGAACCCCAAACACCCATCCGTGCATCTGTATTACCTACCTTAAGATAAGCACTGGACCCCTGGATCCGGAATAAACGCAATGGCCCGCGAAATTGGACCCTCTGGGACGTGGCAGCCAGCCCTACGGTAGTTTTAAGACACCGAAGCCCAACTTAATCCTAACGCATACCGATCGATACCTTATGGATAGTTGTGTCGGGACAACCCGGATACCTCGCAGGCCAATAAACGACAATCTTCTCCTCTGGTGTGATTATTCGAACATAGAATTGGCACATGCAGGGAATGAGCCACTGGACGTTTTAGGTCAAGGAGTGCTTTGTCCGAGAAGGTTGTTTTGGTAGGTGAACCAGTGCTGCAGTGGTGTACGTGTAGAGAAGGATTCGAGGCTGTATCGGCGTAAGAAAGATGGTAATGTCATACGAAGGGAAAGGAAGGACCGACGTCTTCACTTTGCCCCATTTTCCCCAGGTTGTTGACGTCTGTAATTTGTGTCAGTCGCACTTGACATTTTGCCCTCGACGAAACCATCGGACCCGCCATCCACTCTGACGTCAGTGACTACCTTACCTAGGTACCTTAGGAAAAGAAGTGGCAACGAATGTACGATGTAGCGTCGTGTAGACTGCCTAACACACTTACGTCGTATGTCCCTGACTATGCGCTGATTATTCGTTCATGTCATGGCCACTCCTCCAGGTGCAACTTTTTAATAAGGGCAGCAACAGCTTTGTACGTGCAGCTAATTACTGTGGCGTACTTCCAAACGGAGGGTTTTTTTTTTTTTTTTCCATTTTTGCCCCCCTCACGGCTAATCTTAAAGTGGGCCTCGTGGCGCACTGCGGTGTAGCTTGGCATATGATCCCTGCTTCCTGCCGCTTCTTTGGATCGATGGTGAAGTTGACAACAGAATTTGTAAATTGCACCGCCTCCTTCGGATAGCAGGGACCAACCACACATCTCCCCATTCGCCTCCAATCTGCCTTTCCCTTGTTCGACCCTTACGTTCAATCCCTGCAACCGGGAAGGACTTAATTTGCGGATCAGGTGGTGACTGACCGACCCTAATAACTCACTCCGTCATTAATACCTCGTCTCGTCGAGCAGGACGGCCGACTTCTCGACCCTCTTTTCAATACCCAAATCATATCCAACTCGAGACGCATCAACATCGATCGGCCTAGCAATCGCATTTTCAAAGCCGCGTTATCCCAAAGAATCCTGAATTTCAACTTGACTCTCAACTTGAATAATTTTCTGAGATCCTACCGCAATTCTGTGGGGTTCGCCCAACCTTGCCTGCAACCATGAGGTTCCATTTTACTCTCCTCGCGGTAGCCCTAGCGAGCTCGGCCTCGGCCAGCGCCATCGCCATCGCGGCGCCGAACCAAGACAATGTCCATATCGAACGAGCACTCGAGATCGTCCCTCGTGATGATGCCGGACAAGACCCTCAAGCCCAAGAGCTATGGAAGCGCAGGGGCGGCGGCGGTGGAGGAGGCAGAGGTGGTGGTGGCGGCGGCTCTCGCGGCGGAGGTGGTTCTCGCGGCGGTTCATCCCCAGCGTAAGTTCGACCCCTCGATCCATCTGGAATCCGTTCCTCATGTGGCGATTTCTTTGTTTTCCTCGGCAGTTTCACTAACAACCAACCCCTCTGCTCAACAGACCCAGAACCGGTGGCCCGCTAGGCGGCCGCACTAGGACAGGAAGCGGTCCCCAGCCCCGATACGGCAGCCCCTCGAACCCACGATACGGAGGCGGTGCCGCCGTACCCTATCGATCCGGCAACCGGAGTCCAGGCGCAGCCATCCTTCCTTTCGCCATCGGTGGTGCTGCCCTTGCCTTCTGGCCCGGCTACTGGTACTACGGCGGCTTTGGAGGTGGCCACCGTGGTGGCGACGATGAAGAAGACGGCGAGGAGCGCAGCATCAATGTTTACCGCTGGGAGAACGACTACACATTCTTCAACCAGTCGGCCAGCGAGAACCAGACCAAGCCCGTCATGTGCGGCTGCGCCGAAGATCTCCCTTGCGGTTGTGACGAGCCTTCCACCGAAGAGGAGCGCAACCTCTTCTTGGATGACCTCGTCGGGAACGGCTCCTTCGCTCATCTCAACACCTCCGTCATCCAGGTCGCCGACTACGAGAATGAGAGTACCATCCTACTGAATGGCACTTTGCCAGACGATACCACCCTCATGGACCCGAACGCGAGCATTTCTTCTACGGTGCAGCGCCTCGGTTGGTGGCCAACGGTAGCCTTTGCTGCTGCTGCTGTTTTCATGGTTTAAGTCGGCCTTTTGCCGGCTTATTCCCCATATTTCTTTCTTATCGTATCTATTTTCCTTTGCTCCTTTACGAAGCTTTATGGAGAAGGCCCTATCATCTAGACCGTTTGCGGGATGCATAATGTGTTGAACAGGGGCAGGTTAACAAGCTTGATATCCCCTTTCTCTTCAATCCTTTCCCCCTCCTTTTTATTCTTATTTTTTCTTTGTCTGTTTGACCTTCGTCTTTGCGCGGAGATGACCATGCATGGTTCTCATGCCCATGTACAATTAGCCTCGCAATGTCCGGAGTTAAGAGGTGTTTGGGATTGACGGGCCGATAGATACCATTAAGAAGACTTCCTCAAGATTTTCTTTCATGACCGACGCTGCAGTTCGTGTGTTGATACTCCCTAGTTGTCGCGAGCCGGTCCTTTTCAGACCTACGGCGAAGACATCTACAGTCAATGCCACTTTTGAATATTCTTCATGTGCCAACACATAGACATCCAGGATCTGACGCTTAATAAATCCAATGGCTGCGTCGTAATTTTCATCTATTTATCATGTGTGTGTCCAACCAAGTACAAATCACTCCGGCTCGACCCTCTCAATGCCTAGAGACGATTCTGGCCCTGCCTCTGCGGCCCTCTCGGCCCTCTCAGCCCTCCGCTTAACACACCAATCCCCCAGCTCCCTCCATATCTTCTCCTTCTCCGCCGGGGACAGAGTAGCAGCCAATCCGCTCGTGCTACTCGACACAAAAACCCTCGCACCGCTCCAACCACCACCGCCATCCCCCCCCGCCCCCTCGTCTGGAATGGGGGCGCCAATATTCTCCGCCTCGTCCTGCCACCCGTACGAAAACGCCCCCTTCCCGAGCGCCCGCCCGCGGCGCACGCGCACGACGCTCTCCCAGATGGACTTGCCGACGAGGCAGACGACCTCGGGCCTGCAGCGGCGCACCTTGTCCTCCAGGGCGGCGAAGCCGGCGTCCAGCTCGGCGGGGCGCAGCTCGCCGCCGTTGCGGGTCGGGCGGGCCACGATGTTGGTGAGCCCCAGGCTGTAGCGGACCGGGAGGGTGCTGTCGAGGGAGGCGGGGACGAGGCGGTCGGTGATGCGGGAGGAGTGGAGGAGTTTCCAGAAGAGGTTGGAGGGATGGGCGTAGGCGTGGCCTGTTTGGGCGGTGCGGATGCCCGGGTTCAGGCCGACGAAGAGGATGAGGAGGTTGGGGCCTAGGGAGTCGGTGAGGCCTGGGAGGTGGGCGTAGGTTGAGGGCGGGGCGTAGCCTGAGGTGTTGCGCTTGCGTTTCTTTGAGGAGGTTGAGGGGGATGCGGATGCGGCGAGTGGGGTGGACGTTGATGATGAGGATGGTTTGCGCTGGAGAGGGCTTGGTCCCGAGGATGAGGATGGGATGGGGTAGGACTGGTAGGCTTGTGAGGATGATGCACGAATCAGACGGGGACTTCGGTGGATGGGCGACAGTGAGGTTGACGGGCCGGGTGAAGGTGAGGGCGAGGCCACAGCCGGACAGTGCATGAAATCCTGGAGCTGCAGACGCCCTTCAAAGGACGCCGTTTTGACTCCAGCTTCTTCGACGTTTGGCTGTTCCTTCATGATTGCGTTGGCCGTTGACTCTAGTAGTTGGATGTTCAAAAGCTCTGCGTCTACCCAGACTCTGTGTACTAAGCTCGAGGACGTCGTGTTGATGACCAGACCACCAACATCAAAAAGAGCGTGCGAATGTTTCTTCAAAAATGAGGAGCAGGTATAAAAAGATAAAGAAAAGAAAGATCTAGATTTAGTCAGTCTTAAAAATGATCAGCATGGGGATTGAAGGATTAAGGGGCTCACTCTTCAGGTAAATAATAATAAAGTCTGTAGGGGCAACCTGTTCGTAGATGGGGCGGACGAAGCCTCAGAAAAGGGTTGTGGGAGCGTATCTTGAATATTTCAAACAAAACAGGCAGCTAATGTGAAGCGACGGGGAAAGGTCTATGTTGACGATGTCAATGAATCGTTCGGAAATGACAGGACTCAATCTCCCAAATTCGGCTTGGTCAAGTTTGTTGCCTCAGGTAAGGTAGAGGATGGATCCTGACGGCGAATCTCGGTGTGAAGCAAGTCCACCATATGTGGCTGACTAAGCCGTGATTGACTCGTGAGCCTTAATTGGCCTTTGCGTGCTTCTGTACGAAGTAGATATCAAGTAGTATGTGATTTGTCATCTCGCTCAGATTATAATCACTCTGCGTCCCAGCTGTAGCAAATCCATCTCTTCCCCAAGGGAAGCAGTAGAAAAGGGAACCAGTAGAAAACGGAAAAAGAGGAAATAATCCGAATGCCCTTTTAACGCCCAAACCCAAAACACCAAAAGGGGTATGCCTCTCCCAGCTTCCGCAGGTTCCACGGAGATTCCCAACGAACGCCCTCATGCCCCTCAATAAGGAAGAAGATCAGAAATCCATGCCTCACAAAACCAAAGGCGAAAAAAAAGAAAAAAAGAGAGAGAGAAAATATGAGAGGTCGTCATGAGCCGTCGTCAAGACAGGGGCTGTGCTGGGCCATGTAATGCATATCCCGTCCGGGGTGAGTGGAAAAGGAGAAAAAAAGGAAAAAAAATCCCGCCATTTGTCGCAGCTAGATGGTGTCAAATTCTTCAAGAGGCGCCGGCAATAGATCCCGACAACAATGCATAATTGGCCAGCTTAAGAGACCGAAACTGGGACTTGGAGGTCGGGGCCGTGCTGATAACCAGCCGTCCCTCCTTGTTGTAGCCGATCTCGCCGAACGAATCGCTCAATTCTTCAAACTGGGCCGTCGGCCTGGCCTTGTGCAGCTCCGTCAGGATAAAGTCGCTCCAAACCCCCCAGCACGTATTACCCCTGAGCAGGAAGTAAGGATTCAGAGGCGGGACAGGGGAATCTGTTTTTTTCGAGACGTGTTAGCTTTTTTTTACATGTTCCGAATCAATCACAATGAAATAGGTTTCTATATATATATAAAAGGGAGGCCACGAACCCAGGTCGATGAATCGAATGCGGAGGTACTCGAGCCTAGGAAGTTTGCTCAGAGCGCGGATTGCGGCGACGACAAGAAGCTCGAACGAAGAGATGAACTGCATGTCCTGGATCCCGCTCCCCGAATCGTGATATTGGTGCGAGTTCCGGCAGCAGTTCTTGACGGTGATATCGATGGACTTGATCTTGCTCATCCTCGGGTCGCTGCGGGCCGCGAGGGCGAGGAAGAAGACCTTGCAGACGCGGCCGGTGTAGGACAGGCGCTCGAGGGGCAGCGTCGCCTCGGCCAGTCCTAGGCAGAAGTGGATCTTACTGGAGACTTTCATGAAGAAGGCCGGGCAGGACAGCTCTCGCCGGTAGTCGCTCTCCAGATTCAGGTGGAGGCTCGTCAGGTGGGCGGGTAGCATGGGCAAGGCTCGGTACATGCTGAGGTAGCTCTTCGACTTGGGTTTGCTGTACGATCCGTGCCACTCGGCCAGGTTGGGCAGGGACGAGAGGATGGCCTTGAAGTCCTCGTCGGTGCGCAGCAGGTTCCACTGCCCCTTCGTAACGAGGGTGCGCACGCCCGGCAGGACGGGCAGATACGACTCGTCAGGCTTCGCCCACGAGGTATGCACCACCTTGGGCGCCTTCTTCCGCTCCCCTCCCTCGAGAGTCAGGACGATCGCGCTGGGCAGCACGGAGAGGACGAAGATGAGGGCTTCTTCGAGCGTGCAGTTTGCGGTCGTCCGCAGATACGTCTCGGTTGCTCCCTGGTTGTTGTTCCTCGGCGGCGGGAACGGGAACGGCAAGTGTATCGGCCCGTTGCTGGTCAGCGGCCCATGTCTGGGCTGGAAGACGGGGAACCAGAGCTCGACATGCTTGACGTAGGACCGCAGATAGGGCCGGTTGGTCAAGAAGAGGGCGGCCATGCCGAGATAGTCGGTGGTGGCCCTGAGTTTGAGGTGGCGGAAGAGCCGCTGTTGGACCAAGACCCTCCAAGAAGGACTGACCAGAGCCAAGGACGAGACCTCTTTCCTGCGGGCATGGCGCAAGGCCGTGTTCCAGCTTTTGGTGACGCTGTGCATGTGCAGGGAGCTTTTTGAATTGGCCGATACGCGGTAGCCAAACAGATGATCCAGAATGACCTCGACAATTTCTGGAGGTAGGTTGTTCAAGCTGCCGTTCTTCTGGCTCGGGTCGGCGGGGGAGGGGACCGCAGTCTCGTCGTCTTGTTGGGCCGTGGCTGGTTCGTCATCGTCGGAGGATAGGGGGCGGCAGCAGGTCGCGTCGCGATGTTCGGGATATAAAAAGGGCGTGCTGCTAGGGCGCGCGGGCGGGACGAAGTCGGGGTCCCGGGCTTGTTCCAAAGGCGGACTGGAAGGGCCCGGCGACACTGGGTTCGAGGAAGGATTGGGGAAGGCGGTGGTAACGGCGATACGGGTCGGTTCTTCGTCAGCCTTTCCAAGGGAGTCTACCCGCGAGCCCCGCGTGACTATCCCGATATCTCGGTCTTGAGACTTGACGTCGAGGTGGGCGTCACAACCGGCCTGAGGCCCATCTTCTCCGGCGAGATCTGGCATGGCACTGTTGTTTTCGCAGCGCTGGAGTTCCGCACCTCTGTAAAATGTATAAATAAGTAGTCAAAGCTGCTTTGGTCGTCTGTTGACACTGTGCCCATTACATGGCAATTGTTTTGTTTATTGATGTTTTCCCCTCGCGGATGTCGGGAATACAATATTGACGTGAGGTGATACTCCTAAAGGTCGCAGGACAGGCGGGGTCGAGGTGAAGTGGCTAAGACGAGCTCATTCTAGTACCTGGCAGTGAAGTCTTCATTCAATGGGTATAAGTGATCGTCTTTGTGAAAAAGTTGCTTGTCGTCCTTGTTGTCCCTCGATGTTAGATGAAGCGTGCTGTTGAAGCGATAATTAGAAGGGTGTCAGAAGAAACAAATGTCCAGGGTGGGCCGTTGCGTTGCCGATCCTCACAAGCCTAAATAAAGTATACACCGGTGATGACGAGCGGGGGTGGGCAGGTGGGAAATGAGGTTCCAAGGATGAGGGAAAGGCCTCGACGGGACGAATGAATGACCGGGATCGGGCAGATAACTGAAAGACCGGACTAAGGTATGTCTGTCAATCGCTCACTGGTGGAAGGGGAGGTTAAAGTGGTACGAATAATCCGTGTCAAACAACATACAATGTATCGCATGACATGGACAAGGGGGAGAAGAAAAGGGAAAATGAAAAAAGATGAGGCCAGTGGAGGAGAGGAAAAGACCAAACAGTCAAATCGGACAGACGGTAATGGGAATTACAGCGAAGAGGGAAAGGGAAATTGGGCAGGGATAAGGGAGATTGGGGACACGAATGACCTGCAGGAGAATACTGGATGGGTGTGGATGGATGATGGACGGCGCCAGCTCACTTTACGCGGTCTACGCTTGGGGGTGGGGTCGCGTGCCTCCCCAGTTTCCATCTCACTTGATTCTGCGAGGTATTTGTACTTTACATTGCGTAGTACCAAGGTAGCACGTGTATGTACAGATACCTGTCTCCGCGTAGGGAACGCGATACGAGACGACCCGTCGTGATGAACTTTGAAAGACGGGGCGTTGTTATTGCAGCAAGTCATGTCAGCCGTTGAAATTGGACCAACAGTACCTTAAATTAAGGTACTAAGTACCTAGAATACACCTGATAATGCCGTGATGGTGCAACTTCTTGTCCTGTGCAACATGGTGGTGTATAATCAAACAGTCGAGTACCGCTATCATATAAGCGCCGGGGTGCGGACTAAAGTACCCCCATATCAACCCAGACAACATCACCTTGCCAACATCACGACTTCACGAGTTCATATCCGTAGGAGATTTAGACCCAAGTTTAGAACTTTAGATTGGTACCAGGGCAGGCACATGACCTAGGACTGACTTTAGTGCACTGCTCGAGCCAAAGACATTCCGCATGTCTCTTCACCCATCTTGACGGACTTTCGCCCATCTATCTGAGATGCCTCGGAAACTACACAAGACGCGCGACTAATCGTCCAACTTTGTTTGGGCTTAGATAAACACCGTCGTATTATTTCGGGCACATTCGCAAGACACACCTGGGTAATCACGATAGGTTGGGTGTCGGTCATGCCAGCTCCTGACTCGTATAGGTTGCTAGTAACCGTGGTGTTGTACGAAGTAGGACGACATGCCACGGGTCCGGTGATGGTTCTCGAAAACGCTTCCCTTATAAGTTATGGCCTCATAGCGGTGACGCTATCCCGATTCCCATCATGTCAGGGAAGATCCGACCCGACTCGAGCCGGTGCGTCGTGGCAAGGGTACAACTCGTGCCTATATGGGGATATATCCGTACACGACTCTACCTCACCGACACACGACTCGTTGGGAGTGTTTTCAACGGACACTGTCTATTGCAAGAACAGGGGCCTTGGGCCGAGTCAATGGACATGAACCTCGCTTCTAGCAACCATGAAGAGATGCACGACATATGGGTCGTTCCGTGCCTGGTATATCTACAGACCGAGTTTCGGAGCTCCTCCTCTCTACCTGGCTTGCTTTGCACGGAATTTCGCCGGTCACAAAGTCCTCGGAATCAGACGGGGGAGTTGGCTGGATGGATTCCTTGAGCTCAGTACAGCGCACCCCTAAGAGGAGGCATGTAGTTGCAACAACCCAGACAGACGCCGGGGTCAAAATAGTGCCATCCGAATTGTTCGTTGGTTTTTCCGTAGATAGCGGTCCCCGGACGCCACATAAACTAGCTCAGCACAGCGGATCGGCGGTAGGGGACCTGATGGATCGAAGGCACTTCTGGCATCTAATTACGACGCACGTCCTGTGCTTCCCCAGTATCTCCGCTTGGCGTCATAAACATGCCAGGCATGCGGCAATTATTAAGATCAGGAGGCAACGCTGCGTCGTAGCAAAGGACGTCCAGGCCTGGTATCATCGATCTGTAATACTCGGACAGGCACTCAGCTCTTCCGTAGATGAATGAGGAAACGCCCCACAGACGGATCGGGACAGCGGAGGAACTCGTCTCGGTTTTTTATTTTGTTTCGGATCTACCGCCGGCGCGGCCTCTCCACTTGGTCCTGTGGGTGCCGCAGCACGACGGCCGAGGCCAAAGTGCAAAGCACGAATACACTCGCACGGCATGGTTCGATCAGGAGCGGCGGCGGGCCCAAACGCCGTGAATCGTTCGTCCCGACTGAAAGAAAAAGACATTCGTGCTTCGCATGCTGATACCGAACTTAACTAGCCATGTTTTGGCATCCGAGACTATAGGTAGCAAAAAGCTTCAGCTTAGGCCCTCGCAGCTCATCAAGCGCTCGAATCGCCAGTGTTCTTCCCCTAATTATGGGTCGATGCCATAATTACTTCGCATTATAAACCCCTTGACCGTCGAGGTCACATGGTTATGGTCGAGCTCAAGGGCTTTTCCCCGCGTTGCTGTGCCGGCGGCCTTGGTCAGACCAGCCTAAAGCAGCGTTGCAGAAGATGGATGTTCGTACGTAAAGTACGAAGTACGGAGGAGGGGATCCGGCGAGGCTAGAGTCCTTTCTTAGAATGCCTGTCAAATCTGAAGCAAATGCATCGTGAGAAGCATCAGAGGGACTGTTTCATAATCTCCCCCCTCCGCTTCCCGCACTGACCAATCATGGTGGCGGGGCGCATGCATGTCTCCGATGGACGGGGTGCAGAGAAGCTAGCCTAATATTGAATAATCATCAAGTTAGAAGTTAGTGTTCTAGCCGGGTGGCACCGTCGGCGGGAACATCTTCCACTTTTGGTGATAAGTGAAGGGAAAGGTCGAGCAGAACTGAATCCCGATTCCACGATCATGTCTGGAATGGGTTTTCCTTTTTTTGTTTGTTTGTAGGCGGAGTTGTGTCTAGCGTTGCAGGTAAAGTACGGATACGGAGTACGGATACTTTGTTTTTACCTAGGTACCTAGGTACCTTAAGGTCGTCTGCTATAGACCCTGAAACCGCCTCCGCCCTCCGCATTCCATTCAGCATGTTCCCACGACTGTGCGGCTCCGAAGAGGCAAGAAGAAGGTATGCGCTGTCACGCTCTTCTCACGATACCCTTTGCCGCCAGACCATTTCCTTGACACGGTGCGATCCTACTGCTTGCTCACTGCTCGAGCATGGGACAAGCATCGGAAGGCCCAAGCCTCAGAACCGTTTTAGAACGGGTGATCATGGCATGAAACAAACGTTCTCCGCGAGTCTGGGGAAAAGGATGCCCAGACGAAGTTGCGGCAGATCGTCTATTTTCTGCACGAAGCACGAACGCCCGCTCCTCGGTTCCTTGCAGGAAACATGACAGAATCGACCATGGCAAGGACGTGACTTGAGCTCTTCGCTATCCTTTTGGCATGGTCAGTGGCTTGGTTTAGGAGCGCCTAGCACGGATGGGGTGGCGTAAGCTAGAATCCACCGGCGAATTCCACTTCTATCGGCCGAATGGGGGGTGTCAGTTCCTTCTAGTGTATTTTAGCAACGCTTTCCCCCCTTTGAAGTTTCTCCTGATATCAATTTGTTGGTCAGACAGAAGAGGATCACAACGTTGTGGCACGACTGAGGCGCATAACTAAGGTAAGGTAGATGAAGCCACACTATCCAACGTCAACGCCATCACCAGCGAACCATCTCGACGGATTGACCACGGAGTACCTTATGTACAATGGCCTAAAAGTAAGGTATTGTGAACAACCGCCCAGAGAGTGCAGCACTGAACTCGTACTCTCAAGGCCTGGCATTTACAACGTAGAGAGTACTTTGTACATCCGGCGTTGTTTCCGCTTTGGATTTTCCAGACCATCCTTGGTTCCTCTTTTCTAATCCGGCTGGTTGTTTGAGATTGGAGAACAGACCCAAGCGGACCCGGCTCCATACAGGGGTTTAAACCGGTCGGATCGTCCTAGGGGTATGAGCTGTTTGAAGTGTAGACCAATCAGGGGGGTGGATCTGCCATGTACCCGCCTCGTTCAAGGGGGACTCGGCGGGTACGTACCGAGAAGCGGTGTTTTGAATGGACGCTAGCGTACGCCACCCCCGGGAAGCATCAGTACCTGACCGCCTAGCGCCTGGTACGTTGCACGTACAACGTAAGGTAATTACCTCCGGATTTTCCCCACCAGCAACGGTCCTTTCACCTCGACTTCGGTTCTCTTCTCTGACGCTTCACTTTTTGCTGGAAACATCTGCTATTATTCGATCCCACAATCCCCCCCCTGAATGGCTCAAAGAAGTGGCCGTATCCTGGCCTCTTTGTCCCCCTGTCATTTCTATTCTTCGTTCATTGGATATTTTCCGCTCCAGATCAATGGGCAGGTGAACAATAACCTCCGACTCTTATTTCGATGGAGAACCATACGTCGTGGTCAAGTTGTCAACTTCGCCTGCAAATCAGGCCAGGATCAGGGTCATGGATATCCTGTCAAGCAGGCTAGCCGCTCTCCTGCCTAATAAGCCCATCTGAATCTCGGCCTCAACCCCTGGCCGGCTATTGTCCTCTCCTGTAAATAAGTCCCGGGAACCACCGCTAATTTTTGTGACGATCCCCTCTCTCTCTTTCTCTCCCCGTCCCTTTCACCCCGTCCCCTCCCCGTACGTCCTTTTCCGTCTCGCCCTTTCTCTCGTCCCTCTCTTTTGACCGTATATTTGCGAGTCAAACCAATTTAGTATTATTCCGTTTTTGTTTTCTTCACCTTCTCTCCTTCTCGTTGCCTGGCCTGTTTGGTTGAGATCCTAGTCAGCCGGCCTGCACAAAACGGCCGAGTCAGAACTGAGTTGATCGTCATCCGCCGAGCTTCGGAGACAGTCAGTTGTAGAGGACCGACCCTTGCCATATATCTTGACTCGCGTCACTCTCTGCTACCAACAACGCCTTTCGGTCTCGACCGACGACACGCACTACGCACTCCTTAGCTGCTACGCCGGTTCCCCCCCCTTCCGCCCCCTCTCACGCTATCTGAGTCGGCTTCTCGGACTGGTTCCTACACATTCCCGTTTGCCTTCGCGACGTTCACTATCAGCCTTTTTCCTACCTTTCTTCTACCTCATATAGACGTGCGGTCGTCCATTCTTTGGCCTCGGCTACCCCCTTCTTTCCAACCTTCTATCCAGCTGTTGTCGACGAGCCAGCCTCCGACTCAACCCTGCTGCTGTGTTTCTTTCTTTTTTTTCTTTCTTTTTTCTCCTCGTTTCTCCTTTTTTTTTTTTTTTTTTACCCCTTTTTCAGCACTTGGTACCTCGCGATAGTACCTCAAACTTGATTAACCCCATCTCGATTCTCATCCATACACCGTTGCGACTTCGTCTTCCGAAACCGCCATCATGGCTCGTCTCCAAAATGTTCTGACGGCTCTTCTACTGCCCCTCACTGCTCTGGCGGCGGTTATTCCGCAGCCAGGAAGCTTCTTGGGCGTACCTGTTGCGAATGCCGATGCCGCCGACATCATCCCCAACCGCTATATCGTCGTCTACAACAACACCTTTGACGATGATGCCATCGACTTTAGGCAAGCCGAGATTGTGGACTTCGTCAAGCGTCGCAACATTGAAAAGCGTGGTCTCCATGGTCAGCTCCTCAGCACCGAAGTCCACGCCCTCTCCATGAGCGGCTGGCGCGCCCTGTCCTTCGAATCCGATGACGCCATGATCCTGGAAATCATGGCCGAGCCCGAGGTCGCCTACGTCGAGGCCGATACCAAGGTCCACCTGGCCGCCACCGTGGCCCAGCTGAATGCTCAGCCTGGCCTCGCCCGTCTGTCGAACGCCGAGCCTGGGGCACGGAAGAACTACATCTTCGACACCACTGCTGGCGAGGACATCACCATCTACGTCGTCGACACCGGAGTTCGCATCGATCACACCGAGTTCACCGGTCGTGCCAGGTGGGGCACCAACACCGTCGACAGGATCGACGAGGACGAGAACGGCCACGGTACTCACGTTGCTGGTACGGCCGCCGGTCAGACCTACGGAGTCGCCAAGAGCGCCAACGTTGTTGCTATCAAGGTGCTTGACGGTGATGGGTCTGGTTCCAACTCTGGTGTCCTGGACGGTCTGCAGTTTAGTACGTCTCCTTCCCCTTTCCCTTCCCCTTTCCCTTCCCCTTTCCCTTCCCCTTCCCCTTCCCCTCCCCTTCCCTTCCCCTCCCCTTCCCCTCCCTTTCACCCTTGGTGCCAAATGCTTACCAGGACACACGCAGTCGCCAACGACGTAGCCCGCAGGAACCTCCGCGGAAAGGCTGTGATGAACATGTCTCTCGGCGGCCCCCGCTCGAACGCAGTCAACCGTGCCGTCGAGGCCCTCCACGATGCCGGCGTCGTCTGCGTTGTTGCCGCAGGGAACGAGAACCAGGACGCCGGTAACACGTCCCCCGCCTCGGCCCCCAGTGCCATCACCGTCGGTGCCATCGACGCCCTCAACGACCGCAAGGCTCGCTTCTCCAACCACGGCGCCGCCGTTGACGTCTTTGCTGCCGGCGTTAACGTCCTCTCTGCCAGCATCACCTCGAGGACTGCCAACGAGACGCTCAGCGGCACCTCCATGGCTTCCCCTCATGTTGCCGGCCTCGCGGCCTACCTCATGGCTTTCGAGAACATCAACAACCCGGATCAGCTCACCGCCCGCATCCTTCAACTCGCCCAGGCCAGCCCGGCCCGTGTCCTGAACAACGCCCCGGATACCACGGGCCTCATTGCCAACAACGGAAACCTATAGTAAAGAGAAAGATAACCGCGGGTGGTTTGTCATGGAGCGGCAGACGCCGTCGGGCAAATTCAGAATCGACCGGCCCAACTAATGCAAAGACGGGAAGGGTCCTGCCCGTTCTTGCTTCCTTTGTACACATTGCGATGCCAGAATTTCCTCCCATTTCTAGACCAGCCAAGAATACAAGGGCTTATATTCAACCCTGAATACATGACGCGGAGACGTGGAGGAGAAAGAGGGAAGGAATGTTAGACCCCCATCTGATTGCTGGCGCAGTTAATACAGGGTGGGGGCGAAGGGCGACTGTCCCAAGCGGAGGAACACATTAGGACTTGGATACAGTTCTAAGAACCGGTAAAAGGAAGAAACAAATTTCAATGGATTTTCAATTCTTTTTTTCTTCTTTTTTCATATTTTTTCATCTTTTCAACTGGACATTTTATTTGGCCTTTTCTGGCTACACACAAGATTATGGTGGCCCGAATAAGAGATGATATTGGCCACCACACGAGGGATGATGCGTCGGTCATGACGAGTGCGAGAACGCCTGGAAGGAGGACCACGAAAAGAGAAACCCCTAACAGAGAGCATTGGGATTTTCATTTCACGCTTTCTCCACAACACCAACACGAGAAGTTTCATGATGATCGTCCGCTGTCCCCACTAAAATATCCACGTGAAATGAGCATCGCCATGAATGAACCCCAGCCATCTGGAAGAAGCCGAACATCAAGAGCCCAAACCAACTAGAAACGAATTCTGACTGCTTAATGAAACCCTCGTTATTAAAAAGTAGTATCAAGAGAGATTGCTTTCGCGAGTGGAAGGGCGACTGGCCTTGACAAACTCTTATTCATGACTGAGCAAACCCTTGGAAAAGTGGCTGATATCTATACATCCATACCCAACCAACTATCCCGGGACTCTGGTATCGTAACTGCGGTGGTTTTAACGAGATGGGAATGTTGGTGCTAGGTGTTGTAATATCCCTTACCCTCTCGTAGTGAGAGCAACGCACAATTACGTTGCAGACGGTGCGAAAAGGAATAAGAGAGGACACAATGAAAAGAAAGGGGAATGTTTGCAAGCCGGAACTAAAAGCCTGACCCGTGGTATTCCAGGACAAGCCCGCCCCGTACCCGCCATGGAAGACGGGGTCTTTGCGTGTAGGGTTTGCTATCAGCACTTCTTCGGCACAACCACAGTCATGACCACCTCCGAAGACGTGGGACTGGATTGCAATTTGACATCCGTGCTAGGACAAAAAATCACGAGAGGGAGGGAGTAAAGGACAACCAGCGGCGATGGCTACCGCGATGGGTATCACTGCCTGTTTGTGTTTCACAAATTCGTCGCTAAAATATCCGTCTCTGCGCTAGAAAGATGGGGCACGAAGCCATGCGGCAACAGACCTTGTCTCGGTCACTACCTAGGAATTATGTCGGTAGCCGGGCCACTCGGAATATGTGGGGGTCTCCAAGTACCGAGACACGACGGAGGGGTCGAACGCAGGGAAGAATGGTAGAAAAGCAGACACAGGGACCCCCCGCTGCAGAAGAGAGCCACCAGAAAGAAGCAAGCTGGTGGCCGGTGGTATTAGATATACGTAAGAAGCCGTTAATTAGTATGAAGAGGTCGGTCGAGTGCGGTCGACACTGATCAGCGAAAACAAAAGCAAACCGTTAACTCCTTCATGACGTAGTTGGCATGGGCGAAATATGTGCGAGGCGGTGCAGTATACCAACCGGGTTTACAGCTCCGAATGCTCGATGGACGGTACCGCTGATGCTGATGATACCACGGGGCTTTCTCCGTCGGAACCCATGCCGGGCCAATGATACGACGACTTGTCCTGGGTCCACGACCACAACGCGTCGTATCTCGCACCGAAGTACCAAGCCACGCCGACCTGTGAAGGGAAAAGTCCATGTCAGTCCGAGAAGGTTTATGACCATCGCGATCCGAAGCGTAGCAACAGTGTGTGTGTGTGCGTGTGTGCGTGTGACTTACCATGATCGCAGAGAGGCAGAAGAGCGTAAGCAGCCCGACTCCCAACAAGATGGCACTCTCGCCGGGGTCTGCAGTGGGATCGCCCCTCTTCTTCTTGTCCATCTGTTCCGTGAGCTTCTTCGGGTCTTGTCTCGGGTACAGGGTCTCGATGAACTGCTCAATCTGTCGTACACGCATAGGATTAGTCGTGCGTCTCAAGAAGTAGGTAGTTTGTATGCAGGCTACGGATGTTGGGTTCTGACCTTGCCGCACTGCACACTGATGGCAATAAAGTTGGGATCGCGGGGGTCGTTCTTCTTGTGGATCCTGCGGATGTATCGCCGGAACACCTCGCAGACCACGTGGAGGTTCTGCGTCGACTCCATCATGAGCTGGCAAGCGTCGCCCTTGGTGATCTTGATGTGCTTGCTGAAGATATCGGGGTTGCGGAAGACGAGCTCCAGAGTGGCGATGGCCATGGACTGCGGGATGGCAACAAAGTTGAACACGCTCTGATCGCGCATACCGGCCATGTAGAAGAGACAGTCTTCGGCGTGCTTGAGCGCGTTGAGGACCATCTCGGAGCTGCAGTTGAGAGCCTTGGCCAGGTTCTCGGGCTTGAACATATCGTCCCAGCTGTCGACATACTTGCTCCAGATCTCCTTGGGCCAGAAGCGCCGCTTGTCGAGGTAGTCTTCGTGCACGTCACGGATGATGTTGGTCTTCTGGAGGAATTGACCCATAGACTCGGTAAGCTCAGGGCGGTCCTTGAGGCGGGGGTTGGCGAGGTCGCCCTCGACGAAGAGGCGGGTGAGACCCTCGCCGACAAGGCCGGCGACGTAGTGGCAGTAAAGCTCATATTCGGTAATCTTCATGACGCCGTGCTCGTTGTGTTCGGCGTTCAGAACGTAATCGGCCATGCCATTGGCCATCTTGATTGTGATGTCCTTGATGATATCATAGTAGGGCTTCTTGAGCTTCTTTAGCTCGGTGATGACCACGTCAAAGTGGACGAGAAGTTCGCGATCCTTCTCATTCGGGCCGTTCTCGGTGAAGGTCCACCCGTCGATCTCCATGTTCTTGTCGAAATTCCGAAGAAGGGGCTCCTTCTTCTCGATGGGGATGGTCATGTCATCTTCGATAGTGTCGAGACCACGGAGGACGAGGTAGAAGAGACAGATAGGCACAACAAGTTCTGGGTTGAGCTCTTGAATGACTGATGAGAAGCTACGGCTTGTCAAGTCGAGGTATCTAAAGCATTCCCGCAGAGCTGGGGATTCCTTCTCGGGATTACGCTTGTGAACGGGGTCGTGCCATACTTTCCTGGAGACTTTTTGTTAGCAAGGGGATACGAAGCAGTGTGATGGACACTATGGAACACCAGAATTCGTACCATTGAATGATCGACCGTAGCTGGTTCGGATGGAAAAGGTAGAAGATGATGCCCATGGTTGCAGCGCCTGAGCAACGGCAAGATGATGCTGCTGAAATTTAGGGAAGAGTCGGCTCGTGAGAGACGCGTAAGGTGAGAGGCTTTTTGCACCAGAAGAAGAGAGAATAAGGAATAAAAAATCACAAAAGAGGATGCGCGATGCAAATCAAGCGTGGATTCGCGCGAGATAGTGTGTGCTTTTTGTCGAGACCAAGTCGAAGATGCTTTGCACAGGGGCTTCCTGAAATAGAGGCGAGCAGATTTCCGGGAATATTGTCTCTCCTCTTATTTGTGCGTTAAGCCTTGCCGCAAGATTCAGGGGATTTTTTTTTTCCAGGTCAAATTATCAGAACAATGGCCTGGATAAGAGGATTAAAGGGAATTAAGAGACGAACAATGGTAAGCACCGGGATATGGAAGAATTCACATCGCAAGCAAGGCAGAGCAAGATTTCAGGAGTTAGGATATTACGAAAAGGATTTATCCACGCATGAATGGATAATTACATACAAGTACAAATGTACAATGAGTTAGCCCCTATAAGTGGGACTAGTTGTGATTTTTAAGTGGTCAGAACAGTGGGTTGGATGTTGGGGTTCCTTTAAGTACCTGCACCTACCTAGGTATCCGTAGGTCAACAGAGTACCTTAAGGTACGGATGCAGGCACGAAGCAGGACTCGTGGAACCGCGAAGCGAGCCAATTGGCCAATTCTGTGGGCTCTCCTCTCCACCCGTTGTTCTGACCGATGTTTGGAACACTTTGTCAGCAGACTCGTAACAGGAGGCTCCGACTTTCAATTGTTGGACCCCTGACTTGGAAGACGAAGAAGCAAACATCTCGTTAATCCAGCTATGTTGAAGACTGTGGGGTGGTGTTGTTTACGTTGTAACAACGCAATCTCTGTTGTTTCTCTTTTACTTTTACGGATACTTGTAGTAAATGCCGTGCCAAAGCGGCCAAATAGTTGTACACGTACCGCCTATCACCGTCAGCCACCTTGACACGCAGCTTTTCGCCTCATCAAAATGCTCTTGGGCTGCGCCATCGTCGTTATCATGACTGTCTGCCGTCTTGGGGTTGCATGCTGTCTCCTTCGGCGAAGAATGCGCCAGTACGGCTACGGGTTCAAACGATCTCCATGACAACTCTGGCATTTGATTTGTTTGACGATGCGGTGAACTACATCCCGGCAAGGCGGATGTACTGAAAAGAGTGATACGGTCGGTCGGTTAAGTATGTTGTTTTAGGGAAAACCAACTGCCTGCAGCGGTGGAAAGGAATATTAGGATAAGTAGCCTACTACAGGGTAGGTCATATAATAACCCACCCATCAGTGCGAAGGTGCGCCGCGTCAACACCTGTCGGCCTCTAACGTTATTCTTCTGTACACCTACGGATGCACTCGTAAGCAGTTCTGCGACAAGGTAATTATCATGTATGTATGGTGTAGTTCGATGGGCTAATCTTGGGGAGGTGGTGATGAGTGACAAGTCGCTTTTCAACACAAACACGATGGTCCAGGGGGTAGCGGGCATCACGCCTTTCGGGGGCAAGAGCCGCAGCTGCAGATCCAAAAGACTCGACCTAACAATATATTACAGTAGAAAAAGCCACGCTGCCTCCTCCGCGGAATTGCCACCGTCGCGAAACTCGGAGTAGGCGTCGTGATGATGAGAAGGTACGTGTACAATAGCGCAAGCGTTCGAGAGGAGCCAATTTGAGGGCAGAGAATGGGTATGGGTGGGGGTCCTGCTGGGGGTCCTGGAATTCACTCCGTGTTCACTCCGTGGCGGAGAGGAGGTCAGGGTCTTGGGGGGGCAAATTGAGGCATGGTTCTACGAATAGAACATGTGATAAAACATGACCTGGCTAGAACACGAAACGAACCCCTCGTTCGTCATCAATTAGCATCGTCCGTGGGAGAATGGACGGGCTTCTGGTCATGGTTTTACTCTGTATATCTCCAATCATCATTTCCCCGTAGTCGGTACCCGACCGAGTATCACAAAGTAAGGTACCTTATTGTAATATGGTGATACTTACCTTTTAGGTATTAACATTATTAATAAGGCAGCAAGCAAACCGACGAGGTACCCACGATGCTGTCTTCACACCTCCTAAGGTACGGGTAGTTTGCATGGTTCCTGCCAAGCCCCAACTTATGTTTACGTTGTACGTGTGCTGGGCTTAGGCGTGCTTCCTCGTCCTCGTGGTGCCGGGGGGTGTCCCTGTCAGACATATTCAGGTAGATTTCTTGCCACCTGCGACTTCCTGTTTGTGACATGAGAATACCACCATAATTACCTACTGTTGTAGGTACCGCGTGCTCCCATACCTACCTACCTAAGGTAAGGTACCTACTCCATTCTGCCCACCTTCGTACACGAGCACACATCATCCAGAGTACATCGGACTCTACCCGACTTTAAAATGGACGTCCTTCCCCATCCCCGTCCTTTTCACATCTCACGTCCAAAGCGCCCAAACACGCCAGCTGCCTGTGACCCGCTGCCGACCGCTGTCCCAAACGCCATTCGTTGTACTGCGACCTTCGAGCTCACCGCCTTCTACCCCTCTCGGGTGTATGATAAAAACGATTGAGACCTGAAGAGTCCTCGGGCCGGCCGTTCGTGTCTGTCTTGCTACACGTCTCCCTAGGTCCCATTCCAGACTCGAAACGACTCCTGGTAGTCCAAGATCTCGACATCACCTCAGCCCGTCTTATTCACACACACTTTCCGTCTTTGCACACTCACCATGGCTCTCACCAACGGCTCCACAAACGGCGCCTCGAACGGCGATGCCAGCAGTGCCACCAACAGCATATCAAACCCGCGCTTCCTCATCTGGGGAGGTGAAGGCTGGGTTGCCGGTCACCTCAAGGCCTACCTCGAAAGCCAGGGCAAGGATGTCCACGTCACCACCATCCGCATGGAGAATCGCGAGGCCGTGCTGGCCGAGCTGGACCGCGTCAAGCCCACCCACGTCCTCAACGCTGCCGGCATTACAGGCCGTCCGAACGTGGACTGGTGTGAGGACAACAAGGAGACCACCATTCGCTCGAACGTCATCGGTACCCTCAATCTGACAGACGCCTGCTTTCTCCGCGGTGTACATTGTACCGTCTTCGCGACGGGGTGCATCTATCAGTACGACGAGGCCCATCCCATCGGCGGGCCGGGTTTCATAGAAACAGACCCCCCCAACTTCAAAGGAAGCTTCTATTCAACCACCAAGGGGCATGCCGAGGCCGTAAGATCTCCCCCTTCTCCTAATCACTGCTTGGGTGCCACACGGGTGTTTCCCCTTCCAACCACCCACGGTAACCGGGGGCCCCATGCCAGGATTTTAATGAACTCTTACAATGGAGCGAGTAGGAATGAAATGTTGAGTTACTAACCGAAACCCTCGCGATTCTCCTACAGATCATGAAAAATTACAGTAACTGTCTCATTCTCAGACTCCGCATGCCCGTCAGCGACGACTTGCATCCGAGGAATTTCGTCACCAAGATCTCCAAGTACGAGCATGTGGTCGACATTCCCAACAGCAACACCGTGCTGCACGACCTGCTACCGGCGTCCATCTTGCTGGCCGAGCACAACGAGACAGGCATCTACAACTTTACCAACCCTGGCGCCATCTCACACAACGAAGTGCTCACCTTGTTCAAGAACATCCTACAACCGGATTTTACGTGGAAGAACTTTACGCTGGAAGAGCAGGCCAATGTCATCAAGGCTGGCCGCAGCAACTGCGAGCTTGACACCACCAAGCTGACCAAGAAGCTCAAGGATTACGGCTATGAGGTGCCTGAGATTCATGAGGCCTATCGGGCCTGTTTTGAGCGGATGAAGGCTGCCGGTATTTAGTGAAAAGACCGGAGAGGGTTCAAGCATACACACAGAGAGAGCAAGCGTTTGTCTTCGAGGATCATCATCTGTTGTCCGGTGGGTAATGAAGAATGGAGTATGGGGAAGCGGTGAATTGCATTTCAATTACAGTTCGAAAGGGCGTTATAATGCGGACATTTCCACGACCAGTCAGAGCGGCTGGAGTGCGTATGGCTTTACAAACCTTAACGGCGGGTTTTTCCTTTTCTTTTTTACTGGGAAAGCATAGCAGACAGATTGCAGGAAGGGGCATGTGGATGACGGGCATCACAGTTCCGCGGCGCTCCGGCATGTCATATCCACAGATATCGTTACCTAGATCCCATATACACAACAAGCCAGCTATACGGAGGAAGAACGAAACGCATCACGCGCATGATATATTTATATATAGCTCCATCTCGTCTATCGAGAGTCGCGCTGTATATCCAATCAGGCTCTATCATAAAACGTACACCTGCCGACCCGGACCCAAAACGCCCCGAATCCCGACCGTAACTATATTTCAGTCGCATTACAAAACAGACATTAGTTGCCGTCTTTACCAGTACGCCGACTCAGTCCTGATCTGCTCGAACTACTCGCCCAATCAAGCGCCGATATGGCTCAATGGTAGAGGTTCTGCTGCTGCTGCGGTTGCTGCCCGGGTGGAGGATACTGGGCCTGGTTCTGTTGCCAGGCCGAAGTGGTGCTCTGCTGGCCGTAGCCATACTGAGTCGGCAACTCGTACTCGGGCTGCTTGTAGCCGTTGAATTCGGCCGGTCGGTAGGCGGCGTTGGAGGGGCCTTGGCCGTAGTTTCCGTAGGGGGTGAAGCCGGGGTTCTGGGCCGCGGTGGGGTCTATCTGGCCGGCGCGGGCGTACGTGAGGCGGCCCGTGCGGAACCTGTGGTACACGACGGAGGCGTAGATGAGCATGCCGACAAAGGAGAGACTAAGAGAAGAAGAGATATTGTTAGCGTTCGGGCCGTCTTGGTGTGGTTTTTTCCCCTTTCTGTATTCAAATCGAGAGGAGTGCATTGGACCAAAAAAAGGTACGGAGAAAAGGAAAAAAGGAGAAAGAAGGGGGACGAAGAAAAAGGGGCGGAACTCGAGGAAAGCTGGGACAGGTGAAGTTGACTCACTATACAATAACGGAGATGATAATGCCGGTAGTTGAGATACTCCCGATGAAGGACAAGATGAACAATACGGTCCAGATGGTGGTCTGGATAACATTGGTGATGATGAAGAAGCGCGGGCTCAGGGTGCGGCTGGCGCGCTTGATGATGCTGACGAGGTCGAGGGCGAGGCAGAAAAGGACGATGATGAGGTTGACGACGAAGATGGCGACTGTGGCGCCATAGCTTATGTCGACCTCGTTCTGAATATCCTCTCTGAAGGCGGCCAGGGCGGCGATGGCGAGACCGAGGACGACGGCCTGGATCAGCAAGACTAGGATGCGGACTACCCAGAAGGGGATCAAGACACGCTTGAGGAAGGGCGACGAGTCGCCGACGACGTAATGTTTTCCGCTCATTTCGGCGTCGGTTCGGTAGACTACCGCAGATTGATTGATTGATGGTGTCTCGTTCTTTTGTCGTCGTAAGACGCACTCTTGGCGTTCGCGAAGGATTCTGGGTATTGTGATTCTCGTGTCGCGGATAACAGGACGGATGGGAAGAAAGTAAAGAGGAGATGGATGGGACGGAAGCACGCGAGAAGGAAAATGGTAGCGTGGTTGATCTATTAGCGCCTAAAAAGAAAAACAAAAACAAAAAGAAGAAGAAGAAGAAGAAAAGCCCCCTCTTGTACCTACCTTACATATGACCGTAATCAATTTCCTTCAGGGCCAAGGGGTTCCGGGGGGGCATCCGTCTCCAAGACAAGATACTGGGGCGTGAGGGGACTTCTATTTGTAGAACGCGCGTTCTGACCAATGATGACTAACTATTGGTGGCGGATTCTACACGTGTAGGGGCTATGTTGGACGATTAGCGCTGGGTTGCTGGCTCAGCCTCTGGCCTGGGTCCAAGGTTTATATTCCGTAACACAACCAGTCCTACGGGTCGGCCAACCCCGCTTTGAACCTAAAGAAGGCACCGCCATGAGTAGCTTCATATAAGGTACCCCATATAATCCTTCTACCAACAGAGATATTTCTGTTAAAACAAGTACTTGTCTGTTGAGTCACCTTAACCGAGAAGGAGTGGAGAGTCTCAGTCTCAACGTGCACTAGGTCTAGGACTGGACGGGAAACGCGAAAAGGGGCGAGGCGCAATTACAGAAATATGCACGGAGTATATAAGTGATAAGTAGTTATGATGAAGAATTTAGGGAAAGGTTCCGAGTGATAGCAGCTCTTTAGATATTCAGTGCGATGTTGGACTTGAAAACATCGTACTGCGTAGCCATGAATTTGCTTCTTCGCATCTTTGATTATTCTTACAGGGCAGAAGAAAAACACTGGGTCATTCCGAGGCCATTAGATTGGTGCGCTATTCGAGTTTCATATCCTGGTTGTTCCGGTATTCCTGTGTTACCACAGTCCGTACCCTGTACTCCGTCCGGGCTAAGGTACTTAATTATATCAAAAGGTCTGATAGTATTTTGTGTCTGATGTTTTTGCGTGCTAGCCTAGCAAGCCTCAATAGTCAAGAGTATCTTGCATAGGTATCACGGCACTTGATTTCATCTTGGTTTGGTTGGTGTACAGTATCTTTGTCATCTCGACAGACTGTCTATCACCAAGCTCAATAGAATACTCGTTCGTCCTGAGCAAAAAGGGACGCATATTGGCGGAGGGACATAGCTTGAGTTGGGCGCTATTATAAGACACCTGTCGTCCACATTGGGGACACTGTCCGTTGGACTTGCATTTGTCTACTCGCTGCCCAAAAACTGGCATTTGGAAACATTGTTGCGTATTCTTCTCCAAGCCTCATTCCCACAAGGCTTGTTCCATTTCTGTACGGGTCCAGTCACTTTTGTTTCCTGGATTACTAAGTCGGCCAGTTGCGCAGTATTTGCTAGTTTGCTATGATGTCGGTGTTGGAAGTTGCAACTAATTCGTACAGCATCAAACGTATCAATAAGCGACATCAGCACATAACCCCGTGGGCAGCAGTTTTACGCATTTGCCAGAATTCATGTACGGATACTTCATTTCTTCATACGGTATACCTACCTTAGGGGCCCATTCGGTGACGGCGACAGCTTGAAGAAGTACCACCACCTGGGAATGTCCGCAGGTGTCAGAGGGAGTTTTGACATTTGACGCTTGACACGTAAGCCAACCTGGAAGGTTGACAGAGGTATTCTCAGTACAACAGTATAGCGTTTGTGCGCCTGTGGTTGTGGTGTTATGAGATACTTACAAGATATCTCACACAAAGTACCTTGCATGTGATTATACCTTGTGGCATTTCCGAGTCGACACCACTTGGTTACATTGGTACATCCGCTGGCGTGCTGCCTAAGGTAAGGTAGGTGGCCGGTGGCTCAGGCTGGCGACGTAATATGGTGGGGCCTGCGTAAAAAAAACAGACCGCCTTCGGTACCCAGGATTCAACTTGTTCAACTAGTGCGACTCCCCTCCAGAAAGACTGTCGTCGTCAACGTCGTCGTCAACGTCGGGATCAAATAAATTGTCCTACACTACGTACTTATCAACAAGCATCAGCGATTACCACCATCACCCACGACTCGCCAGCCACGTCCAGAACATCCTCGTCTCTACCGCCTATTATACCTAACTCGCCTTCGTGCCCACAGCAGTCCAAACGTACGTACTCCTTGGGAACAGAGAACAGAACAACCCGCATCGACTCGATTTCTGCTGCGACCATGGTTGCGGACACAGCCTATTACGATACACTGGGCGTGAAGCCCACCGCCACTGAGCTGGAAATCAAGAAGGCATATCGGAAACTGGCCATCGTTCACCACCCAGGTTCGCACTTTCTCTCCCCCGCCCCCCTTGCCCCCTTTCTTCTTTCTTCCTATCCCTCTCTGGTCCCGTCTCCCCCTTGCGATGGGCTGACCTCAGCCCGACAGACAAGAACCACAATGATCCTACCGCCCACGAGAAGTTCCAGGAAATTGGCGAGGCCTACCAGGTACTCTCCGATGGCGACCTCCGTGCCGCTTACGACAAGTTCGGAAAGGACCACGCCAAGCCGTCCGAGGGCTTTGTCGATCCGGCCGAGTTCTTCACCTCCATCTTCGGTGGTGATGCCTTCGTCGACTGGATTGGCGAGATTAGTCTCATGAAGGACCTCACAGCTACGATGGAGATTACCACGCAAGAGATGGAGGAGGAACAAGCAAGGGAGAAAGAAGCTGCTGCCGCCGCCGCCGCCGCTGCTGCTGGTGCCGGCGAGGCTGGCGAGGCTGGCCCCAGCACGACAGCTCCGGGCCAACGTGCAGATGACGCCGAATTCCCCGGGACGGAAGAGGCCATAAAGGAGAGTATGAAGGACGCCCCTTCAGCCGCTCCACCTCCCCCCGCCGTTGTCGTCGAGGAAGACAAGTCCTCGCCAGCTCCCCCGACCGATCCGAACGCCCGCACGCTACCACCCCGCACTCCTTCCCCAAGCCCCTCCGCCAGCTCGGCCTCCCGCCGCACCCAGATCCCTATCCGGCCAGCTCTCATGGACCGCCCCTCGGACGAAGCCGTGGCCGCCGGCGGCCCCGAGACGGAAGAATCCCTCCGCCGCAAGGAGCGCAAGAAGGCCGGCCTGTCCCAGGAGCAGCGCGAGCAGCTGGCGGCGCTGGAGAAGGAGCGGGCGCGCGTGCGGCAGGAGCGCGTCGACACGCTGGCGCGCAAGCTGGTCGACCGCGTCAGCGTGTGGACCGAGACGGAGCGGGGCGAGGCGGTGACCAAGTCGTTCCAGGAGAAGATGCGGCTGCACGTGGAGAACATGAAGATGGAGAGTTTCGGCCTCGACATCCTGCACGCCATCGGCCAGACGTACGTCTCCAAGGCCACGGCGCTGCTGCGGTCGCAGAAGTTCCTCGGCCTCGGCGGCTTCTTCTCCCGCGTCCGCGACAAGGGCACCCTCGTCAAGGAGACGTGGGGCACCATCAGCAGCGCCATCGACGCGCAGCAGACCATCGAGGAGATGGCGCGCATGGAGGAGCAGGGCGGCGACGAGTGGTCCGACGAGCGCAAGGCCGAGTTCGAGAGGCGCGTTACCGGCAAGATCCTCAACGCCGCGTGGCGGGGGAGCAAGTTTGAGATTCAGAGCGTCCTCCGGGAGGTGTGCGACCAGGTGCTGTACGATAAGAAGGTGCCCCTGAGCAAGCGGCTCCAGAGGGCTGAGGCTCTTCTCATTATTGGTGAAACTTTCCTCAAGGTGAGTTTGGCCGTTGCCTCCTCTTTCCTTTTTTTGGGTCTTCTTTTCTTTTTAATTTTTTCCGCCCCCAACTAACCAACTATCTATAGGCCCAACGATCCCCCGAGGAGGAAGGAGACTACCTCGTCTTCGAGCAGCTCGTTGCCGAGGCCGCGATTAAGAAGGAGAAGGACACCAAGAAACGCAACAAGAAGAGCCCGTTCGGTTCTTCTCACCACGACATGGCCGCCGAAACAGCGGCCAATGCGCCCAACGTGCCTCCCAAGGCGTAGTAGTGCATGGTGTGAAACGAAACTTGATAGAACGCGAGGCTGCGAGGCGTTGATGCGGCAAAGCAGCCAGCGGTAACACGGTCTAGGGGGGTAGCGAGAGACGCTTACTTGTGATTGGAAAGGAGCAACTAGGCTATAAGGGGGATAATCTTAGTGTCCCTCAATGAACTGCTCGTCTTGTCCTATCGACAGGCATGGGAGAAGAGGCCACACAGAAAGAGATCGTCAGAACGGTGGGGAGGACCACGATGATGCTTCCGGCGAGCATCGAAGTTGCTGGGTTATTTTAGACCCAGGTGATACCATTGACTTCTACTACTACCCTACATAGATTTTTTTCTGTTTAATCCTTGTTTATTGCAGTCTTTCCATTTCTGCTTTTTTGTTTTTCTTCAATGTTGTTTCGACCCGCCTTCTCCTGCTCATGGTTATTTATTATAAGGTATCCTGAGCGAATTTGTTTCTAGCGTTTCTCTGGTATTCATCTCCGTATCCCCCAATGTCAAACCATATAATCCTAGCGCAGGCAGCCGCTTTTCCATACAGTTTCAGCCTCCAGCCTTTTGCACTCGGTTTACGCGACGGCCTTGCTGGCGCTCGTCAAGCTTGGTATAGAACCAGGTGAACTCATCAAGTGACTTTCCGGGTTCTCATCCCTGAGGCGACGGTGATATGATGAACTGCTTCACTTGATGATTGTAGACATCCGAAGGTGATTCGATTCCCAGTTGCTACGAGTACCGTTTCATGGGTGTCATACTCTGTATTTCTCTGTTTCCCGCCCTCTCGTTTTGGCGGACCTAAATGTAATGTAATGCTCGGATGATGGGGGTATCTAATGGTACAGACAAGATATGCCCAGCCCACAAAACAAGTTCGCGACAAAGGAAAGAATAAAAAGAAACTATGGTAAGAGAAAGGCGAACGTTGGTGGATGGTGGTGGTGGTGGTGGTGGTGCATGTTGAGCACCCCTGAATAATCCAAGGGAAAAGATGAAGAGAGAACGATAGAGAGCCTGCCAACGCCGTTCCTGTGAGAATCCAATGTCTCCCGGATCCTTAGATTGCCTTTGCCTTTGCCTTGGCCCCCTGACAGAAAAAAAGGAAAATAGTCCCCGTGGAGTGGCGAGTGAGCGAGTGTTTGTGAGCATCGTCGAAGCCTGTCGCGATGCTGAGCCTAAAAAAAAAAGAATTGTAGTGATGTGTTCCCTGCAAGGCAAGGGAGCGGGTATAGTGAAGCATGTCGGAAAGAAAAGAGGGTTGAAAAAGGCGTAAAATCACCCGCCGTCAATGGGCAGCTCTATCCCGCTGTCCCTATCCTGCGGATCCTTCCCCCACTGTGGTGCTAAGTTGCTGTCCTTCTCTTTCATCTTTGGTGTGATATCGGCACTTGGGTCATAAATGAGGACATCACCCCGCTGCAAGTTCTCGTCTTTTCCTTTCTCCTCGCCGTATCCGTCAGGGGTATCGTCGTCCTTGATGACACCCAGGTCGGGCTCGTTCTCCTCCTCGTCATCGTACTGCGGCGCGAGAACCCTAGGCGGCAGGTCCACGTCGCTCACACGGACGTGGTACTCGAGGGCCTTCTTGCCGTCCTTGATGAGCTCCTCCGTCCAGCGAAGGCAGCGTTTTATGCTTTGGTTGATCTTCTGGCTGTCGACCAAGAGCTCGCGGTGCTTGGTCAGGTCGAGCTGCAGGCGGCGTTCGTCGCGCTGGCGGCGGCGGTCGACTTTGAGGCTCCGACCCGAGGCGGATTCGGTGTCGGAGGGGTCCGTGTCGTAAAGAGAATCTGCGTCGTCGTCGTCATCATCTTCTTCTTCTTCTTCCTCCTCCTCTTCCTCGCTCAGATCGGAAAGGTCCAGGCCGGGTTCCGCGCCGGGGACGGCACTGGCGACGGTCGAGTTCGACGGGATACGGCTGGACGCAATGGAAGCGAGGGAAGAGATGCGCCCGGCGCGGGAAAGGCGACGATATCGCCGCAGCTCGGCGGTTTGCTTGCGGAGCTGGCGTTCTAGCGACCTGTTGATGGCCTCGAGGGAAGCGTTCGTGATCTCCAGGTCCTGCACTTTACGCTCGCGGCGGGCATTGGCGACGAGATCGTTGAGGGGGTCGGTCGAGTGGGTGGATTTGGTGGGACTTTGCAATTCACTCTGCCCTTTCGACTCGTCCGATTCGGCAAAGTCTTCGGTGGCCTGGATGATGGAGGCCATCGTCATGACAGGGTTAGGAGCTGGTGGCGGAGCGGCAGGGGAGAACGCGCCGGAAGAGGCCTGGGAGGTTTGAGGCGGTTGAGAGGCGTGAGCGGCTTGGGAGGCTTGGGACGCCATAAAGTGGGACATGATCATGGCGTCGCCGGCGCCGATGCTACCCTCACGAGAATGACTGGCGGGTTGAGGGGATGTCTCGATGCTGATACGCCGTTTGGCAGCTGAGGTGGGAGCTAGCGAAGGCGGGCTGGCGACGAGCTGCGGTTGTGGACGGGTCTGCGTCGTCTGGCCGGCGATAGAAGAACCCCGGGATGACACCGCTGGCGGCTGGTGGATTTGTTTGATGGGTGATGTCGGTCGTGCCAAGGGGTACCCTGCACCCGGTGTGCTTGCGGGGGTTCGGAGGGTAGGGAGCTTGGAAGTCGAAGAAGATACGGCGGAGCCGGCGGACGAACCGGGTCGGAAAGCAGGTTGTAGGTCAGGGAGACCATTTGCGTAGACGAACTTGCTGCTTGTGGTTTGCGGTTCCTGGGCGGCGTGGATAGGAGCAATGACGGGTGCATAGGTCGGGGAGGATACGGGGGGCGGCGACATTGGCCGGTTTCGTCGGACGGCGCTCGGATTTGCGTAGAGGAAAGTAGAGCCTCTCTGCTGCGGAGCGGCGGGTTTGGACAGGGACAGGGCAGGGTGGTGGTGAGAACCCTTGGCGTCACTGGCATAGAAGAACTTGTGATTGTTGTTATTGGTGGTGTTAGTATCGGGAGGAGTACGATGGTTTGCGGGCGAGCTGAAGGTGACGAATTGCCGTTTTAGCTGCGGCTGCTGCTGTGGTGGTTGTGGTGGTTGTGGTTGCTGTTCGCTACCCCCGCCGGACCTGCCATTGTTTGCCTCCCAATCGGCGGGATCGAGACGATCGTGGTTCGGAGTGCCGGTCGGCGTGCTGTTAGCACTGTCAACGCGGCTCTGACGAGAGCCGGAACGTGGCGTGATGTTGTTGCTGAGGAAAGCGGAAACGGGGCTGGCGTATTCATCCTTGTAGGCCGAGGAGCCGAATGGCTGCATGACGGGGGCATTTTCGTTTCGGCGACGAGCCAGCGGGGTGACGACGGGCTGCTGGACCTGAGGCTGGACCTTGGAAGCGATCTTGGGAGTTAGAGGCGTACGACCGATGGCTTTGGCGGCCGCTGGGCTGAGAACGGGTTGTCGGGGAGCGGCGGACGCGCCCCTATCGTGTGGCGGGGGCATATTAGAGGTACGATTGGCGGCGCTGGGAATTGGGTTTGGTTTTGGGTTTGGTTTTGGGTTTGGGTTTGGTTTTGGGTTTGGTTGTGATTTTGGGCCTGGGCCTGGGCCTGGGCCAGGGCCAGCGACGACGGACGAAGGGCGAAGAGGCGGGTGGCGGCTCAGGACATTGTGAGGGCGAGATTGGAGGGAGCGGGCAGACGGCGTCGTTGTCCGAGAAGAGGATATGGTAGAAAATGAGTGCTTGTGTCCTGGTGATTGATACTGTTGTTGTTTTCGTTGCTTTTCTTGTTGAAGAGGTGGTCGTGGTTGTTGTTGTTGTTGTCGTCGTGGTTGTTGTTGTTTTGAAGATGTGTGGGGTTCAACTCGGGGTGAGGCAGTGACCGAGGACTTTTGGACGATTGCTGCGGAAGTATGTGTTCGAAGGGCAACGGTGCAGCGTGTTTGATTAGTGGTCGTCGGCTAGGAAGATTGGCGGCGGGACGATATTTTCGAGGGAAAAGACGGTGGTGGTGATGTCGGAGAAATGGAGGAGGAGGAGGTAGTGGTGGTGGTGGTGGTGGTGGTGTCACCAGTGGTATTGTTGGTCGAGGTGTTGAGGAATGACATTTTGGCTTTGGACTTTGATCCCGTGCCATGTCACACACAACAACATTGCTCTTCCTCGGGGAGACGTCTCAAGTTGACTAAGTCGGTACAAGGTGTGTACAAGTGGTTCAACGCCAGTCACAGGGAACCACGAAGTACTTCATACTGCCATAGAGGTAGAAGGTACGAACACATGTCGCTTTTTGCGGATATGGTGCGTCGATTAGTACGGAGAGACAAATTTCTTCAGGGGCGGCCAAGTCCCCTGAGGTCCACTAAACAGCAGTTAGGTACTTGCTGGACGAAGTACACGTGTAGGTTGATAGCATTGGCAGAATTGGCGGTGTGGACTTGATACATACCGTGATCAGTTTACAGGAGTCCTCTTATGTCAGAGTACTCTGTGCAGAGTAGAGTACGTTGTACGAAATCCATGAAATCCATCAGTCAAGGAACCAGGAGGTCTCAGGTACAGACGAGGAGAGACACGGGGAAGAAGAAATTCTTCACATTACACGGAAAATAAACAAAACAAAACAAAACAAAACAAAACAAAACAAACAGAGCGGAACAAAAGTTCGGCAGAGCACGAAGAAAGGAATACAGTAGCGGGGTAAAACTCGGTCGCGACCCATACATCTATCTCATTTTAATGTATTTTATGTCTTCATGCATTTCATGCACAACCCAGTATAATTTGAGGCTAAAGAGGATCTTTGTACCATACCTAAGACAAGCGAGCTCGAAAAATATGGTCATGGTCGAACCATTCAGGTACCTCGCACCATTCACTACCTAAGGTCCGTACCGCGGACCTAAGGTACCTTTAGTCTACCGCTCATTGAGGCTCGTGACGGCTCGTGACGTACCTGTACTCCGGATTACTTCGTGCATGTGCCCAGTAAGGTACCGCTGCTAAATACCTCCACAGTACCCGACATCGGCTGCATGCCATACCCACAATTCCGTCGGCTCCGATCCTCCGATCCTCCGCGGCTGCCCCTCCACCTCAAAATATCTTCCGATACCATCAACACCTACCTACCTACTATCCCGTATTTTCCCTTTACCATCCAACTACAGGAGACTATTATCAGCATTTCGCCAACCCGCATACCCAGCGCACTTCTTAATCGCTAAGAGAACCCCTCCTGCCCCACCATGGGCTACGTCGGCGTCTCCCTCATCGTCGCTTCTGTCGTTTGGGTCCTCGTCGCGCCACCACCATGGATTCATCCCTACCTTCCATTCTTCCTCCTCCCCGCCCGTCGACACTCACACGCGCTCCTTTTGACTTCGAAACCCTCGTCGCCTCCTCGAGATAACGATACGCAAAATTCCGACGATAAGCCTGAGGCGCGAAACGGAGGAGAACATGTCACTTCGAAAGAGCCAGAAAGGCCAAGAATACAGGTGGAAGAAGCCCGATCAAATCTAGCAGGGCCTCCTCTCGTCGACCTCGCACCCGCACCCGCACCCGCACCTACACGTACATCTTCACCCACATCTTCGCCTACATCTTCGCCCGACCCCGCCCCCGCGCGCGATGCCAAAGCTGCGCAAGACCGCGACCGCGCCGCGATGCCTCCCCCACCTCCAGTCATCCAGACCCCGGCCAGCGTGCCTACTTTACAGTCTCCCCCCCAGCTCGCCGAGCCCGAAGAAGAACAGACAACCCCCAAAGTTTCTGCCACCGCCCACGACGCCTCCTCGGTCCCGTCCTTCTCCCTCTCCGATGAGTCGGCTCCCGCTCAGCCCGCCGAACCCTCCATCCGAACTCCATCAGCATCCTCCATGATGCCTCCGCCACCGCTCCCAACAAAACCCTCCAACGCCTCAGCATCCCGTCCGTCCTTCCCCATGCTGGGCTCCCCCCAAGTAGCCCGTCCACCAGGCGCCGCACCACCTCGCCTTCACAAAATCCCTTCCGCCACCCCGTCCACCCTCTTCCCCCGCCCCGACTCGCAGCAAATAGCCCGCGGCCCCGCCCCGAACCGCATCCCCGCCGCCGCCGCCACCGCCACCGCCGCAGCAGCAAGAGCAAGAGCAAGAGCAGGACCCTCCTCCCTCGCCCCTCCGCCAACACACAACCAACCCCCGCAAAAGCCCTCCCGCAAGGTCCTCCTCCCACCAGGCCACTCCCCCCTGGACTGGGCCCGCATATCCGGTCCCACCGCCGACCTCCGGAACCTGCCCCCCGACACGCCGTACCTCAAAGTCACCCCTTCGATGCTGAAGCGCCACTCCGGCCGCAGGGGCACCGACGCCTGGAGCGCCTTCGCCGGCCGCGTCTACAACATCACCCCTTACGCCGATTACCACCCGGGCGGCCGCGGGGAGCTGCTGCGCTGCGCCGGCAAGGACGGGACGAGGCTGTTTGGTGAGGTCCATCCCTGGGTGAACTACGAGACTATGCTTTCGGCTTGTCTTGTGGGCGTTTTGGTTCCCGAGGAGGAGGGGTCTAGGGAGAGTGAGATGGATGCGATGGACTGAGCGTGGTTGAATGTCCCATCTACTTTTATGGGCTTGTTTGTTTTGCGATAGCGGTTCGAATAGATCGAGAGGAGGAGAGAGCATACAGAGGGAAACGTGTCCGTGGTGTGGATATAAGAAATTTATTAGACAGATACCCCTTTCCTTGCTCGTTGCAATATCCTCGTCTTCCTATCTTGCGCCCGAGGAAACTAGCAAGTAGAATAATAAAAATGAAAGAGACCCCAAGTCGCAAGACATGCCATCGTCGCCATGAACAATCATGTATTCATGAACCTGGTATCTACCGCCGTCTCCCAAACTTGAACTGCAGCTCATCATCGCTCCCGTCGTCACTGTCCTGCACCTCCGCTATCCTCCTCGTCGCCCGCGGCTTCTTGGCCACCGGTTCCCTCGCGGGAGGGGCTGCCGCCGACCTCTTCCCCGCCGCCGCCGACCTCTGAGAAGTCTGTCCTTGCGTCTGGCTCCTAGTCGCAGATCGCGTGCCGGAGAGCGTGCTCTGCGTTGTCTCCGATGCCACCGCGGTCCGCGACGACCCTGTGCGTATGGACTGCGGAGGAGGCAACACAGAGTCACCATCACCATCATTATCATTCGGGCCCCTTCCAACCGACGTTCCTCCCTCGACGACGTCACGTCCGTCCTCGCCACTACTATCGTCTGTCAGGACGATCCGCTGCGCCGCCGTCCTGGCAGATGACAGCTGCTTTGGCGCGCCCGCCGCCGATGGGACCGAATCCCGCACCGCACCAACACTCTGCTGCGTCTCGTTCTTGCGCTTCTCCCCGTCGTCCTCCAACCAGTAATCGTCCCCGATGCCGTAGTCCTTCTTCTTGACCTCCGCCAGCGGGACGATGACCTTCATCGGCGGTCGTCCCGTCGGGGCGCCGCGCTGCCGGAACCGCTTGAAGCTTTTGCGCCCGTTCCACCGCGGGTCCCACCGGCCCTCCGCGACGTCCTGTTCGCGCGTGCGCGTGCGCTGGCCGCCGGCGCCGCCTGCTGTTTCTGCGGGCCGCCGCCGGACCTTGATCTCCTCCACGATGTGGAGGCGGCGGATGGCGTTGAGGTCCATGTCCGAGGGCAGGGTGGCGAGGTCTTCCTGTTCGGCCTTGGCCTCGGCTTCCAGCGCCTCGCGGCGTTTTCGCGCTTCTTCGAGGACGTCGAGCTCCTTTTTCGGCTTCTTCAGCGGTGGTTTCGGCTCTCTTGGCGTTGTTTCGGCTTCTTGTGCTGCTGCTGCTGCTGTGGGAGGGGGGGTCGGCCGGCCAGGCACGGGGTCTTCGCCAGCCTCGATACGGCGGCGTTTGACCGCATCTGCTGTGGGGAGCATACCCCCAAGGACGTCTTCAACGTTGCGCTTCCGAAACGGGTTTGAGGCCGTCGCGCCAGATTCCGGGGCTTCCGCGGGTGAGGGTGCTGGATGTTGTGAAACGAACAAGCCGTGATGCTCCTCTTCGGTGTTGGGGGGGTTTTCGATGGGAATATCTGGCGTCGCGGTATTGTCCTTGTCGGCGTCGTCTTCGTCGTCTTCGCTTGCGAATCCGGCGAATCGACGTGTTGGTGCTCTCCTGGCCCGAGTACGTCTTGATACTGGCACAGACGACCCTGCGCTGCGATCCTGCGATGTTTCCTGAGAAGTGCCGGGCTGATCAACCTCCATCGCCTCCCCGGTATTCGCGGCGACTTGCTGCGCAGCTGAAGAAGCGACTGGGGTATCCTGAGGAGTTGCGACTTCGAGTGGTCGCCGCAGAATGCTCGCATCCTTGATCAATATGGCCTCTAGAAACTCCTTCTGTTCTATGGGGCGGTGGTCCAGACGTAACGAGACCTGGGTGAAGAAACCGGCGTACCAGTCCATGTGGTCACCTTTGCTGGGCGTGTAGCGGACCACGACCACGCCGCGACCCTCGCTTCCATCCTCGAATGAACCCAGCCCCTTTTCGCCTGCTTCTGTCTTGACAAAACGAATAAAGTCGTCCACGGGCGTCTTCTCCGGGGTGACCTCCATGAAGAGAGCCTTGCCCTTGCCGTTGGTAATGGGGTCTAGGAGGTTATCGAATTGGGTTCGGTCGTAGAATATGAAGGTGTAGCCCTCGAACAAATCTTGGCGGCTACCATCGGGGGCATAGGCGTCTGTCGGTCTCTCCACTGGCTCCCCTCCACGGGGAGGCAAATATTCGAGAGGGTTTGGCCAGTTTCCGTCAAAGTCTTGCTCCAAGGGGGATGGGGAAGAAGGGTCGGCGTCGTCCGGTCGCTGTGTAGCCTCGATGATGGCGTCGACGAAGGCGTCTGTAACGATATACCTGCCATTGATAAGAGCTTGCAGGCCTTTTGGAGTGTTGCGTTTCTTGGACACGACGTGGGTCGTGTGCCGGATATTGTATTCGTGTGATATTTTGATGTCCAGCTGTTCGAGGGCTTCGCGTAGCCGGCTGAAGGGGTCTGCTTGCAATTCACGACTAGTGAAACTGAAAGCTAAGGCGACAGGATGCCATAATAGCCTCTAGGGGTGTCAGTAGAGGGCTGTTCGAACGGGACATGCACGGCGGAACAACCGGCAAGGCAAACAGAATGATCCATTGTACCTAAATATTTCTGGACATGATCCCAGCTTGATCTCGACGTTTGATTGTGTGACAGTATAAGTCTCGCCTCTAAATTTCTGCCCGTCGACAGTTGTCCCGGTTTTGGTCGATAGGTCTTCGATAACGGCAATGGATCGCGTGGAGAGGTTTTGCTAGCCCAATTTGTCAGCCGAGGGGGATATGAATAGGAGGGAGATATATATGTAGCAGACGCACGCTGTCGCCCTGTGGCACGCTGTCAACACGAATGGTCATGTGCTTCCGCGAGATGGTCTTGTGGGAGATGGCGAGTTGGCCGGCTGGCAAATGCTTAGCTTAGCAGGGGGAGGCTGCGCGGTGGTCCAGGGAGAGGTTTTCGCGTACGTTCCGAGGTAGTTCGGCCGAAGAGGTACAGCTGACCCGGCCGGAGCCAGAGCCGTCGACCTGTGTCGTTGGGAGACGCGTTAGCATGTCTGGTTTCCACCATGATGACTGTTGATAGAATAGTTGACTGTATGGAGTATGAACAGTATGAATGACGCACCTCCGAAGACATCCCCTTCTTGTTCCAGTAGCCACATCGATCCAAAACGTGTGTCTTCGGCTCGAGGACAAAAAATGAATAATTTATACCGTGATTTCAGAAGCGTTATGACGACATTCGGTTTCGGGATGGAATGATGCTCTACGGACAATTCTGGCGAAGTGAAGTGGACGGATATGGAGTCGGGATTTGTGGGGGGTAGTTCCTGGTGGAACATCGACGCGTGTTCACGTGACCTAAGTCGTATAGGTACGTATCTACGTCAATTATGGTCCCAGAATTGGCAGACGGCCAGAATTGAAAAAGAAGAAATGTCCATTAGACCTAGGAGTCTATGTTTCGAGCTTCTCATGCGTTAGGTTGCGGTGCGCCTTGCCTCTAAACGGTATTATTTTTCAGTGACAACACACTATTTACAAGAAAGACGCCGGGGGTTGGGTCGCCCTCCTAGCTTTACACTGCCTTTCTCTGTGACAGACGCCTGTCCTGCGCACCGGCATGGGAGCCATCGGTAATGATGATGCCTAATATCCAACAGTTGACGAGGAAGAAAGCGACAGTCGAAGCCCACAATCCCGGAAAGAAAGTATTGACGCCCATGAACTCGAGTTGAAATCCCTGCTGTAACCACGCCCCCTGAGATGCGACCCAGAGAACCAGTGCAGATACACCCAGCTTCGGGTTGCTGAGAAAGGACGAGGTTGGAAGATACAGGGGGAGAAAGATTATGTACCAGAGGAAGTACTTGATGTCTTGTCAGCGAGTAACTGGGAATGGGAGACAGAAGAAAAAGGGGGGGGCGCTCGGGAGAATAACATACCTGGCTGGTGCAGACCTTGTTAAACGTGACAAATGCAAAAGTCTGAGCCATCATAGATGTAGCGAGGTCCTTCTTGGCAAGGACAAGAGGAATGAGAACTGTGGAGAGGAGGATCTGCGGCACGAAAGCCACCGACTCGATCTGAAAGGAGGACGTGGAGGGCACTGCCGATGTGAGATAAAGGAGGATGTTGTAGACGCTGAAATTATGTCGGTGGTCGATCCTGGTGACGTGATGGAAGTAAGTATGCACCAAGAAGGGCATGCCGTATCTGCAAGAAATACAAGTAAGCACGGTCTCAATGTCCACATGGTGAGAAGAGGAATGAGAAATGAGAGTGAGGTGTGTGTCCTTCGTACATGGTGTACATGAGTGCATTGAGGCCCGTGAAAGTAACAAGACTGATCAAGGCCAACTGGATCCGCTCGGGGCTCAGAAACCGCCAGACATGATCGAGAATCGACGGCGGCTGTTTCGACAAACCCCGAGTAGGCGGTTTCGCAAGACCCATGCTCTCATCGTCCATCCACCAGACGATCGCCGGTGCATAAATGAAAGGGTAAATCTTAAAATGAACGCCGAACCCGAGCAGGACGCCAGCCAGAGCCACACGACGTTCGAGCACAGCCCACAACAGCGCCATGACGAGGACGCCCAACAGACCCTCGGAGCTGCCGCGGGTGCTAATCGTGGCGACCATGGGGTTGAGGAGCCAGATGCTGGCGAACCGGAGGGCGCGCGCCGCGTCCATCCCCGCGTGGCGCCGCAGGATGCGGACGAGGAACCAGCCGGCCAGCAAGTCGGCGGCGGCGAAGATGACCTTGCCGAGGGCGAACCAGAGCCGGGCCGGGCGGAGGGTCTCGCTCCAGGCGGTGGGGATGAGGAGCCATGCCAAGAGCGGCGTGTAGCGGTAGGTCTCGCGGTCGTAGGGCGAGGCGCCGCGGTGGGTGAAGCGCGCGGCGTCGGTGAAGACGAGGTAGTCGATGTCCGTGTACTTGAAAGGAGAGTTTGCGTCCTGCCAAAGGCCGTAGAGGAGGAAGATGGCGCGGAGAAGGGCCGAGACGGCGAAGAGGGGGAGGGGTCTGAAGAGACGAGAGAGGAGAGAGTGTGTCTCCGCCATGATGGGGAATCTTGGGCAAGGGGCGATCAGGGGATTGATTGTGTGACAAGGCGGGATGCTGCTGGTTGGTGATGCGCTGGGGTCTAACCGTCTAAGCAGCGTGATGGTACGGGTTATAGACCCGGTCGTGAAGACATCCTTTGATGGGATGATCGACTCAATAAACTCCTCAAGCGGTCACTTGGTTCTAATCTTCGACTCTTGAACAGCCCTGGGGGTGTAGCTGTCGTTCATGAAATTTCATGCTTTGGTCGAGTTTGGCTGGTTTGATGTTGCTGGCCTGTTGCTCGCTAAGGTAGTTGAAGGATTCAGGAGGTTCGACTGCTGACTAATTCAAAGACGTGATTTTCACAGGTGCTTAGCTGCTCCCGGGTAGAGCCAGGTAATAAGCTTCATCTAGTACTGTACAAAGTACGTACTTCGTACACGTACAGTCCCTGCAAACAAATGTCAATGTCACACCCTGGGGCAAGTTCGCAACTTCACTTGATGTCACGACTCACGACATTCACAACCCCTTCCTCATCAACTTATACACGATCGGTGGCAATCCACAAATGTCCAAAAGGGATCGGCACGGAAACATGCGCCCTAAGGAAGGCGGCAAGGCGGCCCCGGCTGTACCCCAGTCGCGTTTTGGGCCCATGTTCTCCCATTTCCGGGATGAGCTGGATGAGCACCATGACCGGAGAGAGCGCATCATCAAGGCCTCAAGGGATGTCACTGCTCTGAGCAAGAAAATGTGAGGACATACCTCCCTCAATTCTCATGGCGAAGGAATAGACTTTCAGCTGACAGACATGGGTGGGGTTTGCCTTAGAATCTTCTCCTGTCAGAGGTACCTTTGACATCCTTCACCTGCCAGGCTGATGAAGCCTGAGTCCTGACATCCTCCACCCCCTCCCGGAGGAGACGAAAGTAAGAGGACTGCTAACCATGTTCTGTCTCGAAAAGAGTGAACAAACTCGGCCCCCTCCCCAGACGCACCCAAGAAGACATCGACAATCGCATGGCCGAGATCAAAGCCCACCTCACTTCCATCGAACCCGACCTCGCCTCCCTCAACCGCTACCGGTACGCCCATTCCCTCCGCTGCCTCGAGGAGCTCGTCGAGGCCCTCGTCTTCGCCCACTACCTGCGCACCCAGACCCTGCTCGACCCGGACGCCGTGGAAGCCGCCGTCCCGGCCTCCATCGCCCTGACCGAGTACGACTACATGTACGGCGTCTTCGACCTGTTCGGCGAGATGATGCGCTTCGCCACCGTCACCGCCGCGCAGACCGGCCGGCTGGTCGGTGGGGAGGTGGTCGGTGTCGGTGATGACGGCGGCGCGGCGCCCCAGGACGACAGTAGTGGCAGGCGGAGGCACATTCTCGCGGACTTTCATGAGCTCAGTGTCGCGTTCGAGCTCTTGCCCGAGGTTCACGACCGGACGTTCCGGTCTAAGATGGAGGCGATGCGGACTTCGGTGCGGAAGGTCGAGAAGCTTGGGTACGGGATTGCTATCCGCGGCTCGGAGAGGCCGAAGGGATGGTTGCCGGATTTCAAAGATGACCACGACCCCGGTCATGATGAGTAAGTGTGCAGAGGCCTTTGACATTGAATGTTTGATGTTGTGGCTTGACTGGCAAAGTCCAGGGTGTTCATAGGGAGGTTTCATGACAAAGTGCTAGGGTTGTCCCATTTCTAGTTAAGCTGAAGCTGAAGCTGAAGCTTGTTCATGATCGCTGGCCCCTGGGGAAAAACCGAGCCTCCGGGCCCCTGTTCCAAAATATGACGGCATTTATGAAAATCGAGAGGATTTCATGCAGAAGTTGTCGGCCATTATGAGACATCACTTTACCTGGTACGTTCACCTCTACTGTCTCTCTGGCATTCTCGATTAGACCCCACTGGAGCAACATGTTCTAATGTTTGCCTTCTCATGTCCAGCTGGCAGCTGGTGATATTTCATTGCATAAATACGTCCTACTTCCATTAGACTTGACGAGCTGGTCACCTTGACCACATTGTTGAACTAGGCAACTTCCACTACTTGTTTGTCGGCACCAAGCAAGTTATACACTCGATGATCATCAGCGAGCACCAAAGGTATTCAATCAGTTTTTGTGCAATCAGCTCTCTAAGGTTTGGTGTTTTCACTGCGATCATTATCGACTGAACATGGGCACTGCTGATTGTTGACTCAAGTTGCATTAGAGGAATGGTGCGGTCACTACGGTCAACCTGCATACCACCGAATTTCTTGCTAACCCCCCCTGAATATAAATACAAGACGAAGGCCAGTCGTGTCACAGCCTACAGGTCGATGGCGCATCATTTGTGAACCTAAGACCATAATAACATACTTTTTTATGAGATCTAAGAACATATGAGACTAACAGGTATTCCAGTCACAATACCTAATATTCTGACCTTCTACTACAATGCACGCGCCTATATCCAACACGGCCCGTCGAAATAGTAATGCAGCAGATGGTGAGGCGGTGGGCTTTACGTTATCACCATGCGCCGGCCCCAACATTTATTACGGTTACCTGGAGTGCATCAACCATTCCAACACTGCCGCATATAGGTGCGTTATTTATGTGCGGGCTCACCAAGCCTGCACTTCTGTAAGTCTTCTTTTCTTCTGCCGAACGTTCGGCTTCCAAATTCTAATCGCAGTAGATCCCTAAGGGACTGATAGGCGCTGCCCAGTATATTTAGAACTCGACTAAATATATTATAGGCCGTGAGGACAAAGGCTAACTAACGGCGATTGGTCGCCGACGTTTCTATCTGCGGCTCCAGGCCGCTTATAAGTGGCTTCGTAGGCAGCTAACATATTAAGACGATAAAGCACAACTCAGAATCATATCAGCTACTCCGTCTTCCATGAGCATACTACCCCTGAATATACCGTTACACTTTGAAATCCCAAGTTGGGATTCCCAACTAGTGTCGAGGTTGAATTACGCTGAGCCTTTCTTTATTCTCATTTTGGAGAGAGTTCACCTTGAAACGCGCGAGTCCGTCGACCTCGCCGAGAATTCTCTCATGTTTGTCTGACGAGAGAGTCGCGGGATGGGTACGTATATGGAATCATTTATTAGCAACTTACCTTAATTGGCTTGAATCTGACCCGCAGGTGAAAGTAACAGTCAACTGAAAGCAATGTCAGAGATAACAATAAGGCAATGACCAGTAAACAATAACTAATAAACAATAACTCATGAACAGTCATGACCCGACATAACTTCTATTATGACAGAATATCAAATATCACTCTATACTATTGTGCAATACTGAAATAGCTTGCCCTCGCTCTCTTACCGCCTACCTGAACTGGGCCTGACCCTCTTCTAGTGCCCCTTCCTGTTAGGTCTTATTATACCAGAGAACTCTTTCCTACTCACAAGTTCTAATAACCTGTGTCAGTACTATTGGCCCCAACCTTTTCTTCTCATCCCTAAATTTTTCTTCTTTTTGACTTCCAACTTTCCTCTCTTCTTTACTCCCTAGGAACTCCTCCCCCAACAACCACCATGGCGTGCACTATCCCCATCGCCTCCATCTTGCCTACCTTTGCGGGTATGGCCTCCGTTCTTAACTCCTCCTGCTCCTCCTCATCCTCCTCCAACAACATCGCCGCGGCTGGTCCCGGCTCCGACGCTCCGATGATGAGCAAGAACGAGGCCGATATGGCCAAGGCAGCTCTCGAGCTTGCCTGGGTTGTCTCGGACCCAATTACTAAGGCCCTTGGAGACCTTGGCGCCGCCCACGGTGCGGTCGTCTGTCTCCTCGAGTCCCTAAGGGCGGGCATATATGCCGTTGAGACTATAAACGCGGCAGTACGTTTCTCACATTCACTTCAGACTTCTCCTGCGTCCTGCATTTTGACTCTCGAGCCTTAACTACTATTTCTGTTGCTGTTCTCTCACATTTCAGTTCATCTGCCAAGGTGTTAACTCTACCGTGCTTTCCAGATGGGACAAGACTTCATGAGAGTCTTTACAGAAGCGAGCGTCGGCGCAGGAGCAGAGGAGTGTTTCTCCAAACTCGGCTCCCTGATCGGGGGTATCAAGGAGCTGCAAGCAGCTACCTTCGATACCTTCCGTGAAAGGGATGCTAACCTAGCATCCATTGTCGCCGCCCGACTCTCGTCAGAGCGGATCAACGGCATCCAGCAGGATGGCCATTCGATTCCTTATTTCCACAGGGGCTCCTCTGCTCCTGTTGCCTTTAACCATATCACCGCGCCTTGTGCGCCTTATTTTGGCCCTGCTTCGGCAGTAGACCACCAATTAAGCTTGGGAACGTTACCCATTAACCAGGGCATTGACCCTTATATTACCCTACCTCACACTCCTCCTCCCGCCCTCTCGACCTTCTCTCCTCCTTTCCCTCCCGCGTCGCCGACTGATATGTGCTGGGAGGCAACTCCACCTTCTTCGGTCACTTGGCCGATACCCATAGACCCCGCCGCCGCGGAAGCTACGACCCTCCAGACGGAAATGGAGATTGACGCCGAAGATGGTGACGCTGGTGGTTAGGAGCCCCTGCTATCCCATCTTCAGGTGGTCACTCCAATGTACAATCAAGAGTTGGAGATGATGGAAGAGTTATCCTTTGCCACAACTCCCGAAGTCCCCATCTTGCCGCCGCCGCCGCCGCCGGGCCCGTCACTTTCCTCGCCTGCCAATACCATCCAGGGGAATACTAATCCTCCTGAAGAAGAAGAGGAGAAGAAGGAAGACGGGGGAGAGGAAGACGAAGAGCCAGAGCCAGCGAGCGCCCCTCCTCGCGACCGCTCGGGACTTGCTCCCTCGCCCGAGCTCGCACCTGCTCCTGCCCCTGCTCCGGGCCCGGTTCTCGGCTCCGGGCCGGCTCCGACCTGGTTCATCGACGTCAATCCAACCCCTGCCCCTGTTCCCGTCCCTGCCAATGAAGAAGAACAAGAACCCCAGTCGGCTTCGGATAATGAGCCGACCAACAACGATGACGCCGACGATTGGGACGGCCTCCCACCCCACCTGTTGCAGTACGAGGAACTCATGGAGAATCTCGACCTCCTTTTCGACCGAACGGAGTGGGCATGGGGCGAGGTCCCAGAATCAGACGAACTCGACTCCCGCGAGCCCCTTCAAGATTGGGAGCCGGGAGCCGACAAGCTGGAAGTACTCTGGCGGCGGAAACAATTCGCCCAGCATCAGCTGCAGCCGCACATGATCCTCGCGGGCCCCTCCGATTCCGGCGTCTTCTCGGACACCCGTTTCCGCGCCTTGGGCAAGGCAGCAAAGCTGATCGATCAGGAGATTATATCGGCGACGGTCATCGACATGGCCCGCGCAAAGAGACCCGAGGTGGTGGCGAGCGAGATCGCGCAGCTTTTCCGACCCTGGTTCCGCGGCGATGACGCCGGGTGGCGTGAGGTGGTCCTTGACCGCCTACGAGATATCTGCGAGGACGCGTGGGACCTCAGGGAGTTGATTGACAGGGAGAAGATCCACGTGGACTTTGTGTGGCCGATCCTGGACGAGCCGGACGTGGATAATGTGAACGAGGAGTACAACGTTGTCCACGCGCTCAAGAAGGGACCTGGGTTCGGGGTATTCCCCGCCATGAAGCTTTGGGAGCGTGGTGAAGGAATTCTCCAGATTAAAGGACGGGTTGCCCTGCCATAAGAGTGTGTGGTTCTCCCACGGGTTTTGGAATGGGCAGGTTTCATGGCTACGTTTGGCTTCTGACTTGTTTGGTTCTCTCGCCTTCTTTTTGTTTTTTAAGTTGCTTGTTTCATCGTCTTCTTTTGTATGCTCGATATTGTTCGAGTGGAATTGTTGGAATATCATATCGTGGACTTTGCTTTGGGTAAAGGCTGGGTTTTACAGGCATTTTCGCTCAGAGTCTGAGATGCGTTACTTATGCCTGGTTTTCCCAATTTGACACTGACTCTCTCAACTCTGTTTGTGCTTGGGTTTGCCTCCGAGTAGACCTAAATAACAGTAGTTAGCTGTAGGTATGCTTGCAGAGAGACAAAAAAGAAACATTCATACCTCTAAGCTCAAACAGAAAACAAGACAACAAGTCAGTACTGAGCTAAGACGCGGGATGTAGGTAATAGTTTCTTCCGGCAACGATTTGCTATGAAATATATAGAAACCGCAAGCATGGAGGACTCCGGTATGTAGGCAGCCCTGGATAGTCCCGTTCCAGGTACTAAATATTTTACCAGTGGTATATTGGGCAAGCAACAATTGGGAAACCCTTCTTTGACATGGGTTTCAGGCCTCTCGGACAAGTAAGGAAAACCTGTAAAAGAAACAATGGAAATACTTACCTGTAAGAGCCAGCTGACTCAATTCTCACGGAGCATTGGTAAGGCTTGAGTGGGAGTTCACACATGAGCGACCCGTCAACAACCATTCTGTTAACACTGTGCTCATGTCACGCCTTTTTTCGAACTGTTGACGCAGTGGTTACGAGATTCGTCTCGGACATTGAGGTCTCCTCTGCTTCCTGTAGCTGGTTTGGTTCTGTGACACTGAAGCTGTCACTCAAATTGTTGCTACGGTCGTCGGGATTGAGACGTGCAACTTCCTCGTCATATATTTCCCCCTCTCTAACTTTTCTGGCAATGAGCTCACACCGAGCCGGGTCTGCGGCCATAAAACAATCGATAGCGTCTTTTGACATTTGCGCATCATCTAGGTAGCGATAGCCAAAGGAGACCACGGCCTCGAGGTCCATCTCCGAAAGCGCAGCGGCGGCGGCGAAGGCACCATTGTGGTGCGCTTGCGCCCAGTTATCGAAAAGAAGCGTGTTGCCGTATAGCTGCATCTCTTTTCGTTGTAGGAGGTCATAGAAGCCTTCCAGCCCTTCGACATGCCACTGGTAATACTCCCGCGCGGTGATCACCTTGAGCGACTGAACGAGGAGCCACCGAGGGGGCGTAAACAACTGCAGTGGAACAACTTGCGCCCACTCCCAATCGAGTACAGCCACAATGCGCATGCTGTCGTCGATGATAATATTGCGATCGAAGAGGTCGCCGTGTGACAAAACGAAGGGTCCTTCGTCAAGGGCCTTGTCCAGCCACCCTTCTATGAAGCTCCGAAACCGGGCGAGGTAATATAGCGTCATGCAACCATCTTCCTCGTCGCCGATACTGGCTGGGCTCCTCTCGAAGGCGTTCTGCATTATATCAAGAAGCGATAGCACGTACGACGTTGCGGACGACATGATTCCCTGTCGGCCACGGAAGTCGCGTATTTTCCAGGGCTCGATCCCTTCCAAATCTTGCATGTTGAACTCAATGGACACCGGCCCTTGAGCGACCTCCACGTCGCCTCCTGATGCAAAAGACAATGCACCGATGGATGGAAATGTAAGGCGTCGGAGTTGCGCATATATGCTGGCTAATTCTTCTTGGAGGACGGTTCGTTCGGAGGGTTCAAGTTTGATGATTTTGATGTCGGAGAGTGCAGTGCCTTGAACATATTCGAGAATCAGAAACGATGGAATCTCGCAAACGCCACCGTCGAGTGAAGATGCTATGATTCGTGGAAGGGGAATGGTCGTTCGTTCGGACACTAGCCTAGAAGACTCCACGACGAGTGAGCAAAATTTGACATTTGACGGGGGTTCACTCCAAATCTCAGGGAATATAGTGTGATCAGAAAGACTGACCGCATGGTAGCAACCTCTCTCTCTATCTTTTGCTGGGCCTCGAAGGAAAGGTATGGTTGAATCGGGATGCGGACGACCCATGCTTCCCCGTCGCGGAAGCGAACGAAGTAGCACATGTTGAAGCTTCCGCGAGTAGGTGGACGAAAGAAGTCGCATTCATCACCGTTGCGGTGTGAGGACGCGAGTCGGAGGACGGCATCTTTTTTGATCTCTTTGATGAAATGGTGTCGCGCTTTGCGTATGCGAGTTTGAGCAATGAAATCCAGCATTGTGCTGGACCATGTTCTGGGGGGGAGAGGGACTTTTAGACTGTGCTTGACCTGGGGAGCGGGAGTCTTGAATTACGGAGTACAGGTAATTAAAGGTAAGGAGCTCCTGCACGTCGTGAGTCGTGAGTCCGGTCCTTTTAGTCAGGAACGACCCTCGAAAAGTGGAGCGTGATAGGGGTAGGTACCTGTAGGTACTCGAGACAAAAGAAACGGAGTTAGGTTACCTTGTCCGTGAAAATACCTTATATTGTACGAATGCCTTATGGTTTCGTTCAACAAGATTATCTGCTGGAGGTTTGTACGCTATAAACAAGATCGTACAACATACCTTATTTCCCAGCCTCCGAAAGTGCAATATCGAAGCTTGCAAAAAGTCACGACATTCACCGCTTTTGGGTACATCGCAATGACCTCATTGAATTTCTACAGGGACTGAACCTCGGGCCCAGTCAAATTTCGTGAACTACACTACAGGTACTCCGTACTTTCGGCTCCGAAACCCCAAAGAGCGGGGATCAAAGGAACCAAGTGCCTTGACAGGCCACGGAGCACAGTGGAGCAAGCAAGCGGAGATGGCAGCGGATGCGGAGCATCAAGTGGGAATAGCGTCGATTTTTGCAAGCAGATTCGGGGGCTGGTTCCTCCTGCGTCCTGCGTGGGTTCTCTGGATCTTATCATTCGACCATGCACTTCGCGTCGGCTTCTCTCAAGACCCCCTTCCGAGATGCCGCCAGACATCCTCGGACCAGAACCAGAGCATGTATCTCCCTGATGTCCCGTTTTACCATCACTGTGGAGAGCCGGGGAACCATGGCCAGTCAAACCTGCTTTCCTCCTCCATACTTGAGCTCCCACTCGTCATTCACGTCCTTATAGTCCCGAGGACCATATGGGCTCCAAATCTCTGACCACGACCCGCCCTTCCGGTGCATCGACAGCCCAAGATCGCTCAGAAGGAGATCGAGAAACGGAACCGCGTCGAAGATGAAGGTAGGCGTCTTCTCGCCCCAGTCGACGGGATACCGCCACTTGCCGAACCGATTATGCAACACCGCCTCGTACCGCAACTTCGCCATCGCCGCATCATCCCCCACCGCTGCCGCGGGGTCCCGCGCGAGACGGCCCGAAAAGTACGCGCTGATCCACAGGCCCTGCAGGTGCGCCGTGATGATGTTGCTAAAGTTGCTCACCATGCCGACGAAGGCGATGTCGCGCGTCCTCAGGAGCCGCTCCGACGCCGGGACAACGAAGTGGTACAGCATCCACGCCGTGAGGGGCTTGTAAGGGGTCACCTCCTCGTCCGGCGCCGCGCTGATGCCCTTCTGGTCCGTCATGGGCACGTAGTTCTTGTTCCAGACGGGCTGGTGCTTGAGCCGCGGGAACTGCCGCGTGATGTCCTCGTCCGCCCTGTCGACCAGGGCCTGCTGGTTCGCGAGGTCCGAGGCGGGCGCGGCGGACGAGGCGGCGGGCGTGTGGGGGAGGCCGAGCTCCTTTTCGATGCCCTCGGGGAGGAACTTGATGGGCGGGACGTGCTTCCAGCCCGTGTGCGCCAGGAGCGCGTCCGAGTCGAGCGCCGTGCCGTCGGTGAGGTGCACTTTGCCCGGGCTCAGGTGGTCGAGGTCGGCGATGTACACGTCTACGTTGTCGCCCTTGACGAGCTCCCAGAAATCGGTCTCGTAGTTTAGGATGCTGAAACTGGCCCCAACGAACATGGCGTTGAGCCAGGGTTTGAGCTTCGCCGTCTTCGGGTGCGCGTCCAGGTTGTTCAGGGACAAGACGTCGCCGCCTAGGATGGACCAGAATGAATCCACGATGAAGCGACCGATAGCCGAGCCATGGAGAAAGCGGCGAACGCCCGTATATCCGCCGGCCTGGCTCCATATGCATGGACTGAACCATGTGAGAAAGCGGATGTCTGTTGAGAGTCAGCAAGGTACTCCCAATCAACTCTTTTTTTTCT